ACAGGCTTGACCTTTTCCACAGCAGGCTTTCTAAATGAAACAAGAGAAATCAGGAGCACCTCAAATAAGGATGGTAACTTTCATAAAATGTCTAATAAACCACAGGGACCATCCCCAAAGTAGAGTAGGTTGTGGATATCTGGCTGCTTTGTAAATAAGTTAATAAGACTAATCTTTATAAACTCTGGACCATGTTTAGTCTGCAGACTTAGACTCCATAAGGCATCTTCTGCTACCATTGTCAAGTGTCCTGCATACTATGATTTCTAGGAAATACGAAGTTTTTCCACTTCTGCTTAAAAGTAGGTCATAAGCTAGTCTAGTTAAATTAATTTCTTAAATAGTCAGAAACAGATAAAAACAGAATAGTGTATGTAGATAAGACCCATAAAAAATTTAAATCTTTCAGTGTTTTACCCACCTACCCTTTCTGGGACACATGATTGTTCTACATTCAGAGTGAGAAGTGTTTCAGACCCTCATGGTATTTGCTTTTAGGTCAGCTGAGAAGAGTTACTGAAAAGAAGAGTTTAATATTACTTCCCAGTGGAAATTTAAATAATAAAAAAGCAACAAATACAAGAAAAAACTATGGTTATACTTCTATTTAACCTCTCAGTTTCTTCATCTGTAAAATGAGGAAAAAGATTATCCCTCAAGTTGGGAGATCTTAGCTAAAATTTTTTTTAAAAACTAAGAGTTGCCGGGACCGGTTTGGCTCAATGGATAGAGCGTCGGCTTGGGGACTGAAGGGTCCCAGGTTCGATTCCGGTCAAGGGCATGTACCTTGATTGCGGGCATATCCCCAGTAGGGGGTGTGCAAGAGGCAGCTGATTGATGACTCTCTCTCATCGATGTTTCTAACTCTGTATCTCTCTCCCTTCCTCTCTGTACAAAATCAATAAAATATATTTAAAAAAAAAAAAACACACAAAACAAAACAAAAAAAAAACTAAGAGTGAGATTTTTATGGCCATGAGATTGAATTGAAAAGGGGGGGAGGGGGAGGGCTAAGTGTATGGTAAATAATGCAAAAAAATAAAAAAATAAAAACAAAAAGCCAAGGAATACTTATTTATTATGATGCTACATGTCAGTAAATTTCAAGGGTGATGTTGGTCAAACTAAATTCATGCTTTCCCAGCTGGTGTGGCTCAGCAGTTGAGCATCAACATATGAACCAGGGGGTCACGGTTCAATTCTAGGTCAGGGCACATGCCTGGGTTTGCAGGCTCGATCCACTGTAGGGGGTGTGCAGGAGGCTGCCAATCAATGATTTTTTTTTCATAGCAGCTTTATTTTATTTATTTGATATTTTTATTAAATTATTATCTTTGTACATATACCATTACCCACCCCCTTCCTTCCATACCCTCCCTCCCCAGAGTTTTGTGTCCATTGGTTGTACTTATATGCATGTATATAAGTCCTTCGGTTGATCTATTATCTCCCCCAAATTTCCCTACCCTCCCCGCTGCAATTTGACAGTCTGCTTGTGCTTTACTGTCTCTATATCTATCTTTTGTTTCTTCAGTTTATAATGTTGTTTATCATCCATAAATAAGTGAGGTCATGTGGTGTTTCTCTTTCATTGACTGGCTTGTTTCACTCAGGATGATATTCTCTGTTTCTCTCTCTCTCCCCTTCCCTTCCTGTCTGAAATTAATAAAAATGTATTTAAAAAAATAAAAATAAATTCATGCTTATAACTTACAAGATACACTTTCTGCAAAGTGTATTAACACAAGATGGGCTCTTTTCCGTATCCTACATGTCTACTAAGTTTGATGTTCTACTGAGACCTATGTAAGTGTCCATATTGAGAAACCAGAGAATGAAAGATCAATAGAAAGTATTGAGGCTGACATAATGCCAATATCAAAGGAACAGCATAGAACAAAACTGCTCTAAGTCAAAAGTATATCCAAAATAACTTTTTCACAAAACTTAAAGAACTATTTTCTTTTAAGAGGAGGAAATGTGGCTGATAGAAAAGTTGACATGAGAAAACAGAATGTGAACTTCAAGTGCTTATTCCTGACCCTCCTGGAGATTTTGAAGGTGAAACAAATGGAACTTCAGATACCAAAGGTCCTGAGCAATGATAGCTAAGAAAGGCATTCTTGAGAAGCTAGCCCAAGGGTCAGCAAAACCACTGCTTCTTTCTCCTCTGGTAAAGAGCTGAGCATTTTGTTTATAAACAACAGTATTAAGTTGTAAATGTATATAAATATTCTAGTTTTAAAGGGAAATTTTTAGAATAATAAAAACGAGTTCAGCTTTTTAATGATCCCTCAGTAAAGTTTAATGGCAAAACATATATAATTCACCAATCAAAATTAAGCTTTAATTTTTAAGCTTTTTTACATACAGCTCATTCTGGGATATCTTACCCATCTTTCAGTGCCCAGCTTTTCACAAAGGATTCCCTGATAAGCCCAGGCAGAAATTCTCTGTAAGCCTGTGAATTCTAATTTTGTTTGCATTTATCTTTCTGCTTCTCTATCCGCCTTCTTCTGTCCTTCCATCCTTTTTCTATTGACATAATACAACTTGCCAGGGCTGGTAGTGTTTACTGCCCTACTAGATATAAAGCTCTCAGAAAACAAGGGTATTTATCTTCATATCTCCCTCCCATCCCAGTGTTAAGCACAGTACAGAATTTTTCACATAAGGAAAGCCAAATAACTTTCTGTTGAAAAATGAAATTACTATAGAAAATTCAAAAATAAAACCTGAAAATTTCAGTGGTACTCTAACATATAACATAATCCAAAAGTCTATTGTTCCATAAAATTTGAAGTCAACTTATTACTGTATTTTCTAAAATATCAGCTGGTTTGGATGCTAAGTTTATGGCAACTTTATAAGGAGCTACGCCATTGTTTTCCAAAATAGTTATACCATTTTACATTCCCAAAACAATATATGAGGAGTCTGGTTTACAAATATTATTTTTATTCTGTGTCTTGTTTTTTCTTTCTCTTATCAGAGTCTTTAAAAGACTAGAATTTTTAATTTCAATAAAGTTCAATTCTCCAATTTTTCTTTTTGAATCATGCTTCTGGTATTATATCTAAGAACACTTTAGCTAACTCAACACCGAATTTCTGCCTGGGCTTATCAGGGAATCCTTTGTGAAAAGCTGGGCACTGAAAGATGGGTAAGATATCCCAGAATGAGCTGTATGTAAAAAAGCTTAAAAATTAAAGCTTAATTTTGATTGGTGAATTATATATGTTTTCCTTTTATCTTCTAAGAGTTTTATAATTTTAGCTTTTATATTTAAAAATATAATCTATTATGAATTATTTTATATGTGTGATGTTGAGTAAAATTACAAATTAATCCTTTGACAAATGGATATACAATAGTCTCAGCACCATTTGTTGAAAAGACTATCCTTTTGAAATCAACTAAAGGACTTGTATGCATGAATATAAGCCTAACCAATAGACATGAACACCAGGGGGGTGAAGTCATGAGTGGTGGTGGAGGGTGGGGGGTTAATGGAGGGATGAGGACACATATGTAATACCTTAATCAACAAAGAAATTTAAAATAAAAAAATAATAAAAATGCTCATATAGGATTAAAAAAAAAGACTATCCTTTTGTTCATTAGATTCCTTAGCACCTTTGTCAAAAATCAATTGACCATGAATGTAATGGTTTATTTCGGGACTCCTGATTCTGTTCCATTGAACTATTAATATATATGCCTATCCTTATAATGTACTTTTTTTTTTTTTTAGACAAATTGCGTTGGCTAGAAGTGCCAATAAAATGTTGAATAGAAGTGGTAAGAACAATATTATAGCCCTGTTCTAACTTTAGAAGGAAAGCATTTGGTTTTTACTATTAGATATGATAAAAGCTATACATTTTTTTATAGATGGCCTCAATCTGGTTGAAGAAGTCTCCTTCTATTCCTATTTTGGCAGAAGTTTTCAAAATGAATGGATGCTGAATTTTGCCTACTATTTTTTCTGTATCTATTAATTGATAATGTGGTTTCTTTTTTTTTTTTATTCTATTATACTAATTGATTTTTCAAATGTTAAAGAAACCTTGCACTCCTGGGATAAACTCCACTTGGTTTTATATGTTTATATGTTTTATATTTTTACCTCTATGTTCATGAGTAACATTGATCTTAGTTTAAAATTTTTTCAAATGTTTATGTTTTGTTTTGTTTTTTAATTGTGAGAGAGAAGAAGGGGGAGAGAGAGAGAAATATTGATTTGTTGTTCCATTTATTTACGTATCCATTGATTGCTTCTTGTATGTGCCTAAGACCATCTGAAAACACAGATATTTACATTACGACTCATAACAGTAGCAAAATTACAGTTATGAAGTAGCAACAACCCTGCTAGTGGTTCTCAACCTGTGGTGACCCACAGATTGAGAACTGCTGCTGTAGAGCCTAAGACCATGAGAAAACGCAGATATTTACATTATGATTTATATCAGTAGCAAAATTACAGTTACGAAGTAGCAATGAAAATAATTTTATGGCCGAGACCTGTTTGGCTCAATGGATAGAGCGTTGGCTTGGGGACTGAAAGGTCCCGGGTTCGATTCCTGTCAAGGGCATGTACCTTGGTTGCGGGCATATCTCCAGTACGGGGTGTGCAAGAGGCAGCTGGTCGATGACTCTCTCTCTCATCGATGTTTCTAGCTCTCTATCTCTCTCCCTTCCTCTCTGTACAAAATAATAAAATATATTAAAAAAAGAAAAAGAAAATAATTTTATGGTTGGGGGTCACCACAACATGAGGAACGATATTAAAGGGTTGCGGCATTAGAAAGGTTGAGAACCACTGGTCTAGAGGGCTTTCTCATTCACTTTATTTCTAAAGATAAAAGATAATTATAATGTTAGAGATATAGGATTCTGTGACACCCCTCCTCCCCAGTTAAAACCTTATTTTATAAGTATTTAAAATATTTTAAAGACATTTTTGCTTTTGTCTGATATTAGGGCTTTTGTTTCAGATTTACAGATTCCAGTCTGATGTTAGAAGATTATTCATCCAAGTTGAGCCCCCAAACAAAGAGAGCCAAGAAGAGCCTTCTCTCTGGGGAGGAGAAGGAAAATTTGCCAAGCGACTATATGGTACCCATTTTCTCAGGACGGTGAGTACACATTCTGTTCCTGGCCTTGATTATAATAAAATGGAGAGTAAATGTCAAGTAATAATAATAATAATAATAATAATAATAATAATACTAGTGCTATCATTTATTGACCATTTACTATATAATATGAGAAAGGTCTGAAGTACCCTGGAACTCTATGTAGAGGGAGATGTGATCATTGTTAAAGTCTTTGCCATCACATAGGATGGCTACATGAGAAAAGAGAATGATCAGTAACTTAAAAAAAACAACACTGATTTCTATGCCCTAACCTGTTTGGCTCAGTTGATAGAGCATTGGCCTGCAGACTGAAAGGTCCCAGGTTTGATTCTGGTCAAGAGCATGTATTCGGTTGTGGGCCCAATCCTAGTAGACAGCTAATCAATGTTTCTCTCTCATTGACGTTTCTAACTCTCTATCCCTCCTCCCTCCTCTCTGTAAAAAACCAATAAATTATATTTAAAAAACTGATTTCTAAAAGGTAGGGAGAGCGAGAGATAAAAATATTAATGATGAAAGAGAATCACCAACTGGCTGCCTCCTGCACATCTCACACTGAGATTCAAGCCTGCAACCCTGGCATGTGCCCTGACCTGGAACTGAAGTTCAACCATCGAGCCACACTAGCCAGGCAGTAACTTAATTCTACTTATGTAACTAGTTGAAATTAGAAAGAGTTTTGGATGCTAGTGAATAAATACTATATCTAGTAACTATAGAGTGAAAGAAAGATTCAAAACTCTAAGATGTTGAATGAACTGAAAAACAAAATAAAATGATATGTTTAGGTAAATGGAAAATATCTTGGTTGCCTGTGTAGTTTTAATTATTATTCATTAGGAGGAAAAAATGTTAGAAAACATAGACTAAGGAAAAGAATTACATCATATTTTGATGTCTGGCTTATATTTGTTGAATGTAGAATAGATTATTTGAGGTAAATATCAAACAAAATAACCACTGACTCACAAGTCTGAGTAATTTCTCAAGTCTGAGTAATGCCAAATTTCTGTGTTTATAATATAAACATGGTTTTTGAACAATAATAATGTCCAAAGGAATCTTGAAAGAAAACTTGTCTGAAACACCAAATTAAAATTTAAGGGGAATTTTATGAGCTTTCACCTGTTGATTTTCCTTTGAATGGAGGAGTATGAACAGAGTTAAGGTGATACTCAAAATGAGGTCATTCTCTCAGGAAAATGCTGTCAGGAAATTCAGTAGGCAATAATGTAGTTATGATCTTTGTTTTCCTATGTTTTTCTTCCCCCTGCTCTCTGATGGCTCCTTTCTGAATCATTTCAGAGGCTAATGTCATAATTGCTCTGAACCCAATTAGGAAGATAAGGAAATAAATAATATTCAATTTTTAGCCTTTTATTTGATATCTTTAATTTTTTGATATCTGTTTTTTAAATGAACTCTCCAGAGAAACATGCTTATTTTACTAAGTATACTTGCCCAGACTTAGCCTCTTCACAGTTAGTGTAATATGTACTCATATTTGTTATAGGAGATGGGCAGGGGAGAGGAGGTGAAATATTTTATTTTTTATTTCTGTCCTCACTGTTCTAAAAAATTATTTAAAAACCATCAACTTAGCATTAACCCTCATGGCATACTTCTCTACCTGTGTGGCATGAAATGAAGCTTTCCACTGTCTTCTCCCACCAAACAATTTTGTGTCTTCAAGGCCTCTCTCAAGAAATCATCATTTATAAAATAAACTGTGATAAAAGAAAATGTAAATTAAAAATAGATATTATAGATTTTATTTCCAATTCTCCTTTATTTTTTAAATGGAGTCATCTCCTATATTTATTACTATTTTGAAAATAATACTTCATAGTATGTTACAGAATTAGCAATCTAAGAGAAGGATGGGAAGGAAATGAACATTTGTTGAGTACCTATTGTTTTCTGGGAGTCATACTTTATAGAAACTATTTTGCTAAATCCCCAATATCGCCCTAGAGAGGTATTAGTATATCAATTTTTGGAAAAGAAAATCAAGGCTCAGTGACTTGTTACAAGTCTCATGGCTGGTGATAGAAGAGCTGAGTCCCCTTAACATTGGGCAATGTAACATACATGCATTGTATGTATATTTTTGGGAAACACAATTTCTTTGCATGGCACTTGAAAATTCTACTTCTTACACTTGACATACTTTGAGTTTTCTGTGTCACCACAGGTTTTGAGTTGAGACCATCAGAGATAATCACAGCATCAGGGAGGTTTTAAATTTGTTTTAAATTAGTAGCATATGTTTGTCAGCATGTTAGCATCATATTATTGTACCCAGATTATAGCAGGCTTATCACTGACCTGCATTTATATTTACTTAAAGGCAAATATTCTTGCTGTTCTGGGTTAAAAATATTTTTTTAAGTGTACTTGAGTTTTCATGTGAAATACTTAGAACTTTTTTGAGATTAAGCTTATTTGTAAATGGAAAAGGCATGGAGATTGTGACTTTTTTCTGCCCTCTAGAGCTATGCCAACATGTCCTCAGAAGTAATGTGAGCTTAAAATTAATGTTCTTTTACATAGTGTTATCACAATTCAGGGCAATACTAGCACTGAATATAATCCATTATTATATATATTAGAGACCTGGTACACAAAATTCGTGTGGGGTGGAGGGGGGTCCCTCAGCCTGGCCTGCACCCTCTAGCAATCAGGACCACTGGCTCCTAACAGCTCAGCTGCCTACCTGCCTGATTGCCCCTAACTGCTTGCCTACCTGCCTGATCACCTCTAACCACTTGCCTGCCTGCCTGATCTCCCCTAAGTGCTCGCCCGCCTGCCTGCCTAATTGCTCCTAACCGCTCACCTGCCTGCCTGATCACCCCAACTGCCTTTGCCTCAGCCTCTGTCACTGCAGCTTCTTCAGTAAGGATGTCCGGAATGACATCTGGAAGGTCGTTTGGCTGTCCAGTCTAATTAGCATGTTATGCTTTTATTATTATAGAAATTGAATCATACTAGGAAGTTCATTTCAAATATTTCTATTGTATTTTAACCTCTATAGAAAATTCCAGGCACTTTCATTATGGTTTGTTTTGTATTTAGTTATTAATTCATTCCCAATCTCATTAAAAGAAGAGGAGAGATAATTATATTAAGACACTAAGCTAAAATTGTTCAATTTATCTTTTTCTCCTCCTAAACTATACTGTATATACTACTAAATTCCTTAGTAGAGACTGGGTTATTCATATTTGGAACAATAGAGATATCGAAGATGAAATTACAACTTATTAAGTTTAGTACAAAACAGAGTAGATTAGTTTTGTCTACCAGATATTTTAGTAATATTCCATAAGAAATTCCAAACTTGGGAAAATGTTGACTCACATTCTTCAACAATTTGCATAGATTCAGGTGCCAGGAACTTGTAAACACAATGGCAGTGTTTGCTTAAATTTAGAGGTAATTATTATTGTAAGAAAAGCAAATATACAATTCTGCCTTGAGAGGTCTAGGGAGACTCAATTTCAAAAGTATCTTCAATCTAATCAATATATTTCCTCACTGAAACATCTAATGGGTTCATAACAAAGGTATTGAAGGAGATAAAAATAATCCAAATATTTTTTACAACATTAATAAACCATAGCACAAATTCTATCATAAACTACTACAGAGCACTTTTGGATATTACTACTCACTTGCCATTATCATCAATTATAAATAAAAACAAGTAACTTTTATAAATGTCACTTCAAATGCAAGTTTTAGCATCTCAGCAGAACTACTTATACGCCATATTTTCCGGCATATAAGATGACTCTCTAATTTTACAGTTAAAACATAGGTTTAGGCCTATATTCACTGTATAAGACTACCCCCCACTTCAAAGAAAAGATTTACTTTTCTGTCAAGATCTGCAGGTAATTTTTGTGCAATTTTGGTCTTTTGCCCCCGATTTTCGGTTGACTTTTTTTCGGTTCAAAAGTCGTCTTATACACCGGAAAATACGGCATGTGCAAGTACGAATAAACACCATCATATTAAATATATATATATATATATATATATATATATATATACACACACACACATATATATGCACATGAAACCTTTATTATTTAGAAAAGAAACTCAGTAAGCATAAGGATCTCATGTAAATTTAGAACTTATTTAGAACATGCAATAGCTCTGGCCATTGCCTTACATCACTGTTATAGAATTGAGTTATAGAATCCAGATTAAGCACGTTAGTCATGTATCAGAATCACAGCACACAAACTGCATTTGATTTCATAGTATCACTAAGGGGCCTGGTGCACGGGATTCATGCACTTGTGGGAGGAGTGGCCTGCGGGGATCCACCTGCTGTGGGAACGCCGCTCACCCCGGTCAGCAGAGAGGTGCTCCCGCTGTGGGAGTGCACTGAACACCAGGGGGCAGCTCCTACGTTGAACTTTTGCTCCCTGGTGGTCAGTGCACATCATAGCAATTGGTCGACCAGTTGTTCTGGTCATTCCACCTTTCTCTCACTGGGCTTTTATTATATAGGATGTTTTCTGAAAGGAAGTCATAAAGTAAACTTTTATTATAGATCCAATCATATTTATACACACCAAGGAAACGACCATGGGCAAGTTATCTAGCTTCTCTGAGCCTTGTTATCATATATCTAAAATTGAAATGATAAAGTTTTAAAGTTTACTTCATAAGGTTGTTGTAAAATGAGATAACGTGTGTAAAAAGCACTTGGCAGAAGTCCAGGGCCACCATAGATATTATTATTATCATTGTTACCACTTTTTGTTAAGGTGACAATCACTTCATATGTAAAGAGTTAGTTCCTAATTAACAGATTTTTTCTATCAAGTTTTCTTTGGGCATGGCGCACAATGTCTGAGGTCTGGTAGTTGGAACTTAATAAAATTAGGCAATGTTATCACTGCTATCCACAATATCTATATTTTGCCATTGTTATATTCTAGCCAAGTGCATGTCGGTGGAATTACAGACACAGAAGAAGAAAGAATTAAAGAAGCTGCTGCTTATATAGCCCAGAGGAATCTTCTTGCTAGTGAAGAAGGAATCACAACATCCAAGCAGTCTTCAGTATCGAAACAGTCTTTGTCCACTCTCCACCAGGAGGAAGTTTTTGAGAAGAAGTCAAGAAAAGTTGCAGTTCGAGAAAAGGCAGAACGTCTGTCATTAAGAAAAACAGTAAGAAAAGACAAGCTAATATAACTTACAAAAGTAGAAATGCATGTAGTGTGTGTAGATAGAAATTGACTTGTTTCAAAAGAAGAGATATGTGATCTTGTGGAGAAACAAAACTAAAGAAACTAAGAAGAAAACATCAAAATATATTTTCTTCTTTTTAAAGAACACTCTTTAATATTTCATTTAATACTGGTTTGGTAGTGATAAATTCTAGCTTTTTCTTATCTGGGAAGCTCTTTATCTGTCCTTTGATTCTAAATTATAGCTTTGCTGGGTAGAATAATCTTGTTTGTAGGTCCTTGCTTTTCATCATTTTGAATATTTCGTGCCAGTCTCTTCTGGCTTGCAAAGTTTCTGTTGAGAAATTGAGTACCATATTTACCTACTTAGTACTGCCATCTTGATCAGAATAAATGGTGTATTTATTTTAAAAAAGGAGCGAGGAATATGCATTTGACTTAAATATAAAAGTCAGGTTCCAAATGGAAGAATTACAATTTTGGTTTTTGCTTATTTTAATAGAATAAATAACTCTGATTTTATAATATTTTGATTTTTTCCAGTTAGAAGAAACTGAGGCATTTCATAGAAAGATGAATGAAGATCATCTTCTCCATGCTCCTGAGTTTGTCATCAAACTTCGTTCCCACACTGTTTGGGAGAAGGAAAATGTAAAATTACACTGTTCTGTATCCGGTTGGCCAGCACCTCGTGTCACGTGGTATGTTATCTTTTTGAAAACTACTTCTAAAATCAACTATACAAAATTATCATTGCCTCTAGTGAAAATATTCAGCATTATAAATATGCAGGAGTCATTGAAAGCATTTACAAATTTGTATAGATTTTTAAAATAGTGAAGAAAGTATACTGGGATTAATATTTTATGTATGGGAAAAACAGTCTTGTATACATTATGATACATACATTATAATTATACTGGAAGCCCAGCGCATGAAATCATTCATGTCCCAAGCCATAAGCCACCTCACTCACCCACCACAGTGAGCCAGGGGGCAGGGACCGAGAGATGGTCAATGCATGTCATGGCAACTGGTCAAGCAGTTGTTCCAGTCGTTATGTTTATGGTCCCTGACCTTTTATTATATAGGATTATACAGATAGGTCTTTATCTTATAAAACTGTCCCAAATTTTATCAACATATTTACATACAAAGACAATGTATATCTATAATTGCTATGGATCATAAAAATTTGTTCTCATAAAATATAGATATCATTTTGTGATGAGAAGCAATATTGCCTTTTAAAAAATAATTAAAACCCAAAGGGATCCAACTCTACTAATCATCTGATTTGAGGTCTCAATGTGTTTTTTCTAAAGCTAAGAAAAAGAGGTGTTTGATGGTAAATATCCTATATAGTAAAGATGTAATATGCAAATTAACCCTCATGCCCTCACAAGAAGGCTGCCTACCAGGCTGGCAGGGGGGTTAGTGAGGGACGACTCAATTACTGAATAAGCAGACTATGTGGGGTCACCAGGCCAGCAAGGGCTTAGTGAGGGATGACCAAATGACTGAATAGCAGGCTGCGTGGGGCAACCAGGCCAACAGGGGGGTTAGTGAGGAACAACCAAATAACTGAATAGCAGACTGTGTGGGGTGACCAGGCTGGTGGTGATGGGGGCAGTTGGGGTGATCAGACTAGCAAGGGGGGGCAGTTGGGGCAACCAGGCTGGCAGGGGGGGCAATAAGAGGTAACAAGGCTGGCAGGAGGGGACAGTTGAGGGTGACCAGGCTGACAGGAGGGACAATTAGGGGCAATTAGGCTGGCAGAGGGCAGTGAGGGGTGACTAGGCTGGCAAGGGGGCAGTTGGGGGCAACCAGGCCAGCAGAGGAGGGCAGTTGGGGGCCACCAGGCTGTCAGGGGTAGGCAGTAAGGGGTGACCAGGCTGGTGAGGGGCAGTTAGGAGAAACCAGGCCAGCAAGGAGGAGGCAATTGGGGGCAACCTGATGGCAGCAGGGGGCAGTTAGGGGCAACCAGGCATGCAGGGGAGGGCAGTTAGGGGCAATCAGGCATGCAAGGGTGGGCAGTTAGGGGTGATCAGGCTAGCACACAGAGGCAATAAGGGGCAATCAGTCTAGCAGCAGAGGAAGGGGTGGGCAGTTAGGGGTGACCAGGCAGGCAGACGAGCAATTAAGAGCCAGTGATCCAGGATTGTGAGAAGGATGTCTGACTGCCGATTTAAGCCCGATACTTGTGATATCCCCCAAGGGGTCCCGAATTGGAGAGGGTAATGACTGGTCTGAGGGGACTCCCCCCCATGCATGAATTTTGTGCACTGGGCCTCTAGTTACTAAATATGGGGCCTGAAGGAATCTTCTTTTCATAAAGAATAAATGCTCCCTTTTTCTTTCCATTATATATGGTAACAAAAAATGTATACACACTTTAAATGTCAATACTTACAAAGTCAGTATTTATTAACATACAGTTCATTTTCAAATTTTAAAAGTATCTACAGAAATGAGAAATTTTTTTTGTCAATGCCTGTTTTTAAACTAATGACCATTTTGGTCTAGGAATTGCTGAAAAAGTGAAAAAAGGGGAATTGCAAATATCAAGAATCATTTTGTTCAGTACTTGTATGCCCTCAGTTTATCAACTGTTGCTGTTATGTATTGTAAACACTATCCTTTTGTAGTCTCATAAAAAGCCTAGTGGATACATTTTCTTTGTTTAAAGCTTAGTCTGGCTTCACCCATTATTTCAAATCAATTAAACCCGAAAAGGAGTGAAAATTGAGTTATCAGCTGTTAAAGCATTTATGGGGGGACACTTTGTGACCCCCAAAAATGTATACACACTTTGAATAATTATAAATGTATACATACTTTGAAAATTTTGTATTTCAACCGCATTTTCAAACATATTTATATTTTATTGGTTAATAATAGGAATAATTGTGTGATAATGCTTCATGTAGTCATGCTGCCTCTGTTTGCAACAGTTAGGTCCTTAGCCATGTATTTCAAAGGCATTTGTGCCTGTGCCTGGCTCCCTAAAAGCCCTTTCCAAACTTGATTCCAAGTTTCCACTAGGCACCCTCTGGTCATGGAAATCCCTGAGGTCTAGCAAATGATACGCACATGCAACAGCTGCTCGTTTGTCAGTCCCACGTTGTTTTTCTTAATAGGCAGTATTTATATAATAGCTTGTATGACAGGCTATATATTGGTTTAAAAGGCAGGGGAACATTTATATCTGTATAGTCAGGAAATTCCATATCCACAGTTTCACATCCACGGATTCAACCAACTGGAGAATGAAAATATTCTGGAGAGAAAAAAATCCCAGAAAGTTCTAAAAAATAAAACTTGAATTTGAAACATGCTGAGCACTGTGCTGAATCCATGCAAATGAAATTATGTGTAGGCATGCTTTATTGTAGCCTATTTGCAAATATAGATTATGCGCAAACATTATACCATTTTATATAAGGGACTTGAGCATCTGTGGATTTTGGTATCTTCAGGGGTCCTGGAACCAACCTCCTATGCATACCAAGGGAGGGTTGTATTTGTTTTATTTGTATAAAGGAACTCTGGAAGAAGAGGTAAGAATGGTTGAGAGTTGACCTATGAATCAGGAGGTCATGATTCGGTTCCCAGTCAGGGTACATTACCAAGTTGAAGGCTTAATCTCCGGTGGGGGATGTGCAGGAGGCAACCAATCAATGATTCTCTTTCATCATTAATGTTTCTATCTCTCTCTCATTTCTCTCTGAAATCAATTAAAAACAAACAAAAACAAACACAAACAAAATGAATCTAAGGAGATCAATAAGCTATGGGGAAGAGCTGGGTAGAAGACAGACAAGTGTGAGGAAGGAGACTGCTCCCTGTGCACCCTTATACTTTCTGGTTCTTGGACCATACAAATGTATTGCCTAGTCATTTAAAAAAATTATATGACTTACAGTAAAAGAGAATAATTCTTTTTAAAAGAAGGAGAGAATTAAAAAGAGCCAGATTTTATTGGGTTTCCAACCCAAAGTCTAGATCAGTTTTATCAATGAGAATATGGATTGTAATCTGCAAGGAGATTCACACAAACTTACTGGAGCATGTGTTGGTATTGGTGAGCAGCATTCATTCATTCAGTCACTCAACATCTTTTTGAATCTATATGTGGATACTGGGCTAGATCCTTAAGTGAGACACTTAAAATACATGTTTGGAATTCTTCACATTGCCCCTAAGGTTATTGGCAAATAAAGACACTTAAAGAAAGTCATTAGGCATGATAATAATTTAAAACCTAGGAATGAAATAATAGAAATATATTTTAGAAATAATGTAGATTTGGAAAGGTCTTCTATTTTTGAATATAATGAGAATTTATAAATTCTATTATAGATTTTGTATTGAATTTGTTTATAAGAATAGAGTTATTCACAATGTATTTAGATTTAGTATTTGCTGCCATATTATCTTAGGAAAACAGTGTACATTTAGAAAAGTTAAAATTATTTGTAATTTTTAATTACCTCCCAACTTAAGGGTTTGGGGTTTTATTTTAGATTTTTTTTCTATTTATATAATTTCAAAATCTATTCAAATGGGAAAGATCTCTCTCAGCTCATTGGTTTTTAAATTGGGTAATAACTATTTACTCAAAACATAAGGTTGAATTCTAAAATAGTCACCTTTGTGGTGGGATTCAATATGATAAATACCATTTTGCATGCATTATTTGCTGATAGAAAAAAATTAGGCTGAAGCCTTTTTACTTGACGATGCTTATACCACCAAAAACCTTTCATTGTTACCCTTGTATCCAAACAGACATTTGTTTAGGGGAATTTAGTGTGTGTTTTACCCACATAAACTAAGAGTTTATTCTAGAAATAGTTATAGTAAAATACAAGCTCATTAATTGTTCATAGAGGCTACATTAAAATGATAAGTGAAATAGTATACATCTGAATATTCATGAGAATTTCAGAAACCTCTTGACAAAATATCCAGGTTGTAGATTGCTCTCCAGAATTAGCTGATGACTGGCCACTTTGGAATTTCACTTTCCAGAAATAACAAGCTGTGAGGCATATACTAATACAGAGCAGGCCAAACATCCTTCCTTGCTTTTCTGACTTAATACTGAAGATAGCCAATGTCAAGTGACCCAGAATCTGAATGCTTTGGCGACTTCCTTGGAAAACAGAATTGAATTGCTTTTCACTCCTTGCCTGATGCTTTAAAACGGGCTTTTCTTACAGTGACAGCTGGCATACCAGAGGACTAGGAAGAACCTCAAAGTGATGTGAGAGAGTGTGTGTGTGTGTGTGTGTGTGTGTGTGTGTGTGTGTGTGTGTGTGTGTTAAACTGATTTAATGTGCCAGGTGGTCACCTTAAAAAAGTCGTTCAAGTGTTAAGTTGGTTAGTACTGGAGAGCAAGGAAGGGGAACAACCCTGGGAGCTGCAAAATCCTGTTTTAACTCAAACTTTATGAAGATATGAACAACATTTTTTGTCAGAAGCCAAATGGACTGTCACCCAGTTGTTGGGTCAAGTAGCACATAGCACAGTCTTTGGTGTCATATTTCTCCTCTTATGCAAAAAGGAACTACTGAAAACACCCAACACATGAAAACTGAGCAAGAGGGAGCTTAGAATCAAGTGTGAAATTACCTAACCTAATTCAATCAAAAGAACATGTCAATTAACAGATTCTACCCTGTCATTTGTCAAAATGAGGAATGTTTGAAATTAGAAGCGGCCAGCAGATTTCTTTTTACAGCCCTCTGATCAGATAGTCCTGTCTGCCTGGGGCCCTGTGGGGAGGCAGCTGTCTGAAGCTGCTTCTGGGCTGGCAGGAAGCAGCTGGCAATGTGTTCTATGGATTGGGTAGGTTATGCCCCTACGACTGCCACACAACTACAAATTTTTTTCCCACTTAAAATTTTTATTTTATTTTCCAATTACAATTAATGTATAATATTAAATTAGTTTCAGGTGTACATCCCAGTAATTAGACATTTACATAGTTTACGAAGTGATCACCCTGGTAAATCTAATACCCACCTGACATCATGCATTCAACTGCAATTCTTAAGCCAGGCCAGCCCTCTTGTTTTAGATATGAGAAAACTGAGACAAAAGAACCTCAACTTACTGTTTTCATGTGCACTTATTTTAAGTTATCCATACCAGAACTCTGTTTCTTTGGCCCAAAATTATAGAGCTATAATTAATCAATTGCATTACACAATAATTCCATTCAATTTCACATACACAGGGTGCCAAAGATGTGCCCATGACTCATATTTCCTTGAGAATGGGAATAGAAATAAATATGGATGAAACACAGTCTCCATTATCAAGGTACTGGGAGCTTAGTAGAAGTGACACATACTTAGCAATAACTTAATATATTATACCTTGCAATTTGATACAAGTAACACTGATGCAGAGAGGCAGGAAAAATTAATATTGTGTGGGATCTTAGGGAGGAGTTTATTGAAGTGGCGTTGGATATGAATGTTGAAGGATGAATTGGGATTTTGATAAATGGAGAAGGAGAATGATACATTTTAAAAAGTGCAGAAAATGGCCCTCGTGGGGTGGCTCATTTGATCATCCCATGCACCAAAGGGTTGTGATTCGATTCCCGGTCAGAGCGCACACCTAGATTGTGGGTTAGATCCCCAGTTGAGACATGTAGGGAAGCAACCAGTAGATGTTTCTCACCCACATCTATGTTTCTCTCTGTCTCCTCCCCACTTCCTCTCTCTCTAAATTCAATAAAAACATAGCCTTGGCTGAGGATTAAAAATAAAATAAAACAAATATAAAGTATAGGAAATGGATTTGTGTTTTAGGGGCATAGAGGCTGTATGCACACACGTATGTGTGAGTGTGCAAGTTGGCAAGAGGAAAGAATTGATTAAAGATTATTTTCTTTCTTTCTCTCCCTTTTCACCACTTTCCCTGATCCCAAACCTCTTTATAACCATTTCCAGAAGTCTGAAGAAATAAAATGCTGCTAAAGAAAATGGAAGCATCACATGTTGTCAGGAGCCAGACTGTCTGGGTTCAAATCCCAGCTCTGCTATTCCTAGCTGTATGAACTGGGACAAGTTACTTAGCCTCTTCATGCCGGGGCTTCTTCATCTGGAAAATGATGTTAGAAACTGTTCTGCCTCATGTGGTTGTTGTGAGGGCTGCATTTACAATCTATTCATAAAGCACTGTGAACCTTGCCTGGCTCTAGTAAATGTTCTGTGTCAGTTGTGGTTATTCATGTTATTTATGTTATCTGTGCACATAAAGTGGCATGTCTGAAAGGAAAACAAGTGAAATCCAGCTCCTCTTTTGGGAAGAAATGGCTTAAGCAGGAGAGACTGGCACCATAGCCGCTGGCTATTGAGACCTTGAGGACATAGTAAAGAATCAAGGTGCCACTTCTAGGCTTGGGAGACAGTGTCTCAGGAAGGACCCTTCCTTGTAACTTCTCACTCTGAGGTCTGAGAGGCTTACCTAGAGGTAGGACAGCCAGAAAAGGGGAAGCCTTCAGCTTATATTTGTCAGATTTTTTTTCATGATTAATATTTTAAGTTCTTCCAAGCCAAGAGCCATGCTTGCTTATGAGTGAATAAAACTCTTATATATAATGAGCTTTTAATATAACTGACATTGTTTTTTCACAGCATGAAATGTTTTATAATACTTTATAAATGTTTTCACAACAAGAATGTTTTATAATAACCCACAAATAAATGGCATATAATAACCCACACATAAATGTTAGTAGGAAGAATGTTTTATTTTAATCCTACATAGACAGCCAACAATAAAGCCCCTAACACAAAAATTTCCCCTCTGTTGTGTCAACAGTGGTCAAGTTTTTCTTTAGATCTTTTACTGAAGGATAATATGCATACAAAAAGTGCATATTATATATGAATGTAGAACTTTGATGAATTTCTGTAGATTACACATACCCTGTAACCAAGCACCCAACTTGCCTCCTTGGTATTTCCTCCACCCACCCCTCCGCTCCACTACCCTCCCCGACCCCAGGGGGAAATCACTTTGCTGACTTCTAGCAGCGTGAATGGGTCTTTTCTGGTTTTGCACTTGATATAAAAACTATCATTGTACTGTGTACTTTCTTGTGTCAGGCTCTTCCACTCAACATTATATATGCAAGAATCAACACATTGTTATGAATGGTCAGCTTTTTAAATGTACTTTTTATGATGAAGAACAGGAAAGTAAGTACATTGAGGAGATTTATTGCATTAACTGTGCATTTTATTTAATCTACTGTAGACTTGCCTTTATTGAACAGATGTTGCTGCTGACTTCAGTGTCATGTTTACAGGTGTTCCTTCAAGAATTGTGTGTGCTTTTAATCATGAAGCTATTTGCATACACTTCAACTTACTTCCTCTTGTTCCCATTGTCTCGTAGGTATAAAAACCAGGTGCCAATAAATGTCCATGCAAACCCTGGAAAGTATATTATCGAAAGTCGATATGGAATGCACACGCTGGAAATTAACAAGTAAGAAGACATCAGAGTCTGTGTGTGTTGCCTTACAGTCTCTCATGGAGGCATTTCACCACTCCAATAACAGCTATTCCCCCTCCTTGTTCCCAATGCAGCACAATCACAATGGGGGAGCAAGCACATGCATTGCTTCTGTAGGTGCCTAGCTAAGAATGATATGCATGACTCATTCTTATCAAGCCCACTTTACCTATTAAAGTGATCTTAAATTTGAATTTAGTCAAAGATGAGAAAAATTTCACAACTTTTTATCTTTTATATGCTGGAGAGTTTTTCTTAGACATCAGTAAGAAAATAAGTTATATAAATAGACATTAACATTTAATTATTTTTTAGTGTTCCAAATCATCATCATCATCATCATCATCATCATCATCATCATCATCATATTCTTTTGCCTTTAATTAGTAAAGGCCATGAAGGTTGGGGTGGATAGTAAAGAAAGGAAGTAAGCTGGACTAGGAGAAATTGCTCTTTCTGTAAGCTCACCAGGAACTATGGAAAATTATCCACCTGCACTATCAAGCTGTAGATGGAGGCAGGGTGGACATTGGGATGTTTTTAAAGCAAAATTCAAAAGCAAAACCCATATTAAAATTTCTAAGTCCTCAAAAGTTTATTGTGTCCCCTCAGATGGCTTTGCAATCCAAAAAAGTTAAACAAACTCCCACCATCTTCAGTTCACATAAAACCATGACATGCTGAGATGTCAAAGTAAAACCTACAGCATTCTGATCTCAAAAGATTTAGAGCCTTCTCTTTAGATCAGAGCAATTGACCTGTGATGCTTGGTTTCAAAGAGATGCCTGGCACCATGTGACATCACCAACCTCTGACCCTGACCTCAAGTCATGTCAATTCTGCCGGTCAGTTGTTCTATAGAGACAACAGTGAGTAACGTGGTTGCTTGATAATTAAATGTTATGAGAAATACAATTGCATCGACCCTCCTGGGGTTCTATTCATGTCTGTGAAATTTCAGCAAGAATTAAGTTTTTATGACTGGAACTAAACTTTCAGAGACAATGAATAACACAGACACTGGTAGTGATAAGACACAAAATAACCTGCTTGGTAATCTTAGCCTGTTCATCTCTCTGTGTGATCATTGTCTCCCTAAATCCATTATTAAGACATCCCAATTTCCGTATTATAACTCAGAGGACCTTCCAAATGGCAGTTCTTGTGTCATGCTGAGTGCCAAAACTCTAAGTGTGGCCTGAACCTTAGTAGAATTAAGGGATGAGTAATTTGTTGTATTTTGAGGCTAGAATCACACATTAGGCCCACTGGATCTGGTCTGGGGCTCAGGGAGGCCATAGAAATCTAAAAGGAGAGATTGTTTCTTTCCCTGTCGCCCCTAGACTGAAACTCACCCTGAGGGAAGCCAGCAGGGAAGCTGTGCCCTCAGTTTATCATAATGCTCTTCATGCTGCAATGTATGTGCTTAGCATTTTATTAACGTTTTTTAAACGTTAAAAATGAACCCGGGCAAGGGTCACAATGGACTCCAGATCTTCTCCCTTTCTGTGCTGCTGGCTTGAATCTGCTGTAAATCTCATGAACTACCTAAAATCCCACAGGGAGCCAGATCAGAGAGCAGCTTCTTCAAGAGTTCCTTAGAACCAGGCTCTAGCCACTGGTTTACAGTGTGCCGGGTAGCAAAGAGACCCTTGCTGGAGCAGCTAGTAATTACAGGGAGTGCCACTGTGATGGCCACGCGTGTTTCTCTGCGTTTTTTCAGGTGTGATTTTGAAGACACCGCTCAGTACCGGGCCTCGGCGATGAACGCTAAAGGAGAGCTTTCAGCGTACGCCTCGGTTGTGGTAAAGAGTAGGTTTGCTGGACTTGTTTTATTCAAAATGCACTTTTTAATAATTTATTCTGATTGCTAAAAAGCAAACTAGAAGAACCTCACACGCATTTCTGCTTTCTCTTCTAGGATATAAGGGAGAGTTTGATGAGACTCGCTTCCATGCTGGGGCTTCCACCCTGCCCCTCAGCTGTAAGTTTAAAAATAGATTTGCTAAGTGCCATCTCCATTTAAAATTCAGCATAATAGGCTGCACACCTGAAACTATAATATAATATTGAGTATTATTAAAATAGAGATAATAATAGTACTTACCTAATAGGGTTATCATGAAGCTTGAGTTAATAGATATTAAACATTTGGAACAAATTGAACTCAATAAATGTTAGCTTGCCTTTTCAAATTAATACTAAGAGATCTTAGGAAGAGAGATGAAGCATGAAAGAAAGGGCCCAAGTGTAGGGAGTTGAGCAGTTATAGGTTTGAGTTTTAATTTCCCATGTGATGCCTTTGAAACCTTGTCACTAGCTCTGTATTTGTGAACTTCTACATCCCATCTGGAAGAGAGGAAAAACTAATATCTATGCCATGGGGTTTTTGCAAGCATTAAATGGCATGCCAATGGCAGCTTGCCTGGCATATAATAACCCACAAATAAATAGTTGTTATTTTCTCAAGTCCTTTCCTTTGAGAAAATAGAAAATAAAACCTGGGAGATTTTTTGATGCATGCATTTACACAAGCTATAAATAAGACATTTCTAAGAAAAATACTTTTAAAGTTACAATATTTTAAACGTTTCATTTTCTCCATTGACATTTCTTGTAATACATCTTTTACTCAGATTATTAAAGAAACTAAAGCAACTTCTGAAAAACTAAATTTTTATGATGAATTGATATAGCTATTTGTTCCCAGATTACAAGCAACAAAGTTTAAATGAACTCAGAATCTAAAATTAAAAGTGCATATGTATATTGCAACTAAGTCTAAGCTAAATGTGGTATTAATTTATGTTTTATATAAAATGACCTTTAAATTATATTAATTATAAATAAGCTTTTCTGACCAATGAAGCAAGAATTTTCATGTATAGAATTTCCATTTCTCACAATGTGCTATATACTTCTTTTATAAGACTTCAGTTTTGCTTAGATAAATTATTTGATCAATATTTGTTGTGACTGCTCTCTGCCTGTGGTTATTAAAATGCTTGTGTCTCTTTGATGAAAAGAAATAAATTGCTGATATTTGTTTTTGTTGTACCCAGTTGCCGTGACCCCTTATGGCTATGCGTCTAAGTTTGATATCCACTTTGATGACAAGTTTGATGTGTCTTTTGGGAGAGAGGGCGAGACATTGAGTCTAGGCTGCCGTGTAGTCATCACCCCTGAAATAAAGCATTTCCAGCCAGAGATCCAGTGGTACAGAAATGGTGAGACTTGATAATAAATTCTCAATTAGGTTCTTATTCACAGAAGGTCACAGACGGGGCTTGGCACTGGAGCATGAATGTCCATTAGACTTTTTCAGGATTGGCAGAATTTGAACCTTAGAGGATGTTTTAAAAGATTTTTACACATATATTAAACTAGCAGAACTTCTATAATATTTGTGAAAATTATAACTTACTGCTAAGTAACATGAAAAGGATTACCAAAAAATGTTGTTTTGCTATTATTGTAAGTTGGCTATACATTCATTTTATAAGTTACTTTTATTTAGTAAAATAAATGGAAGTTTATAAACCAGTGGGATTAGGAAGCATGTCAGTAGTGCATGGGGTCCCTGGGCAGTCTGGGGCAGCCTGGCATTCCAGGGCAATGGCTGGGACCTGGACTGGGCTTAGACTGAAGCCAGCATGGTGCAGCAGCAGCACTGATGTGGACGTGACCCTAGAGGAGAAGAGGGGCAGCATGGGAGCCATCCATGGAGGCCATCTTGCCTGTCTATCCCCACGACTTACCTTTGAGGAATCTGCATAGGTATTAACTTCCTGGCCTGAACACTGTCAAGAACTGTCAGCAATCAGACACTAAACTTTGTCAGTAAAATATTACAAAATAAATGTGTGTACATAGACATTGCAATAATGCATGTAAGGCAGTTGTTAGAATTCTTCAAAGAATTTAGAATCTCTGACTATGAAAATTTCCACAACATTGCAAAGCAACTACCTACAGACTTAGAAATAGAAACTAAGTTTAAAAGAATGTCCCATTCAAAAGAACACTATTTTTGTATGAAACTTTGGATGAAGCAATTATTAACAAGTAAGATCATTTTGAAATTAATTTTCCCTCTTAATTGAAGAGATAATGATAGAATGCATAAACATGTGTTTGAATTATATACAAACCATGAAGTCATTTTCAGTTTCTTGTAGGACCACCACAAATTATGGGACATGTTAAAGAAAACATTAAGATGTAATTATGTAAATTACATTTAAAATTAAATTTAGACTTTCATGAAACTGATTTGTATGAGGGTTAAATCTTTTTAGAAAAATTGTTCTTCAAGAATAATCATCTCTAGAGTAGTAAAATTTATATTTTGAAATAGTTTATCAGAAAGTTAACTTTATGACACCCTAACTATATGAGACTAATATAAATTTATGTAACACCATAACTAACACTCTTAACAGCTGTAATAATAGTGGCATTAGCAGAAGAATTCTTCTCAAAATGAAAAGTTTTCTAATTTCCTTTGTGATCTTGTATTTGTAAAGCACGAGTGATGTTGCTTTCAATTACATCCACTTAAAATGAAATTGTTAAAGGTATGAATTTGATGGCCTAATAACTGAATTAAAAAAAAATCAAGCCAGAAATATTATCATTAAGATATCATAGTAATGAAGTATTATTTTTTATAAAATCATGGCACAAAAATATTAGTTTTTGTAGTTTATATTATTTCTATTACATTGTATAAGTGATAAACTATCTTTAGAAGAAAAAGCCTTATACTTTTTAATGTACTTTTTCCTCTGCTCTTTGAACAAGAGACCTTTCCATTTTATTTGTGTTGGAGGTTATGCATCTGGCACTGGTCCCTTGCTTCTGGTCTAGTATTTTTACCAATATAAATATGGCAGAATGACTCAAAGCCCTAGAGAAATCCTCTTATAGTCAAATAGCCTTCAATATAGAAAGGGAGAAATAGAGAAGGGTAGAGGGAGGGAGAAGAGAGGGGATTGAAGGGGAAAGAGGAAGAAGGGAGAAATAGAGAAAAAAATCAGTTAATTTGCTGACTTCTCTCCCCAGGAATACCTGTTTCTTCATCAAAATGGGTTCAAACCCATTGGAGTGGAGAGCGGGCATCACTGACATTTTCTCATCTCAATAAAGAAGATGAAGGCCTCTACACAATCCGTGTACGAATGGGAGAATATTACGAACAATATAGCGCTTACGTCTTTGTTCGAGGTAAGACCTAGCAGAAAGCATCTTTTTTAAAAAAAAAAATACTTTATTGATATTTTACAGAGAGGAAGGAAGAGAGATAGAAATGTCCGATGAGAGAGAAACATTGACCAGCTGCCTCTTGCACACCCCCTCCCAGGGATGTGCCTGCAACCAATGTACATGCCCTTGACCAGAATCGAACCTGGGACCTTTCAGTCCGCAGACTGACGCTCTACCACTGAGCCAAACCGGTTTCGGCAGAAAGCATCTTTAAAGAATCTTTAAAACACCGAGACCAAATCAATCTATCCAAACATGTTTTATGTAATGTTAAAAGAGCTGTTTGAAAATTCTTCCAGATTACATGGCTTAGGTATATCAACTTCCAGACCTGATGCAAAGAAGTTAACCCTGAAGGCACTATCCCAAAAGTAACTAGTTTCAAAATTGTGTTACTATCACTAATGTCAGTACTTTCCTCATCTTCAATAAGACAACCATGCAATTTTCTATAGGTGTTCGAGTGGAGATGTTAAATCCTTTATGAAAAGCCATCTTAATTTATAGAAGCTGCAACAAAAGGATGATGTGTTATTTGGGAACTTACTCTTTAATATCTATTTGGGGAGCAAGTTTATTATTTCATTTCTTAGCTTTTTAAAATAGTTTTGGCTTTAATGGACTAGTAAGCAAAGTGATACAACTTAATTCTTTTTTATTTTTTTAACATTTTTTAAAAAAATCATTTTTTAGAGAAAGAAAAAGGAAGAGGGGGAGAGAGAGAGAGAAACATCCATGTGAGAGCAAGACATTGATGGCCACCTACGTGGAATTGAGCCTACAAGCCAGGCATGTGCTCTGACTGGGAACTGAACTGATAATCTTTCTGTTCATAGGGTGATGCCCAACCAACTGAGCCACACCGGCCAGAGCTATAATTTCATTCTTAAAACAAACTATAATAATCAATTTTAGGATTCTTTCTTTTTCTTCAGCAGTGTCTTGAATGGACAATATATGTACAAGTGGGAATGTTATTTCTACATGAGGCCCTAGCACATTGGGAGGGCCACTAATACATCTAGGCTGGTTTTCAGTGTTCTTTTATGTGATGGTCAGCAGGTGTTGCTACAACAGGAGTAAGAGGAGAGGCTCAGGGAAACAGAGAGGAAGGGAGAGGGAGAGAGAGAGAAACTTCAGTGATGAGAGAGAATCATTGATCAGGTGCCTTCTCCAAGCCCCCTTCTGGTATTTTAGCCAGAAACCCATGCATATACCCTGACCAGGAATCGAACGGTGACCTCCTGATTCACAGTTCAATGCTCGACCACTGAACAACACTGGCCAGGCAAAACATAGTATTTTATACTTACAAATCCAGAGACAGGAGGCAGAGCATACCATGTAGAGCACATGGGAAAGAACTTCCATTGATTGGTCAGGAGGCAGAAGGGGCAGGAGTTAGGGGCGAGCCTAGATCGTGGCCTTTAATGAAGTTTCTGTGGGAAAGGCAAGACAGAGCAAAGAAGTTTAGGATTGACTCCTGTGAATAATTTAAGGATGGTACCTAGTTATGCAGTACCTGGCCCTGAGATGATTAAGGAAGAGGAATATTTCCCTCTAGGGTGCATGGGCCAGACAAGGAGGCCTGAAACTCTGGATGAATTAATTTGCATATCAAATACATGCGCCAGGCTGAGGCCTCTGCTATCTCCAAGAATTGGCTAGCTCCAGCCAGAAATGTATGTAAGATGTCAACATATCATATGTACAGAAAATAGATAATATGTGTTCTTTGTGGGGAAGAAAAAAGATAAAATAAAATAAGTAAGAAAAAAAAGAAAAGCCTTTCATTAGTTTACCATTCAGAGATATCCAGTGTTATAATTTTGTTACATAGCTTTCTAGACCTTTGTAAATGGGGTGGGCAAATACAGGTTAATGGTTGTGAATACACAAAAGCAGTTTATTCTTATATTATTATTTTTTAATTGTTGTATTATTTTCCATATTAACAACTATAAACCTACTTTTTCCCATCCCTGTATTCTTTCCTCTACATCCCCTATCGAGAAAGGGTGGAGGGAAGAGTTGATAGATAATATGATTACGGATGGGATAGAAATGTCATGAAGAAAGAATTACAAATGGAAAATATGCAAAAAAAAAAGTTATCACTAGTAATCAAAGTAATTAAAATGATATAATGTGTTAATCTATCATATTGAAAAGAATGAAAAGATTTTTTAAATCCACTGGGATAAAAGAATGGAGGGACCAATTCCTATTGTAGTGAGTGTAAATCTGCTTGACTTTTCTCAGTGTGTTTGCCACTAGGTATTGTAGGCATATTTTCAATAATTCTAGGAACTTGAGTGGACAAAGTTGAAAGAACAAATTGTATGCTTATATGAAAACTAATGATGTATGCTTATATGTGAGATAATATATCAAGAAAATCAGTTTATATGAAATTATATAGTACCATTCCATTTTATTTTAAAAACAATCACTTTTGAGTTATAAATATAGAGAAAAAAAATCTAGAAAAATGTAGGCCAATATGTTGGTAGTAGTATTCTCTGAGTTATGGCATTTAAAAGATATTTTCATATATTTTTTTGATTATCATATATTTAACAAGTGGCCCATTGCACAAAATTTGTGCACGGGGGCGGGGTGTCCCTCAGGCCCTATAGGGATCGGGCCTAAACTGGCAGTCAAATATCCCTCTTGCAATCTGGGACTGCTGCCTCCTAACCTCTCATCTGCCTGCCTGCTTGATTGCCCCTAACCACTCTGCCTGCCAGCCTGCTTGCCCCCAACTTCCACCCCCTGCCAGCCTGTTTGCCCCTAACTGCCTCTGCCTCAGTCCTGCCACCATGGCTTTGTCTGGAAGGATGTCTGGAAGGTCTCCCAATGTAATTAGCATTTTACCCTTTTATTAGTATAGATTAACATTCGAATTATTTCCATTTTGGATAAAATTATTAATAGCTTGTGTCAGATGTCAAAATATAAAGAGAAGCAGGATAATCCTTGACCTAATTAATCAAACCTACAAAAAGTTTGGCTATTTGGAGTGTTTGGAGAAGGCAGGGCAGAGGCTAAGGAAAGGTTAACATTGACTGACTGGGGGCTGTGAGCCAGAGAGTCCATAGCAGCTGCTAGGAGCCAAGAGCACAAGTGTGAAGTAACATAACACAGTGTTTGAATTTGGCTTCCAGCAGCTGCTAAAGAGAAGCTGTTTTTGAAAGACTGTCAAGCCCATATCTTATAAGCAATTTTATAAAAGTGCTGAAAAATGACTCCCTAAATGCCAACTGTTAAGTACAATGGATGTTCAGTGAACTAAATTTCTTTTAATGTATTTTTTTAAATATATTTTTACTAGAGGCCTGGTGCATGAAATTTGTGCACAGGTGGGAGAGGGGGGTTCCTCTTAGGCCAGCTCTTCGGTCATTACTGTGAGGGCATCCTGACCAATTTGCATGTTACCCTTTTATTAGTATAGTTTGATTTCAGAGAGGAAGGGAAAAGGAAAGAGAAATAGAAGCATCAATGATAAGAGAGGATCCTTGATCTGCTGCCTCCTGCATGCCCCCAACTGGGAGTGAGCCCACAACCTGGGCATGTGCCCTTGACTGGAACTGAATCTGGGACTTTCAGTTCTCAGGCTGATGCTCTATCCACTGAGCCAAACCGTCTAGAGCTTAATTTTAAAAAATATATATTTGTATTGATTTCGGAGACGCCAAGGCTGGCTGGATAGAGCGTCGGTGTGGGAACTGAAAAGTCCCGGGTTCGATTCCGGTCAAGGGCATGTACCTTGGTTGCGGGCATGTCCCCAGTAGGGGGTGTGCAAGAGGCAGCTGATCGATGACTCTCTCTCATCGATGTTTCTAACTCTCTATCTCTCTCCCTTCTTCTCTGTACAACATCAATAAAATATATTTTTTTAAAAATAGACAAAATCACTCTCTGTTGTGTGGCATGTAGGCATTCTGCATTTGTTTCAGGCACCAATTAATTTTCCTCTAGCAGGAGACATTTCCCCAGAGACAGACTGCAGATCTCATGGGGCAAGAAACAGAATGTTCCAAATCAAAGTGACTTGAACTATTCACAATGTGCACCTATTAAATTCAGAAGTAGACAAATATTTCTGCCCTGTTATCAAATGTTTTAGTAACTCAGAAGACCTATGCAAGTGTAGCAGATAGAAAAAGAAAGTGTTTATTCAGTCAACAAGAGCATTTTCCCTTGGATAAGTGGCTCCTACATATCTCAGCCTCCTCTCAGACTAACTCCAATTCTGAAAAGGCTGACCAGATGTCAGAAGAAATTGTCAAATGTGGATGGATTCCTTCCCTCAGGGACTCTGCCTCCTGTCTTAATTGTTCTCATTTAAAAGGCTACTGATTATTTTTATTCTTCTTCCTCTCCTCCTAAAAAACATCCCTGATTCACCAATTTAGTTGTGACTGAAGACATTGCTGAGAGGACCCCACTGTCAGAGGATCCCATTTCATAAATAGTCACTGTCCTTTGTTTCTTGTATAATCCTGGACTTTTATTACACTCAGATAAGCAAATTCAGATGTGGGTATTACATCAGAGTTCCTTTCGCAAAGGAACAAACATTTGATTGAAATAAATGTTTTCCTTTCTTTTTCAAAACAGTAGTACCCAGCATAGGAATAGGCAAAGCTTCATGGTTCTTATTCTCTTGTGGATGCATCCAGAAGGTAACAGAGGGGGCTATTTGTTCCCCTTTGGAGACATTCATAGTTTCTGAGTAATATGACATAATAAATATCTTAAGAACAGACTTTCTGGCACAACTTACATTTGACTTTTCTGATAGCAATCCTTGATATCTACATAATTATTTTCTTTTAGAGCATTTGGGAAGTCAAGGGCCTTGAGGCAAAGGTCATGAGTCCTTTTTATAATAGAGCCCTTTCTAACATAATGTTCTTGGTGCTGATGGTGAAAAGCACACATTGTTATGTTGGTAAGCAAATTACAAGTCTGAAGCTTGCTCTACTGGGGTCAAAGATGTAGCCTTTGAATTGTGTGCACTCAGAACCCAGTCTGAGGGCTGCAGAGCACATCTGAGAGGGCTAATGGGATCCTTCTGTAACTCCACAGATGGTGATGCAGAGATTGAAGGAGCCCCAGCCTCTCCCTTGGATGTGGTGTGCGTGGATGCCAACAAAGATTATATCATTGTCTCCTGGAAACAGCCAGCTGTGGATGGAGGGAGTCCTATTCTGGGATATTTTATTGATAAGTTAGTACTTAGTCTAACTTTAGTTAGAGTGATTTGGCCATAGAGATGCATGCTTGATTTCTCCCACTATTTCTAGGTGAAATATTTTCTTTTCTGGTCTCCTCTCACTCCTTCTCTCTCACCCTCTCCCTCTTTCCCTTTCTCTCTCTCTCTCTCTCTCTCTCTCTCTCTCTCTCTCTCTCTCTCTCTCTCTCTTTCTCATACATAAATGTGTATATTCATATATGTGTGTATGTATAGAAGATGTATAGAAGATGTAGACAGATACAGATATAGCTATAGATAGGTATATACCTAAATTCTAAAGATAATCTTTGAATTTGATGACCAGCACATGTCACTAATTAGGCAAGAAAACTATAAATCCATAGACTTAATAGAGGCCACTTTAGAAGTGAAATAGTGGTATTCAATATATTTAATGTCCATATTCCTAGTATGTCAACAATTTAGGAATATTACATGAAGAATAATACTTTATAAATACTAACAAGTTTTATTTAAATCTCAGGAAGTGATTTCAAATTAGAAAAAGAAATCACAAATATCAATAGTATTAAATTATATTCTATTACAAGTTCTTACTGTTTACATTCTCTAAATCTTAGAGACTTTGGTTTATGGTAATTGGGTTTTACATATTAATTATACACTAACTTTAGATAACATAGATAAAAATTTCATATTACCAACCTAAATAAACTATCTGACTTAATTTTTATTTAAATAGTTGCTCTAATTCTCTTTCCATTTTTTGAGCCATAAAATTTGGTTGTAAAAACCACAAGGAACAGATAATTTGGCTGCTATGATACAATGAAGTTGTACCAAGGTATATTAAGCCAGATATTTATAGCAGTAAGTAAATATATATCTATTGGGCTCAATACCATACAGAGAAAACTTTATAATAAATTACATACCATTTAATTGTATACTAAATACTTCTACGTTATTTTATTTTTTAGTAACGAAGAACTGTGAAGTTTAAGATAGATTCTTTTTGCATCCTTATAATTTCTGTCTTATTATCTTTGGCAAATTTCTAAGGGATTTTCAAACTTTGATCATTGAAAAACCAGAGGCAATAAGTACATTCTGTTTTTCTCTTGCTTTAGTTAAAAAAAAATAGCAGTATTATGAGTAGTATTTATTCATCATTTGTCATGTAAATGACACTGTTCTAAGCCCTTCTCATACATTGACCACTAACCCATAATTATCCTTTGAAAGGTAGGTACTGTTATTACAATTAGGAAATGAGTAGCTGACCCAAGGCCACATGCTAATGAGGAAACAGTCACATAGGGTAATTCCAGCAGAACTAGAACTCAGAGAGCAGCCCTACTGTGTGTGTTTTTTCTGCCCCATCATGCGGTAGACAGCTCTGAGCAGCGGCTCTCTGCCTTTGACCTGCCCACAGGAGGTTAGGAAGCATGCTGTAGGATCACTGAGTAACCATGACAGAATCTACAGAGAGAGGGAGGGAGGCAGGGCAATTGGAGAATTATCCTAGCCTCACACATTCATTTATAACAGCTCCATAATTTCTACAAAGGAAGATTTAGGGGAAAGTGGATGTAAGGTAAGGAGTGAAGCTATATTTGCTAACACTTTACATAAAGTTGAAGAAAATATTTATCTCAAAGAGGAAGGGTGATGGTAAGGAAATAAAGACAACCCTCTCTCCCACTATAAACACCTTTGCACTGTTATTGGAACCGCCCGGCCCCCATGAGAATCATTTGGGAATTATACATGTTGGACATAGAGCTGTGTTGTGGAAGTGATATAGACAGAAAGTCCAGTACTCTACTCATCAAAAAAGATGAATTACTTCGCCCTGTGGATCAGGCTATACCATGATAGAACTCACATCTTTGTCTCCTGAGGTGTGGCCACTCTATCCCCAGGCATCAACTGCTGAAAAAGCACCAGGTTAAAATCTGAGGTTTCAAGTTTTTAAATCCAGGCCTGGGAATTTCACTGCATCTCATCAATCTCATCTGCTAAGAAACGATTACAGTTCCCTCCTCGCCCTCCCACCTGCACAGCAGCCAGTGACCATCATGTGAGCTCTCTCCAAACTACAGTACAGAAAGTTTATTTTTTTCCCCTCAGCAATGGTTTCATAATTTAAACGAAAATGCTTAACGAAGTTGCTAATGGTGGAACTGAAGACATCAGCCAGGCGGAAGTTTGAGGGACCCTGCCCCTTAGTCTACTCAGTGTAGAGATTGTACATCTCAGCCTGCTTCTCCCCACACCCCTGACCATAGCTCCTCTACTTAACACACAAGGCTCTTAGCTGCATATTTTTAGTGAGGTCAAAGGACATGTATGTGTCAAGAAGGAGCTGAGCTTCGTTTACTTGTTAGAGAAGATACGTTACAGTTGAGTGGAGTTGAGTACATACCTGAAATTAAATAATTGTTGAACTGCACATGAGCTGGATATTTTGTAGAAAAATCTGAAGCAACTGGGTAGTTTATCAGCATTGGAACTATGAACTTAGCCATACTTCTCTTAATATTCTTATTGATGACTCTCTTTTTCTTAGATGTGAGGTGGGCACAGATAGCTGGTCTCAATGCAATGACACACCTGTGAAGTTTGCTCGTTTCCCAGTCACTGGATTGTTAGAAGGTCGTTCTTATATATTCCGAGTTCGGGCTGTGAATAAAACTGGAATAGGTCTACCATCTCGTGTTTCTGAGCCTGCAGCTGCTCTGGATCCAGCTGAGAAAGCAAGACTTAGAAGTAAGCATTTTTCATTTTCTAGAATCTTTCTGAATCTTTTTTAAAAATAGAACTACAGATCTCATTGCAAAGTTATTCCTCCCCCTTCCACTAGAGGGAACAGAGAATAAGAAATCCTTTATTGATCAGAAAATCCTTAAGGTGGAAGGGGGACTGAGGAGCATGAGAACAAAAAAGTATTTGTTTTTTGACTCATCTATTCACTATTAATATCTCAGTACAGTGAGTTTCTTTATATTAAAGGAAAAACAACATTATATCTAATCTATATTTGAATTTCTTTATAGACAATCAAAAATAATCTGTCCATACAGTGAGCCTTTAAGTATCGATGTTGAAACTATGGTACATGAATTATGTTCTGCCTTTGTTTCATGGGAACCCATATGGCACCCTCAATAAAAGGAATTATGAACTGGCATTAAAAGAATTGTTGTAAATTAACATTTCCCTCTATACCAGATTTCTCAACCTTGGTCCTGTTGATATTTTAGGCCAGATAATTCTGTGTTATGGGGTATACACTGTACATTATAGGATGTTAGCAGCATCCTGGTCTCTACTTACTACAGGCCAATAGCACTCCACCACCCGCTCTGCCCCTTGTGACAAAAGTATCTCCGGACATTACCAAATGTCTCTGGGGAACAAACTCACCTTAGATGAGGATTTCTGGTCTGTGGTTTATTTTCAGTTTTGTTGTTGTTATTAATCCTCACCCAAGGATATTTTCCCATTGATTTTAGAGAGAGTGAAAGGGAGAGGGAGAGACAGAAAGAAACATCGATGTGAGAGAGACACATCAATTGGTTGCCTCTTGCATGCATCCCAGTCAGGGTCCGGGAACCTGCAACCAAGGTTAGTGCCCTTGACTGGTAATCGAACTTGGGACCCTTCAGTCCAGGCCAATGCTCTATTCACTGAGTCAAACTGACTAGGGCTGCAGTATTATTATTATTATTATTTTTTACCTTAAATACATGTAGAAAAATCTAAGTAAAATAATGCTACTTTTTCTAATCACACTACTTGATAGCTTTCTGATCACTTTTCACCTAACACCCAGCTTCCATCTCTCTTTCCTAATTCCATCTCATACATTCATTTACTCTTTTTTTTTTAATATAAATTCAAATAAAAAATAGGATTTCTTTGAGCTGAAAATTAAGTTATACTGTTTATTACCTTTCTGTTTTTGCACAAAATCTGGCCAAAAGTCCTTTGATTAAAGCAGGAGTTGAATCATTTTCTCTTTCTGGTGTCTATGGGATTACAGACATGAATTTCCTTTTTAACTTTATACTCCTCATCTCATCCATTTCCTCACTCAGGATCTAAGCTGGTTTCCTTTGTAGAGAACAGTTTTTTAATGCAATGCAATGCAATGCAATTGCTTTTGTTGAGCCTTACTGCAGCATCAGCGCCCCTCTCCTCTTTCATCTTTGTTATGACAGATAAATAGCTACTGGGCTAGCAATTGTTCTGGAAAGGTTTCTCCCTTAAGGAGATATCAGAGAGCCTGCATGTTTCAGGAGATCTATATGGAACAGTAATTGAACACAGGTTATTTACCTCCCTTGGGTAAATACAATTCTAGAAATGTCGACTCAGTTCAAGTAGGTTCCAAGCTCTAGGAGATTGTGAATTCTTCAAGGACACAATACTGTATACATGCTCAGTAAGATTCTTTAGAACAATACATAAGTCAACTAGTAACAAATCCATTTGTGACTAATCTGGCCAGTTAATCAGTTTATTAAGTGCAGTTGAAACTGCTTTTGTGAATGTTTGTGATTTTTATTTTTATCTTTCTTCAGGTCAACCTTCAGCACCCTGGACTGGACAGATCATTGTCACTGAAGAGGAACCTAGAGGTAAAAACTACATTTCCTTCGAATACTATTGCCAATTTTTTTTTTTTTTTTTTTTTTTTACTTTGCTGGTTAGCTGTAGTGGATGGTACACTGCATATTAAGATGTTTTATTAAAAAAAACATTCTGAAATATTTGGATATCATAAATGTAACATATTGTCAAAGAAGCACTTTTCCTAAAACGTTTTATTGAGATATAATTGACATACACTCAACTACATATCTATAGAATATACAATTTGACATTTTTCCGATGTGTTCACCTGTGAAACCATCACCATGATCTGAATAATGAGCATATCCATCACCCCTAAAATTTCCTCACGTTCCTTTGTAATACTTCCCTTTCATTCCTTCTCCATTTCTAGGCCATCACTCATTTGCTTTCTGTCATTGTAGTTTGCATTGCTCACAATTTTAGATAACTGGGATCATACTCATTTTTGTCTGGTTTCCTTTACTCAGCATAAATTATTTTTCGTTTTATTCATGTCGATGTTTGTATCAATTCATTTCAGTTTACCCATTCACCATTGAAAGTTTCTATGAAAAGCCTTGTGAAGTGTTTGTGTGGACATATGCTTTCATTTCTCTTGGATAAATACCTATGAGTTGAATGGATAGGTCATATGGTATGTGCCGCACCAGCACAGCCAAGGGTGAACCTGAGGAGGGGCAGTGAAGGATTGAAGAAAAGGCAGACAAGAGAATACAGCTGGGGCTCTGTGGACCTCCCGTGCCGGGATGAGGACACAAAAGGCCCAGCCTGCAAGCCGATGCGTTATTTTATAGTCTGATTAAAACAAGGGTAGATTAACATGTATACAAATGTTCTTGTTTTGGCAACACTTGCTACAGCTCCCACAACCCATTGGCTACTTAGGAAGGAAATAGGGAGGGCTACAAGGTCAGGCTGAAGTATGCTAGGAGAGCTCTGCCTTCCAGGCTGGGACTTACTTGTGGCTCTGCCACAGGTCAGCCGAGGTTGATCCTAGAGCTGCTCCCTACAATGGCAGGTTTATGTTTAATTTTTAAGAAGCTGCTGACTGTTTTCCAAACTAGCTGTACCATTTTACATTCCCAGTAGTTTCTCTATGGGAGTTCCCCAGTTGCTCCACATTGTCACCAGTACTTGGCATGCAGTCTTTTAAACTTTAGACATTCTGGGAGTGTATAGCGGTGTTTTATATTATAGTGATATTTCATAGTGTGGTGATAGTGGTTTCAATTTGCATTTCCCTAGTAACATGGAATTTGATTGCATGTTTGTCTATCTATTTCTGCAATATCTTGCAGAAATTGGTAAAATTTATTTTCTCTTCTATGTTGCTTTATAAGCCTTATGGGTGTTTTTTGTGTTTTTTGTGTTTTTTTTTTTTTTTTTTTTTTTTTTAAGTTTCATTGTTTTGAAGTCAGATAGTTGTAAATCCTCTAGTCTGACCCCACTCCCAAAGTTTATTTGGCTATTCTAAATATTTGCATTTTTATGTAAAATTTAAAACCAACTTATACATTTCTACAAAAATCTGCTGGGATTCCAATTGTCTTTTATATCCTTAACTAGAGGCCCAATGCATGAAATTTGTGCAAGAGTAGGCCTTCCTTCCCCTGGCTGCTGGCACTGGCTTCCCTCTGGCACCTGGGATCCTGGCTTCCCTCGAAGCCCTGGCTTCATCCAGAACATCATCCAGAAGGTCATCAGATCTAATTAGCATATTATTATTATAGATTGTTTTCTATCTACTTGTTCTATCAATTATTGATAGTAATGAAATCTTTGACTAAATGATGTATTTATCAGTTTCTTCTTTTAGTTTGTGTTTTGATGCTGTTATGAGATACGTAAATATTTTTATTGTTATATTCTTTTATGAGTTGACCATTTTATTATTATGAAGTAAGTCCCTTTATCCTTAGTAATGTCTTTTTTCCTTCTTGGAAATCTACTTTGCCTGGTAATATAACCTTTGGATTTTATATTGATTAGTTTTAGCATGGCATATGATTTTTATCCTTTTAATCTATATGTGTGTTTATATTTAAATCATGTTTCTTGTAGGCAGTATAAAAAAGCTAGATCTATGCAATATGGTAATCTTTGCCTTTTCATTGGGGTGTTTGAACCATTTACATTTTGTGTGATTAGTTTTATGATTTGACTTAAACCTACCATCTTGCTATTTTTTTCTGTCTATTTCCTCTGTTTCCTTTTTCATATTTTTCTACTTTCTTTTGTATTAAGTATTTTTTATTATTCCATTTTCTGTGTTATCTTATTAGCTATTATTCTTTTTTTCCCTAACTTTATAATAGTTTGGAATTTATACTATAATACACATTGTATCACAACCTATCTTCAAGTAATATTATATTACTTCACAAGTAGTATAAGAACTTTCAATTATATTATTTCATTTTCCTTCTGAACCATGGTGCTATTGTTATCATACGTTTTATTTGTATATTTATTTTAAACCATACAATACAATGTTATTATTTTTGTTCAAATCATAGCTTATCTTTCTAAAAGACTTAAAAAATAAGAAAAATATTTTCAATATTCACTCATTTTTACCATTTCTGTTGCTCATTTCTTTGTATAGATCTGGATTTCTATCTGATATGACTTTCTACCTAAGGCACTTCCTTTAATATTTTTTGTAGTGCTGGCCTGATGGTTATGACTTATTTTATTTTTTCTTTGTTGAATCTCTATTTCATCTTCATTTTAAAATGTCTTCACTGTGTGTAGGATTCTGATTGACAGTTTTTTAAAGATATATATTTTTATTGATTTCAGAGAAGAAGGAAGAGGGAAAGATAGAAACATCAATGATGAGAGAGAATCATTGATTGGCTGCTTCCTGCATGCCCCCCACTGGGGATTGAGCCCACAACCAGGGCATGTGCCCTGACCTGAATCGAACTGTGTCCTCCTGGTTCATAAGTTGACACTCAACCACTGAGCCACACCAGCTGGGCATCCTTTTCTTCAATGGTGTTTGACCTGATGTGAATTCCAGCCAGTGGTTTTATTTTTAAATTTTTGAATTGTATATAATTTTAATATTTTTCATGTTTTTAATTAACATGTTCAATCTTTATCTTCTTGGACTATAGAATATATTTATAATACTTTTTATTATGTCTTTGTCTGCTAATTCTGTCACCTGTGACATTATCTGGTTTTGTTTTTATTGATTAATTTTTTTATCCTCTTTATGGTTTGTTTTTTTTTTTTGCTTCTTTGCATACTTGATTTTTTTTTTCTTTTTTATGAGATGCCAGACATTTTAAATTTAGTGTTTGGTGATGGATGTTTTTGTATTTTTATAAACACTCTTTAGCTTTGCTCTGGGGAAGTAATCCTTTCAAGGATTGCTTTTGTTGAGTGTAATCAGAGAAGCCTTTAGTCTAGTAATTTGGCCTCTCTACAGAGGAAATGCCCTCCTGAGTACTGTCCCGGATGTCCCAGTAATAAGGAGATTTCCATTCTGGCTGTTGGGAACATGAACTCTCCCAGGCCCAACGTGAGCTTTGAGGATTGTTCCCTTCAATTCTTTTATGTGGATTTTCTCCACCTCAAGTGGATTTCTCACATGTCTGAGCTGATCAGCACTCACGTGAGCACTCCACAGGAACCCTCTGCAGATCTCTGAAGCCTCGCTCTCTGGGAAGCCTTTTCCTCCAGTGTTCATCCCTATGATTCTGTCTGTGGATCATTACCCTCTGGGAAGTCCAGCCTCTCCTTCACCCAGGGAGACTGCCAGGCCCTACCTGGCCTCCTCTTCGTGAGCTGCTGCCTTGACATTCTCTCCACACAGCAAGCTAGGGCTATGGCAGGACTCACCTAATTGTTTCCTTTCTATAGGGTATCATTGTCCTACGCTGACTAATATGTTCTATGCTGTAAACAATCATTTCATATGTTTTGCTCAGTATTGTAGTTGTTTCACATGGAGGGATCACTTTGATGTCAAGAACCATGGAGGGTCTAAAAGTTTGCCCTACTTACGAGCTAATGTTTCCTATTAGTTTCACAGATTCTGGCAAGAGACATGAGACTCCTGGGTAAGAGACAAAGGACTCTTCTACTCACAGCACTGCAGACAGCATGAGCTTCCTGTTCTCACTGGTTTCCCTTGCCCCTCCCCACCAACCCTACAGCAGAGGTGGAGGCTGCACACACAGTAGATCTGTGTCTCAGCTGAGAAACCTTACTCTCAGGAAACCGCAGTCTTATTAGGGGGCGTCACCTAACCAAACCTAACCAAACGTTCTCTGGAGAAATATAAACTTTTTGTTATCCTGGTCAGAAAACAGTCAACTCTTTACACTAGAGGATATGCCATGTCTATATTCCAAGGTTGTTTGCTATTCAAACCTCCTTGAGAAGACATTCTATTAAAAAATAAAGCTGATAGAAGCTGTGCCCCACCCTGTATTGTAATAACTCTGTATTGTGTCAGGTGGGTACTAGGAAGAGGGATCAATTTGTAAACTAAATAAATGTCTAACCATATGTTGTGCACTGAAACTAATATATTATGTCAATTGTAATTTAAAGAATTAGAAAACTTCAATCAATCAATTAATTGCATTAGAAAACGATTATTCTACTCCTTTTGGTAAAAATGTGAAACATAACGTGTCGTTGCAACTGTTTTTTAGGGCTAACAAAGAAATTAAAATTGTCAAGCAAAGAAAGTAACATTGTGGCTTTGAATTAGGAATGACTGTTTTAGGAGGAATTTTAGAAACAAGGTACTTCTTTATCCTTCGAAGCAGTAACTAAGTCTTCCTTCAGCTTTAGAGAAACATCTGTGCCTGAGTGTCCTGGGTCTCCCAGAGTGTGCTCACTTTCCTTGTTGTTTTTCAGAGGGTATTGTTCCTGGGCCTCCCACAGATCTCTCTGTCATTGAGGCCACCCAGAGTTACGTGGTGCTGAGCTGGAAACCCCCTGGCCAGCGTGGCCATGAGGGCATCCTGTACTTTGTGGAAAAGGTAAGACTCTGGGATCAGCATTATTACCTCATGCCACTTTCTGAAGCCTTCTTTTAAAAGCAGACATTACATTTTCATTTTGTCCTGAACTCTTTAAAACTTTAAAAACTGTGAACAACCTCCATAGAAAAAATACTTATCACACAGAACTTTGCTGGAAAGTTGAGGGGATTTCTGGACGCTAAAGCTCATCCATAGGGCTTCTAAGAGGTTCATGGATCCCAAGTCATGATCCCTTTATGAAGAGAGATGTTCCTGAAACTGCAGATTTCCTGCGTGACACTGCTTTCCGGAGACGTTCTCTGCCTTCCTTGCTCTAGTAATGGCTTTTCACTTCTCTGCCCCTAGTCTCTCTGCAGTAGGGGTTGAGCATCAGTGAGGGTAGATGTGTGAGAGGAGTGGAAGTTAAAATATTTTCTAATGGCTGAGAGAATTGAAGACAGAAAGTCCTCACATGCTGCCACACATTTGAGCAGCACCACTCTATGTGCAGTTTGGGATCAGAAATTACAAAACAACATAACATATTGGCTAGTTCTTTCCCTCAAATATCTTACAAGAATATTGCACTTATGTTAGAAAGGGTAGCATATAATGAAGGCCTAAAATGAGTGAAATCCTGTCCAGGGTGTCTTCCTGCCTTGTGTCTTGAGCTGCCAAGACAGTGTCAGGTCGCCCACAAACCTGAACTGGAATAAGCAGGTTGGCAAAGCATTATCTTACTTGTTTTTATTCATCATTCTTAAATCTGTGTGTAGCTCACATTTATTTCAGTGTTTAATATTAGATGTGTTTAAGGTCTTTATTTAGAAATTTGATGGGGGTTTTTTCTGTGACAGAAATATGCTGTAGAAATGTAATTCTTATTTGTATCAATTAGCCTGTGATAAAAATCATTTTCATTATACATCCTTTCGCCTAAAGTTGAAGTTTCCCAAGAAATTATTGGCAATGTTAAGTGAAGAGTCGCTGTGTAGCCCAATAGAGAGGCTTGTATGGGCACAGGTGGCACATTCAAAAAGTCAGAGATGTTCAGGTGTTGGGGAGCAGCACAGGTCCTGGGGCACATTCACAGAGCTATCCACCTGCAAGATCCTCTGAGCTGATTCTCAGATTATTCCTGATAACGGCTTCTCATACATTGACCTCTCAAAGGGAAACGCTCCCGTGCTCTTGTTCTGAGGCAAGTGTCCATCCCTAGAATGCTCAGGCCTACAGCAGTGCTGCCTTTTTGGCTATTGCCATGCCTGCACTTCTCCGTGGAGCTTTTTACCTGGGATTTGCATGCACATAAAGCACTTGCCTGTCATGGCCACAGGCTTAACACCAGTTACAGCATGTCCCCAAGCCCTGAAATGGTTGAAAATGAGGGGATTATTAGCAAGGGAATTGGATGAATCAGTCTCTAGGGCTCCCAGCCTTCCTATGCTACTGTGGTCTTTTTCTCGGGTGTCTTATGTCTTGAGTTCTTTCTCTCATTCCCCTGTCAATATCTAGTCATGTCAGAGACAGGGGCAGCCTCACTCAATAGCTCTGTTTCTACCAGCAGGAATGTTGCTCAGGACCAGGCACTGCACGCCTGTTAACCCACTTAATCCTTATAGTAACCCTCAGAGGGAAATACTTTTCATCATGCTTATCTTGTAGATGAGGAAACTGAGTCACACAGTAAGAGGCAGAGCGAGGATTTGAACCCCACAGTCTGACTCAGGTTCATATACATCCAACAATTACACATTGCTGCTTTTAAACCTCCCCAAGCCTAAGTCCTCCCTCAGGAAAACTTTGATAATCACACAACACTACCCTCACAACGCCTACTTCAGAGCACACTGAAGAATGACAGTGGTGAATAAAGCTCTTAGCACAGTGAAAGACAGCTATTATTTTTATTGTGAAAGTATAAATGACTGATAATTGCTTCTGTGTTCCCCAGGGGAGAGTGTGTCAAAATGAATGAAAGCCATAAAATAACGGATTAAGTGGGAGAATTTTATTCCTCAGTGGGCAGCAGATCGACTGTTTAGGGGGAGTTTACACTCTTTATCCCCCCCTCCCCCGTACACACACACACACACACACACACACGCACACACACACACACACACACACACACACAAATGACATTATTATGGAAGGCACTGCAAGAATTTTAAAGGTTACCTTGTCAACTCAAGTAACAGGAAATGATAAATAGCACTGAGATGCCCTGCCGAGAGTCCCCCTTTATTCCTGCTGTGCTTTCAATGCGTCTCCCTGTTCTGGCTGCAGTGTGACATGGAAACAGAGAACTGGCAGCGGGTGAACACAGAGCTCCCTGTGAAATCTCCCCGTTTCGCTCTGTTCGACCTGACTGAGGGGAAGTCCTACCGGTTCCGTGTCCGCTGCTCTAACTCAGCAGGAGTTGGTGAGCCCTCAGAGGCAACGGAAGTGACTGTGGTTGGAGACAAACTTGGTAAGTGTAGAGCTTGGTTTAACAACTATAAACTTATTTATTTTTCTTCAAAAGGAAATTCTAAAGCAAAAATTTTATTAGAATATATATATATATACACACACATACATCATATTTATTAGTATGCATATTATGAAATAAATGTGGCGACATCTTTCTTTTCTACTATAAATTTAATTGATGACTATATTTGACAGATACATTTTTTAATTTATTATATGTATTATCAAATTTTGAAAGTAAATTTCTTCTGGAGTTTCAACAGTATTGATAATGTATTTTTTCTGGAGTGGGTTGGTGTGTTCCTGGGTATTTGGTTTATCATTATTCTCTCAACCTAATATATTTTTTAGTTTTAACAGTCCTATATAGTAAAAGGTAATATGCGAATGGACTGAACAGCAGAATGACTGGTCACTATGCCATGCGCTGACCACCAGGGGGCAAATGATCAATGTAGGAGCTGCCTTCTGGTGGTCAGTCAGCCACAAGCAGGGCTGATGGCTGGTAAGCCCAATGGCAGTGGCGGGAGTATCTCCTGCCTCCATTTAGGCTGTCAGTTGGACATCCCCCGAGAGCTCCTGGACTGCTAAAGGGCACAGGCCCGGCTGAGGATCTTCTTCTCCCCCTCTACGTTGCCCCCCTCCCCCCTTCCAGTGCAGGGCCTCTAGTATATTATAAAATAAAACAACCATTTACTTGATATGATTATTTATATAAAATTTATGTATGTGTGTTTATATGTGTTAAGAATGAATTTTTTGAAATCACCTTGAGTTCATCATTATTTTTCTCTTTTCTCAGATATCCCCAAGGCTCCAGGCAACATCATCCCAAGCAGAAACACGGACACATCAGTGGTAGTTTCATGGGAGGAATCCAAAGATGCTAAGGAGCTGGTTGGCTACTACATAGAGTCCAGTGTCGTTGGCTCTGGCAAGTGGGAGCCATGCAACAACAACCCGGTGAAGGGCCCACGGTAACTGCACACTGTGTATGCGTGTGTGTGGTCAGGTGGTAGGGACATCTGACTAGAGCTACAGAGGCTGTGAAGAGGAAACACAGCCATGGACCCACGCAGCAGCAAAAACATCCAATGGAGGGATTTTTAAAAAATAGTTCAATACTTCTTTATAATTTTTATTGAGTTTATTATGGGTAACATTGGTTAACCGTAAGTTTCAAGTGTACAACTCAATAAAACATCTGCATACTGCGCTGTATGCCCAGCACTCAAAGTAAGGTCCCTTTCTGTCCCCATTTATCCCCTCTTTGCACTTGTCCACCAATGCTCACCCCCCTTTCCCTTTGGCTATCACCATATTATTATCTGTGCCTATGTATTATATATAGTATTTCCTTTTTGCTTAACCCCTCCACCTCCTTTTCATCTACCATTACCTCCCCACATACAGCCTGCAGCCTACTCTATATATCTATGCCTCTGCTTCCATCCTGTTGGTTAAAATATTTTGTTCATTAGATTACACATATAAGTGAGATTATATGGTATTTGTCTTTCTCTGACTGGCTTATTTTACTTAGTATAATACTTTCCAGGTCCATCAGGCTGTCACAAAAGGTAAGATTATCTTTTTTTACAGCTGTGTAGTATTCCATTATGTAAATGTAACACTGCTTTTCTTTCACTCAAGGATGTTTTTCCTATTGATTTCTAGAAGGGAAGAGGGAGGGGGAAGAGAGAGAGAGAAACATCCATGTGAGAGAGACATATCGATTGGTTGCCTCCTGCACACAACCCTACAAGGGCTAATAAATCTGCAACTGAGGTATGTACTCTTGACTGGGAATCAAACCCAAGACCCTTTGGTCCACAGGTCGATGCTTTAGCCACTGAGCCAAACCAGCCAGGGCTACCGTGCTTTTTTTATCTGCTCATCTACTGATGGACACTTGGGCTATTTCCAAATCTTGGTTATTGTAAATAAAGCTGCAGTGAACACAGGGTTGCATGTATTTTTTCTATGAGTGTTTTAGATTTCTTCAAATGTATTCCCAGAAGTAGAATCACTGGGTCAAAAGGCAGTTCCATTTTTAATGTTTTGAGGAAAACTATTGTTTTCCTCAGTCACTGCAGCATTCTGAATTCCTACCAGCAGTTGTACTAGGGTTCCCCAACACTTGTTTGCTGATTTATTGATGATAGCCATTCTGATAGGAGTGAGATGATATCTCATTGTGGTTTTAATTTGTATTTTTCTTGATGCTTAGTGACATTTAGCATCTATTCCATATGTCTATGGACCATCTGTATGTCCTCTTAGGAAAAATTCTTTATAAATTTTGGATACTAAACACTTTTCAAATGTATCATTGGCAAATATGTTCTCCCTCTCAGTTTGTTGATGGTATCTTTTGCTATGCAAAAGCTTTTTAATTTGATGTAGCCCTATTTGTTTATTTTTTCGTTGTCTCCCTTGCCTGAGGAGATATAGCAGAAAAAATATTGTTGAGAGATAGCTGAGATTTTACTACCTATGTTTTCTTCTAGGATTTTTATAGTTTTGCAACTTATATTTAAATCTTTAATCCATTTTGAGTTTATTCTTGTGTATGTTGTAAGTTGGTGGTTTAATTTCATTTTTTTGCATGTATCTGTCCAATTTTCCCAGTGCCATTTATTAAATAGACTGTCTTTACTCCATTGTATATTCCTCCTTCCTTTGACAAATATTAATTGACCATAAAAAAAATTGGGTTTATTTTTGGATCCTCTGTTCTATTCCATTGATCTGTATGCTTGTTCCATACTGTTTCATATGGCTTTGTAGTATAGTTTGATATCAGGGAGCATGATACCTCCAACTTTGTTTTTCTTTCCCCAGATTGATTGCTAAGACTATTTGGGGTCTTTTGTGGTCTATATATATATTTTGGAATATTTGTTCTAGACTCATGATATATGCAATGGGTATTTTAATAGGAATTGTATTAAATATGAATCTATAGATTGCTCTAGGTAGTATGGACATTTTAATTATGTTAATTCTTCCAATCCATAAATAAGGTATATGCTTCCACTTATTTGTATCTTCTTCCATTTTTTTCTTCATTATCCTATAATTTCAATTAGAGAGATTTAAAAAAATACTGTACTTTAAATGTCCAAATGAATTTAAAATTGAATATATCTACTATAATATATTTGATAAAAGGCTTACTTGTTATATTAAACACTTAGAAATACTTAATGGCAACTATGATAAGAGTTCATTTAGTAGCTCTTTTCTGGTTCTTTCCTTTATGCTATTTGCCTTTTTACCCCTCTGTTCTTGGCTTTAGTAGCCAATGTTATACTAGATTCTAAGGATATAATAGGCTCTAGCTAACACAAATTACCCAGATATTTTAAACAAACAGAAGAAAACATCAAACTCTGACCACCAACATGATTACACTCAGTGCTGATGAAACATAAATAACCAAACCAAGGACACTCAGAATATTTTACCAACACTTTGCTTCTAATGAGGATGGTTATTTTTCTTGCTCTCAAATAATTTATCAACCAGCTTTACAAGTTGATGATGAATTCTGGCCTGCACCCAAAATCTGGGCCTCCTTTGATTTAGGATCAACCTGAGAGGAGAATTCCACCCACAAAAATGTCACAGGCTTATTAGGCAGCTCCTTCTTTGACCACTTACTTCTAAGTCCAAGGACGCCCCCACCGGTTGAGTTGCCTCTTTTCTAAAGCTTGAAAGAATAGAGACAAACCAATTAATGGGAGAAGGCAATGTGTTTTTACAAGGGATTCATTGCGCTTGTCTGCTCATTTCACTTTTACTCTGCATTCCCAGCATTTTCCTGGGACTATTTAGAAACATTCATGAAGGAAATCCAGCCTTTCTGGAAACTGACTGATGCAAGGACGGGCACCATCTTTTATTCGTCCTTGCATCCACAACACCCAGCTTAGTGTCTGGAATATTGACATGCTCAATAAATGTTCTCTGAACTGAGCCGACCTAAGAGTTGGCCTAAAATTAGGACTGGTGTAAATCATAGCAGACTTTGTTAAATATTTCAACATGCAAATAGTAATAGAGTCCTTAGCAGACTTGTTATTTCCTCTGGTTACAGTCCTTAGAATGGATTAAAATGTTAGTGATTCATGAAACGGCTTTTTATAACCATAATAGCTATTAAAGAGTGAGGTTGTTGTGTGTGAAACGGCTCATAAATTCACACCTTGTTATTGAATTTTTATATCTAACTGGCAATTCTGGAGCCAATTTTTCACTTTACTTTTAAATTCAAGTAAAATTTCTCAAGTAATTGTACCTTTCCTGGCATGCAGAAAGGCAGAGCATAGACCTCAGTAATGAGGAGCCTCCTATGCTTATGGCTCTAAGTATGCACCTGAAATAACCATTAGTAATATTATTTATGCCACCTATTATTTATTAAATGCCTCCTATATGCAGGCCCTGTAATAGGTACTTTAAATACTTTATGGACAATATTTACACAAAATTATTATGTAGATATAATTATCCCCATGTTACTGATGAGCACACAGAGGCTTAGAAAGGTTAAAGGACTTATGCAGGGGAAAACCAGGACTCCTCATGGTTTGACAGAGTTTAGAAAACTGCCTTAACTGCCTGCTTGTCTAAAGCACATGTTACCTGCATCTCTCTACATCTTTTTCTTCCTTTTAAAAAAAATGAATCATGCCCTAGATGGTTTGGCTCAACCGATAAAGTGTCAGCCTGCAAACCAAAGGATCCTGGGTTCAAATCCTATCAGGGGCTTGTACCTTTGTTTCACGCTTCTCCTTGGCCCAGGCTCTGGTAGGGGCTTGTTCAGGAGGCAACCAATGGATGTGTTTCTCTCCCATAAATTATCCTCTCTGTCTTTCCCTCTCTCTTCCACTCTCTTAAAAGACCAATGGGAAAATATCCTTGAGTGAGGATTAACAACAAGAACAAAAAATGAATCCTTTTCATAAAGCCAGATCATTCATTAACAATCATCTTCTCTAATTTTCCTCCATAGAAATTTTTTTTAAACTTCCTTTCCTTTCAGATTTACGTGCCATGGATTGGAGACTGGTCAAAGTTATATTTTCCGGGTCAGAGCAGTTAATGCAGCTGGACTTAGTGAATATTCACAGGACTCAGAAGCAATTGAAGTAAAAGCTGCTATCGGTAAGTTCCTTAGGCATGACTTTGCTAAGAAAAAAAAAATGATTTTTTCTAAGTTATAAAGGCAGATACCACCATTTCCAGAAATTGTTTAAAGCTTCTAATACTGCTCCATGATTCCGCCCTCAAATGATCATTTTCTCTGACTCCAGGTGACATCTAACCTTCCCTAGCTGTCATTTTACAGATCTTCACCACTTATCCAGATTCTGTGCATCTGTAGACTTTTCATCTTCACAAGTCCAAGTTTCCTCAGATATTTCCCATTGTGGGAAACTCCATTCTAACTTCGTGCTCATCACGGGAGTGTGAAGGGCCATCCAATTCCATGAAGTGGTATATCACCCATAACACAGACCACCTTGTACCTAAAAGCCATTTCATCTGCAACATAGCCTGGCTTATTTTCACTAACAGTACACTAGCATGCCTTTTATAAACTCCTCTAAAATTCCTGCAAAGACACATGTGGTGGCTTAATCATGTTTCATCTCTGCTTGCAAAGTAACCAACAGAATAAAACCAGTAACAATGTAATACTATGTATGTACATGATGTACCTCGCAATCTTAGATGACATGGGGAATGAATCCTGAACTTTCAGAGCAATCAGAATGCGGTTTGGCTCAGTGGTAGAGCGTCGGTCTGCGGACTGAAAGGTCCCGGGTTCGATTCCGGTCAAAGCCATGTACCTTGGTTGCGGGTACATCCTCGGTAGGGGGTGTGCAAGAGGCAGCTGGTCGATGTTTCTCTCTCATCGACGTTTCTAGCTCTCTATCTCTCTCCCTTCCTCTCTGTAAAAAAATCAATAAAATATATTATTAAAAAAAAAAGAATGAAGTTTGTCATATAGTAACTCATTTAAAGAGAAAGACCATTAAATATAATTTGTCTTCAGTTAGTGTTCCATAGTACTTTTTAATATTCCTTGTAATATGGGGAATAGTGAACATGTTGCTTTGAGATTGAGAGGTACAGACCATTAATATTTCACTAATATACACCATTCTGTTAAAAAAAAAATCAGGAGCTTTAATGTACGTCTCTTGTGTACTTTATGTTTCTTTCCTCCATTCTGTTGAATAATACAACTTATATCTTCCAAGAAATATCTGAGATTTGCTTTCTCTTGTGTACCCTTGGGTTCTGCAAATTTAAAATTGTTCCTGTTCTGTCAGTAGTTTTTTGTTCTCATTTCTTCTTTTCCCAGAATATGGAGAATTGAAATATTTCCTTGTTGTACATTATGTAAAATGTATTCTCTCCATATTTCTGACAAATCCAAGTGACTTAACTGAGATTGTTTTTGTTCTGTCTGTGGTGCTAATGTTTTTCTCTTTGTTCTATTAAGTAAAACCAGTTTACCCTGTGTCTGGGCTTTAAGTGTTTCTGTTGTTATCTGGCGATTGTAGGGGGCGGAGAGTCTCCAGATGTGTGGCCTGAACTGAATGATGCACCTGGTGGACTAACAGACTCCAGGGGAGGCATGCATGAAACCTCCCAGCCAGCCTTTATGAAAGATGCTTTACTTGATAGCAAACTTAGCAAACCTTCACTACCCAGTAGCTCTCACAACCTGGGCCAAAAAGAAGTGAGTAATGTAAGTGAAACAGTTCAGGAAGAGCTTGCCCCACCACCACAGGAAACAGCTCTTAAGGGGGAAAGTAAGTCTGATGATCCAAAAAGGAAGAAGAATCTAGGTGAGAGTTCAACGAGTAAAAATGTTCCATCTGTCTCCATCAGCGTCCTTGCCTCTCATTGTCTAGATCACATTCCTCCATCTGTGTTCACTTTCATCCATGTTTATCCTCAATTTTATGTTTTCAGCTGTTTATTTACAATACTTTTGTAATCTTTTATGGGTTTGCTTTTATACATGATTCATTGTGCTTAATGACCATAAACACATTTAAAGTAAATTGGTTATACAGTCCTTTTAGGTTTCTGAGGCAGATACACCCCAGGCCTCATTTTGCTAAGGGAATTAGAGATGAGAGCAGGAAGGATTTGATCATCATAGCTTTGTGAGGTTCTTTGCAACACTCTTACTTAGTACATGCATAGGAAAAGGATTTCACAAAGAAGGGAGATTTTACCAGGATCAAAGTTATCAACTTCTGTTGTTCATCTTAAAGGTTTTCAAATTACCCTTCACATTTGATTAAAATAAGTAAAAGTAACATTACTCTTTGAATTTCCATGAACAGTTCAACAGGGTATTACAATCACATATACTAGTAGCTATGTTCTGTGATACATGACCCACATTTCCAGTACTGTTTTATTTAAGACTATTTATCAATAAATTAAGGATTTTCCGGTTACGATAATTGGTACTTGTAACATATAGTCTAGGAGACAATGTTTTTTTTTTAAATAAAATAAAAATGAAATAATAAGCATGTAATGATACATTAAAACATGCCTCTCATCTATCCCCTATCTCTAACACACACCCCAACTCCTGTCAAGGCTTCTTTTTTCTTTTTTTTTCTTTTTTGACACTTTTATCTGTCCCTTCAACTCAGTGGAAGATGGGATATTCTTGTTTAACATTGGTCTGAAATAGGGAGAAAGAGAGAGAGTGCTCGTTTGTAAAATATAAAGAATGAAGGAGGTTGGGGGTGGGGAGAGAGAAACAAATGTATTTTATGTTTTAAATATTTACTGTTCTGAGATTCTTTTTAAATGGTAATGAGATAGTATCTTTATATTTGAGAAGCCAAATAAATATTTAGAAAATTCTTTTTAATGCCATTGCATTTCTAGATAGATTTTTTTCCCCACCACCACATCATATCTATCTTTATTAAAAAAAACTATAATTTCAGTAGTTGATCAGCAAAGCCACATAAATGAAGAAAGATTTTTAAGACATCCTCCAAATATTTTTATGGCTAGGCACTAATAAACACAGAAATAGCTATGTAATGTTTTATATATTCTATATGAATAATATTCCAACATCAGATTAAAAATAATGAGACAAAAAGTATTGTATACTAAAAAAAAATCACATGGAAGATTGTGCCTATTTATAAAAAAATTTTAAAGGTGACATTTAGCCTCAGAAGAAGATTTTTCCTGTTTGTAGACAGAACCTATATAGTTATAATGTCTCACCAGGGTACCTGTGCCTGAATGGTTCATTGCTAATAACTCCGGAAATACATAGAAATTCTCAATAAGTGAGTTAAAGCAGAAATTTACTTACATATTCCATTTTCCTGAAGGAGCAAATAAACACAAAATGACATAATGAAACAAAAACGTATATCTTGGGGGAAATATTCCTTTTTCAGGGGAACAGAATCATTTCGCTGAATATCACACCATTTTGCTTTTAATGTTTCAAAACTTATCCATCTCAGGGACCAGGAGGTAGGTTTTTTAAAAAAAATCTTTAGACTTATAACCGCAATGCCCTTTTGGCCTTGCATAAATTTTTTCCTCATAGACCAAATCAGATGCCAAGTTACTGATCAGTGCCACATTTTAGTTTTATACCACAAGACCTCGTGCCTTGATGCATGGCACCAGTGAAACAAGTTTAATGTACATAGAATCATAAATGCATTTCTGTCTACTCACAAGTATTCATATTACAACAGCGGCACCATCTCCACCCTATGATATCACTTGTCTTGAAAGTTTTCGTGACTCAATGGTTCTTGGATGGAAGCAACCAGATAAGACTGGAGGGGCTGAAATTACTGGCTATTATGTGAACTATCGTGAGGTAATTGATGGGGTGCCAGGAAAGTGGAGAGAAGCCAACATCAAAGCTGTCAGTGAGGAGGCATATAAGGTAAGAATGTAACCTTCTGTAGTGTGGAGTGTCACATGGATGACATACTCACATGCACACATTTGCACATGCATGCACGTGTCCAGCACCTTGTAAAAGATTTATGTCATTTCTCCAGTGTCAATTGCCTGCAATGACATGATTTTTGTAAAATGTATATGAAGATAAATAGGGTGTATATGTATATGTTTATTCATACACATAAACATAATTTCTTAGAATGTTTACTATGAAAGTATACTAATTGTGAAGATTAATATTTCTTACAAAAATTAACTTACAAAATATAACAAGTATGCCACTAGCTTCAAGAGTCCCAGAATCCAAATGAATCTGGATTTTATTTTTTAATTGAGAGAGGAAAGGAGAGAAAAACATCAATGTGACAGAAATATTAGTTGGCTGCCTCACTCACCAGCCTTGATGGGGGAATCAAATCCACACAACCTGGTAATGTGCCCTGGGAATCGAACCTGCCACCCTTTGACATTCAGGACAAATGCTCTAACCATCTGAACCATACAGGCCAAGGCTGGGACTCCTAATTTTAACACAAAAATGTCCTATATCCTTGGGAACCCTGTACTCCCAGGAAAACTGTAATGGTTGGTCACAGTAATAGAGCCCCAAAGCAACCCTGGTACCTAAATAAAGGACATTTAGATCTAAGTTTTCTACCACATGGTTTCCCCATAATTTAAAAGATTTTTTTCTTCTTAAAGGGAGCGTATGCGTTTAACCAAAAAGGGTGTTTATATCAATCTGCTACTTTAACAGCCACTATATTCTACTTATACCCTAAATAACTGATTTTGGTTGAACTTATGACTTTATGATCAAATCAGATGTAGACTGGATCATGGATTTTTATTTGTCTTGGCTTAAGTTATACAATAGGTAAGATTTGTTAACAGCTATTTCCAGCAATAGTTCCATTTTAATGTTTAAAGGATTGTGCAGTCCATAGATTTTTCCCCCACATTAATATATTCCATCATTTCTATTTTGCAAATGTGGTCATAGTCTTTATTTTATTATATATATTTGCCTTCATAATAACCCAATTCCTACTGAGGGATATAGAAAATATTAGGTTTCTCAGTAAAGAGCAGAAACATTACAAGAATTTGAATTTTTTTATTTCTAGTCTAGAAATCATTTCATTTTCATCTGTACATGCATTAGGTTTTTATTGCTGTATAACAAATTACCATAAACCTTGTGGCTTAAAATAACTCATGTTTGTTATAGCACCATTTCCACAAGTTAGGAGTTTAAGGCTCAGCTTAGCTAGGTCCTCTGCTCAGGGTCTCATAAGGCAGCAATCTAGGAGTCAGCTGGGCTGCATTCTCCTCTGGAGCTGGAGTGCTGCTCCCAAGGTCATTCAGGTTGTTGGTAGAACTGAGTTCCTTGCAGCTCTAAGTCTGAGGCTGCCCTTCTTCAAATGCCAGGGCTAGGTGGTTCTCAAACTGACATTTACTTCTTGATGACCATTGTGACAGTGCTTAAATTCAGGAAGATTCCAAACCCCATTTTATGATTCCCTATCTGATTAAAGTCAGACCTTTAAAAAAACTCACTCTTTCTCCTGTGTGTTTCTCCTTTATTGCTTGTTTTTTTTTTAAAATATATTTTTATTGATTTCAGAGAGAAAGGGGGAGAGAGAGAGAGAGAGAGAAAGAGAGAGAAAAAAACATCAAGATGAGAGAGAATCATTGATTGACTGCCTCCTGCACGCCCCACACCAGGGATCAAGCCTGCAACCAGGCATGTGCCCCAACCAGGAATCGACCAGGAATTTAACCGTGATCTCCTGGTTCATTAATGGATGCCCAACTACTGAGCCAAGCTGGCTGGGCTCCTTTATTCTTACACTGCAATCACACCTGACACTTCCCTCACAACAGCTGGGTGTCCTACAATTTAACTCAATTCTGACACTACCTGGAGATAGAATCAGATCCCACATGTAGAGGGTTTGATCCCACAAATTTACTCCTCCCCTTCAAATTCCAGTGCTAAGACTAGGTTGTCACTGAGCTTCTGACCTGACTGATTGGCTATAAATCAGAGGTTCTCACAGCCTCTTCCTCAGGGCCCATTAATTTGTTAAAGTGACTCCCAGAACTCAGAGAAATGTTTTGTTTATTAGATCATCAGTTTATTATAAAGGGATTTATAACTCAGGAACAGCCAGATGGAAGAGGTGCACAGGGCAAGGTATATGGGACAGGCCAATGAGCTTTCATGCCCTCTCCAGTGCCACTCCCCCAGCACCAACCTGGAGGCTCTCCAAACCCTGTTCTTTTGGGGGTTTTATGGAGACTTCATTATGTAGACATGGAATAAATCATTGGCCAACTCAATCTCTAGCCTCTCTTTTCTCCCCAGAGATCCCAGTTGGTGAGGCTGAAAATTCCAACCTTCTAATCACATGACTGTTTTCCCTAGCAACCAGCCCAATACCTAAACTACCTAGGGGCTTCCCATTTCATTAACACAACAAAAGAACATTTAAAGTTTGCATCACTTTTAGGAGCCCTGTGCCATGAATGTTGACAAAGACCAAATATATATTTCTTCTTATTAATTATAATATGGAAGTCAGGCAGGCCCACCAAGGATAATCTGGTTCTCTTTTTACTAACTCAAAATTAACTGATTCAGAACTTTAATTACATCTGAAATATACTTTCTTCTTTGCCAAATGTAACATAACTTCAGAACTGATATTACCATATTCTGTGGCTAGAAGCAGGTAACTCGTTTGCCTACATTCAAGGAGAGGAGATTACAAAAAGGTATGACTCACTGAGAGTCATTATAGAGTGTGTTCAACACAGGAGGTAAATAAATAAAATGTTGAACAATTAGAAAAAACAAACCTGAAACATTCACTCCCTGTGATATTATCTATGTTGCAGATTAGCAATTTGAAGGAAAACACGGAGTATCAGTTCCAAGTGGCAGCCATGAACATTGCTGGGTTGGGAGAGGCCTCGGCAGTAAGCGAATGCTTCAAATGTGAAGAGTGGACCATTGCTGTTCCAGGTAAGCCTTGAGAACTGACTTTCTCCCAATAGACCCTACAAACTTCGAGCTAAATATGTGCTATATAACAAGTTCTAAGGGAAATGAATTCTCTTGGTCCCTCATGTTTTCATAAAATATTTTTACAATACTATTAAATAACTAGAGGCCCCGTACACAAAATTCATGCATGGGTAAGGTCCCTAGGCCTGGCTGGTGATCAGGGCCAAGATCTGGGCCTTCCTTCCGCATCACCCCCTGGTGGTCATCGCACATCATAGCGAGTGGCTAAACTCCCAGTTAGTCAAACTCCAGAGAGGACAATTTGCATATTAGCTTTTTATTATATAGGATAGATACCAATATAAAACTGAGTATAAATTTCTTATGCTTCCAAATAAATCCTAGAGCTCCTGCAGCTCAGCCTCAGCATGGAGTAAGATTGACAGAAGCATACAACTTGAGTGACACATGATCATTTAAAAGGAATTCTAATTTTTGCCTGTGTGTGTGTGTATTTTTTTATTGATTCCTCAGCATGTGCCCTGACCAGGAATCAAACCATAACCTTCAGGTTCATAACTCGGTGCTCAACCACTGAGCCACACTGGCTGGGCTGCTTGTGTTTCTTAAAGGCCATTAAAGGGAATCCAATTCATATCACATAGCAACGTTCCTCAGATATGTCTTCCTGTACTCCCTAGTTCTCATCCCAGTTCTCATGCCTTCTCCAACCGTTCAGAAGCCTGCTCATTTACCAGCCAAAATTTCTCCAGAATCAGGCATTGTGCCTTCTCTTCCTCCCTGGCTCCCTGCTCTTTGCTCTCCATATCTCCACTCACTCTCTCTCTCTCTCTCTCTCTCTCTCTCTCTCTCTCTCTCTCTCTTTCTCCCCCTTTCTCTCTCCACTTTTTTTCAACTCTACATCACAATAAAGATCCTGGAACCAAACTGGAAATACTCTTCTTTGGAGTTCATCATTGGGATGGAGAGTGAGGGGTGGTGATGTTGTTTGGGCAGGGAAGAAAATGAGAAAAAGGATTTAAAAAAAAAAAAATCTTCACCTGAGGATACATTTTTATTGAATTTAGAAAGAGTAGAAGGAAGAGAGAGAAACATTAGTATGAGAGATAGACATCAATCAGTTAACGCCTGACTGGGAATCCAACCAGCAACCTTTTCGTGTACAAATGACACTCCAACCAACTGAGCCATCCGGGCAGGGCTATCTATGCTTTTAATATAGTTACAACAAATTTAAAAATTGAATATAAAGAAATTTACTAAGTCATAAGATTCAGAGTCACAACATTAACGTATTTGGTAGATGGTTTTCTTTTGCTTTAAATGGTACTAACTTCAGAGACTGAAATATTTTAGTGCTACAAGATGACTAAATTCTTCCACCTGGGTTTGATGTTCAACATATGTAATGGCCAAGCATCAACCATATTAGAACACCAGGCCCCCAGTGCCACCCACTTCCTATTTGAAACCTTAATTGCCTTTGGAGAACCATCACTTAGCTTTTAATTAGCAAGTGCCCATCTGCATAACTTCTCAAGTGTGAATAAAATGTTTACAAGATAAACTTAAGAAAAGTTGAAATTCTTATTCAACTTCAGTAAATACAAGAAGCAAATACTGCCTTTCTTTGCGCCTCATTGAATCCAGTTGATATTTTCTAAGTTCTATCACTTACCCCAAAGTGGATCTGTTTTTACATTCTCGCAATTCCCGGATCAAGTTAAAATGTGAGTAACTAGAAACTAAGAAATTCTGAGCAAGCCTGTGGAAAATGTTTTGATGGAAAGGTAGTTTGCAAAAGAGGTGGCAGGATGTGGTCTTAATTCAGAGGAGAAATGAATGGGATAGTTCTCTGTCCCATGCCCTCTGGTTTCTCAGATCCATCCTTGACTTACTGAGTAATGGCGGACAAGCCATAACTCAAGAAAGCTCTAAAAGAAGAGAGCATTAAGGATGTTTTGTCATCCCTTTGTTTTACAGATGAAAAATTGAGACTTGGTTTAAATGAGACCCAGAAGGGTCCACAGGTAGTAAGCGGCAGTAGGATTGAAAACTAGGTCTCTTATTCCTAGAGGAGAGGGGCTAGGGAGCAGCAGAACTGAGTTCCTTCTCAGCAAAACAGAGGTGGTGTTACCTATCTGTTTGCGTCACTGGTTCTGAGGATGATACAAGGAAATCATTGTAGAACAGAACATGCCACATCCAGTGTGAGGTATTGTTATTATTATTTAAACCTATAAAGAGAGTCACAAATATGTGTCATCCTTGTCTCTCCACACATCTTTGTGTGGGAAGACAAAGATGACACATATTTGTGACTCTTAAGCCATGGTAAAAGGTCAAATGATGAACTGTCGATTGCAAAATGCTAAAGCATAACATGCTAGAGTCTGTGTTTATAGTTGGCTTTCAGGCCACTGTGAGTCCATTTTGATTGGCTGGTTAGAAATCAGTTGTTATTTTAAACAAATGAAAATAAACATATCACCTGCATAGCAGCTAGTGGTCATGCAACGATAATCCACTTAGTAGTTTGGATCCTCCCAAAGTTCAAAGAACATACATGCAGGAAGAACCTTCCGGCTTTCTTTCTGAACAGGTTGATCAAGTTACTTGGCTTCTCTGAGTTTTCTATTAATTATCTTAAGAATGAATGAGTTAAATGAGTGCAAATTACCTCACAGTGTTTGGCACAGATTCAGGACCCACAGGATTGATTGTATATATTTGGTGAAAGTTCTTTGTAAACATAACGATAGTTTGTTTTGACCCCTAGATGGAATATATGCTTTATAGAAAGTATTTCCCTCCAGTGGGTAGTTGTTTTATAATATATTCTTCTTTCTTTTGTAAGAAATATTATTACCTATATCCATATGCCATCAAACAGAGTTGCTTTCTTCATGCTAATTTGAGATTTGGGAGAATTTTCAGATTATTATCCAAAACTGAATTTGCAACCAAATTAAACTGTTGTGATAAAAGGTGAGAAACACAGGCCTGAGAACAGCCTGAAAGGCAAGTTTTCATCCAGCCTCTGAGGAGTATCCTGACCTGACCTTAACCACCTGTTGCCCATGTCTTAAAAGGATAATGTAGAGCAATGAGGAAACTTGATATGTAATGACCACAAAGTACCTATTTCCATGGAAGTGGTAGATTTGAAAACAAAACAAAACAAAACAAAAAAGCATCAGATTCAGCTGTAAGACCTTAAATGTGGTTCTAGATTTATACGTATTTAAGTTTCCTTATCTCCGTTGTGATTTTGATGCACTTTCTCTCTCTTTCTTAGGACCACCACACAATCTTAAGTATAGTGAAGTCAGGAAAACCTCCATGGTTCTACAGTGGAAGCCTCCAATCCATTCTGGACGGACTCCAGTCATTGGCTACTTTGTGGACATAAAGGAAGCCAATGCCAAAGATGACCAATGGCGAGGACTCAATGAGGCAGTTCTTAAAAACAAATACCTGAAGGTAAGAGGATGCTCATAGTTTAAGAGACCTGTTTAAAAAGATAAAAGGCTCTTCTAATGATATTAACTTAAAAGTTAGCAAGGTAAGGCAATATTTCTGCTTTGGTCTGTGTCACACATTGGGCTCCTGGTAGGATTTCATTTGGCAGTAGTTGGGGTTTGGCAAGGTTTCTGATGCTTAAAACAATTCGGTTAGATTTTATCTGAATTCCTTAGCCTAGCTTTGGAAAACATCCACAAGTCCTCCTCTCTCTAGTCTTTCCCTTCTTGTCTCCACTTACCCACCTCACATTTTGTTACTCATAGTCTTAAGACATTTTTACTTACGATTCCTCAAAGATGACTTCCTTATTTCTTCCTGTAATTTTTGAAGGTTTTTATTTGGGGATCTATTTTTATAGGTCTCATGCCAGAAAGCCTTTAACTGCTAATTCCTTTGAGTCTAATTTTGTCTCACTTAACCTGTTCCCTCACGCTTGTGCTCATGTGAGTTCTCAGAGACAAGTAGAATAGGTTCACTCAACTCTTGACCTTATCCTCACCCTTATTTATGTCATTGCCTTCCAGATTCCTCTAGATTTTTCTAATTGAAACAGTTTCCAACTCTGTCTACCAAAGACTGTTCTGCTAAAACCACTGAATCTCTCACCTGTACTAAGAAATCTCAAAAGAATGTTTTCCCTTATTGTCAGCGATATCCAGAGACCCTGACTCCACTGTAGGGCCTCAGAATCTAGGGACTGTCTGATTCTAGTTCTTGTTACTTAGAATGAAGTGTGGCTTCACCACAGCCATACAGAAAGCTGAACACTTCATTTAGTGTACAACCCCATCTGTTGACAAAATAGGCACTGCCTAGAGGGAGGGCCTTAAAAGATATTTAAAGAATACCTGGTCTAAAAGATCTCTCCTGTAGACCTGCCACTATGAACTAAAGTTTATGCCATCTGTCAGCTAATCTCTGGAGTGAAGGCATTTATAGTCCCCATAAAAAAAATGTATATATGTGCTCCAGGAGAAATGACCCTTAAGCCATTACACCCAATATGTCATTGACTCAATTTAGCATATACCAATTTAGCAAAAGGTCAAAGATGGTCTGGAGCCAAGGATGCTGTTTAATTGTCCAGATGAGTCAGGAGGCCTCTAGATGCAAAGAAACCCCCAGAATCCAATATAAAATAAAGGACAGGCACATCCTGGATAATGATGGTAAGAGTTTATGGCCAGGTGATTTTTAAATCAGTCTACCAAGAGCCTGAAGTTAGACCTGACTGGGGTAAAGCAAGGCCAGATGTCATTATTCCTTTAAGAGTGGGAGGGTGTTACTGTCACTCCAGTGACTAGATACTAGGACGTGGACTCACCTCCTGTGTCATGATGCAAAAATCTGACTCACAGCCACATCTTAACCTTAGTGGCAGGTGCAGATGTGGCACACACCTGGCAACTGTTCTATTTTTATCACAAGAAAATGTTTTTGTTCCTTTCTGTAAATCCACACTTACTTGGCATTATTTCTAAACATAGAATTTAAATACATCAAACTCCGCAAATTTAGTCTTTACCTAAAATCAAGTTCATTTACAGATGAAAATTCACTTCAAAATTCTATTAGCTACAGTGAAAGCTATCACTACATTGTGACATTCCATTATCACAAACACAATACAATTAAATTATTAGATTAAAATCCTAGTGAGTTAATACATAGCTCATTTAAATGAATAGTCACACCAAAGCTGGTTTGGCTTAGTGGATAGAGCGTCGGTCTATGGACTGAAAGGTCCCAGGTTTGATTCCGGTCAAGGACATGTACCTTGGTTGTGGGCACATCCCCGGTAGGGGGTTTGCAGGAGGCAGCTGGTCGATGTTTCTCTCTCATTGACGTTTCTGGCTCTCTGTCCCTCTCCCTTCTTCTCTGTGGAAAATCAATAAAATATATTTTAAAATACTATCTTAGTTGAATAAATATATTCTAATTTTATTTTATTTAAATCACATTTTGGATAGTGACCTCTATCACAACATTATAGGAAAAAATTGGACCATCTGTGTGTAATATATTTCTCCTTCAAATAAAATATAGCTTTTAAACATCATATATTTTAAAAAGAAAAATAATATTTGGTGAAATAGTAACATGTTTTATAATAGTAATAAGATTGTACTGAACCCAAAGAAAGTTACAAAAAGTTATGAAGTGGAACTGTCATATAAAAAGATATTTAAAAAATTTTATAACCCTTATACTCTTATAAATCTAGGTCAATGGCACATATGTAATAATTTCTCAGCAAACATCTTCTTGAACAATGAAAATGTGGGGGTTTTACAGTTTACATTTGAAACCAGAGTGAAAGTAGAGGAAACATACCTCAGCATAATAAAGGCCATATATGACAGACCCACAGTCAATATTATGTTCAATGGGCAAAAATTAAAAGGGTTTCCCTTAAAATTAAGAACAAGACAGGGATGTCTGACTTTATCACTCTTATTTAACATAGTACTGGAAGTATTAGCCATAGCAATCAGGCAAGAAGAAGAAATAAAAGGCATTCAAATTGAAAAGGAAGAAGTAAAACTGTCATTATTTGTAGGTGATATGAAACTATTTATGGTAAAGACTTCACCAAAAGACAACTGGAATTGATAAATGAATTCAGTAGAGTAGCAGGATACAAAATTAATATCCAGAAATAAGTAGAATATTTATATACCAATAATGAACTATTATTAAGAAACTAAGAAAACAATCCCATGTATAATTTTAAAAAGAAACTAAGAAAATCCCATATATAATTGCATCAAAAATATACCCAGGAATAAATTTAACCAAGGATGTATAAGACCTGTACTTGGAAAATTATAAAATACTAAAGAAAGAAATTGAAGAAGATATAAATAAGTGAAGTCAAATACTCTGTTCATGAATAAGAATAATTGAGATTATTTTAATGTCCATACTACCCAAAGAAAGCAATCTATACATTCAATGCAATTCCTATAAAGATACCAATGACATATTTCACAAAAGTATAACAAATATTCTCAAAATGTATATGAAACCACAAAACACCCCAAATAGTCTCAGCAATCTGGAGAAAGAAAAACAAAGTTGAAGATATCACATTACCTGATATCAAACTATACTGTGAGACCATAATAATCAAAAATAGCCTGGGATTGGCACAAAAAGAGGTACACAGATCAATGGAACAGAATATAGAGTCCAGAAATAAACCTATACGTCTGTGGCCAATTAATATTTGACAAAGAGGGCAAGAACATACAATGGGGTAAAGACAGTCAATAAATGATGTTGGAAAAATTGGACAGGTACATGCAAAAAAAGAAAGAAAGAAAAAAAGAAAGGAAGGAAGGAAGGAAGGAAGGAAGGAAGGAAGGAAGGAAGGAAGGAAAAGAAAAGCAACTACAGCCGAAACCAGTTTGGCTCAGTGGACAGAGCATCAGCCTGTGGACTGAAAGGTCCCAGGTTTGATTCCGGTCAAGGGCATGTACCTGGGTTGCGGGCACATCCCCAGTAGGAGGTGTGCAAGAGGCAACTGATTGATGATTCTCTCTCATCGATGTTTCTAACTTTCTATCCCTCTTCTTTTCTCTCTGTAAAAAATCAATAAAATATATTTTTTTAAAAAGAAAAGAAAAGAAAAACAACTACAGAATCTTCGTACACCATACAAGAAAAAACTCAAAATGGACTAAAGACTTAAATGTGAGACTTGGAACCATAAAAATCTTAGAAGAAAACATAGACAGGAAAATCTCATACATTTATACTTTCCCTGATATATTTCCTTGGGCAAGGGAAACAAAAGAAAAAATAAATAAATGGGACACCGAAACCAGTTTGGCTCAGTGGATAGAGTGTCGGTCTGCAGACTGAGAGGTCCCAGGTTCGATTCTGGTCAGGGCATGTGTGTTGGTTGCGGGCACATCCCCAATGGGGGGTGTGCAGGAGGCAGCTAGTCGATGTTTCTCTCTCATCGATGTTTCTAGCCCTCTGTCCCTCTCCCTTCCTCTCTGTAAAAAGTCAATAAAATAATATTAAAATAAATAGATAAATAAATAAACGGGACTACATCAAATTAAAATTTTTTTGCACAGAAAAGCAAACCAACAACAAAAAAGATAACCCATTGAATGAGAGAACACATTTATCAGTGATACATCTGATAAAGGATTAACATTCAAAATTTATAAAGAACTTATATAACTCAACACCAAGAAAACAAACAATCCAATAAAAAAATTGGCAAAGGATCTCCAGAGAGGACATACAGGTGGCCAATAGACACATGAAAAGATGCTCCATGACACTAATCATCAGAGAAATGCAAATTAAAATCACAAGGAGATTATACCATTATATTATACCAGTCAGAATGCTATCATCAATAAATCAACAAACAATAAATGTTGGTGGGGATGTGGATAAAAGGGAACCCTTGTGCAGTGTTGTTTGGAATGCAGATTAGTATAGCCACTGTGAAAAACAGTATGGAATTTCCTCAAAAATTAAAAATGGAACTGTCTTATGACCCAGCAATTCCACTCTGGGAATGTATCTGAAGAAATTCAAAACACTAACTCAAAAGAATATATGCACCCCTATGTTCATTGCAGTGTGATTTACAATAGCTTTGTATTGGAAGAAGCCCAAGTGCCCATCAGTAGATAAGTGGATAAAAAAAAGCAGTGGTACATTTAGACAATGAAATACTACTGTAAAAAAAAAAAAAGAAAGAAAGAAAGAAAGAAAGAAAGAAAGAAAGAAAGAAAGAAAGAAAGAAAGAAAGAAAGAAAGAATTTTACATTTTGCAACAGCATGGATTGATCTGGAGAGTGTTATGCTAAGTGAAATAAGCTGGTTAGAGAAAGACAAATACCATATGATTTCACTTATATGTGTAATCTAATGAACAAAATAAGCAAACAAAAAATAGAAACAGACTCATAGATATAGAAAACAGACTGTCAGCCATCAGAGGGTAGAAGGGTTTGGGATTTGGGTGAAAAAGGTAAAAGGATTAAGAAAACAAAACAAAAACAAAACACTCATAAACATAGACAACAATATGGTGATTACCACAGGGACAGGGGTATGGGGGGAGGTAGAAGAAGGCAAAGAGGGGGAAAATGGTGATGGAAAGAGCCAACTTTGGATGGAAAACACACAATACAATATATAGATGATGTATTATAGAATGTATACTTGAAGTCTATATAATTTATTAACCAATCATAAATTCAATACAATTTTTTTTCAAAAGAAAGAAAAACCTTTGTGTATAATTGATCCATACAGTTCAAATCTGTGTAGTTCAAGGGTCAACTATAAATTGTTATTACACAGGAAGAGCACTTATGTTTAAGTGACACAATATTCCCATTATATTCATACCTGTTTCTTCCAGGTGCAAGGCCTCCAGGAGGGTGTCAGCTATGTGTTCCGTGTCCGAGCCATGAACCAGGCAGGTGTTGGCAAGCCATCCGACCTTGCTGGGCCTGTTGTGGCAGAAACTCGACCAGGTGGGCTTTTGCTCTTTCATGAAAATTAATCTCACTGTGTAAGATACCAAAGTAACATTCAACCTAACTTTCTGTGCTTTCCCTAGTTTTCAAAATCATCAATATATGGATATTTGCATAGTTGATAAGTATGACCTTAGGCATGATAGTCATTTGCCACATCAGAGGAGCCTCAGGGCAGGGGTAAGTCAGGTTTGAGATGGTCCAGGGCTATTCTGGTTCATTACTAAAACAGGGGTGTTCTTGGTCAAATTATGAGTCCTGGACTGACTGTTTGAAGATACATTCCTGGGACATTATCCCTATTATACCATGGTCATAAAGTCCACAAGAATATTTTTCCAATCATAGGGAAAGCTAGAACGGCAGTTGGCAGTCACAATCCTTAAACAAATGCAAGTTTTTAAATTAGCTTAAACCAGGGGTCAGCAAACTTTTCTTGTGAAGGACCAAATAGTAAATATTTTTTATTCTATGGCCACCTGGTTCCTGTTGCAATATTCAAAGCAACCATAGACAATGCATAAACTAGTGAGCATGAATATGTTAAAAAAAAAAACTTTCTTGTGCCCATTATATGCATTATATGATGCAATGTATTATATGCATTGTGAAATTTGAATTTTCAATAATTTTACGTGTCCTGGAATATTAATCTTCTTTTGATTTTTTTTCAACTGTTTAAAAATGTAAAAATCATGGTTAGCTTGCAGGCCATAAGAAAGAGGCAATGGGCCAGATTTAGCCTACAGGCCATAGTTTGCCGACCCCTGGGTTAAACTAACAGCAGGCCTGGCTGAACGATCTATAGAGTTGAGGCAGCCCTCAATTCACAGTTTTAAGAGATGTCATGATTAGACTAGGCAAGACAATCTTTCCCTTTGTTATGGAAACAAAGTTTATAGTGTTCACTGTGCAACTAGTTTCAAATCAATATATAATAATTGTTTGCTTTCTCATTTAACCTCTATCACTTTTCAAAGTTCATAAAAGTTGCATAAGAGAAAGCACTAGAAATGAGAGAGGATAAAAAAATATTAACCAGTTATTTTAAATTTATATTCATTCTAGCCAAGCAGTTCCACTTTAATTTATCCCTATTTTCAGACTGAAATAAAGAGCAGATAAATAATGTTGTATTTATTTTTATGATGAGAAAACAATGTAAACACAGAAAACTCTACTCTCACTTTGTTATATGGAGAATACCTCAAATGTACCCTTTGAGGAAATATTTGTCCCTTCCATTCTATTATTCATAACCTGCTTTTAATTATTCTTATAACTTCTCTCTAGTGTTAGGTGGGACAGAAGTGACCTTCTTATAACAAAGTGTGTAAGTGTGCTGGTGAGAGTGCCATACCTCTCTAATTCCCCTTTGCAAAATTTCATGAGAAAACAGGAAAAATGCTAGGAACATATATGCCAGGTAAAAGGTAACACACAAAGACTCCAGCACACATATTCCTATAGAAATCAGATCCTTCATGTTCCAACTATGAGAAAATATAAGATGGCAAATGGACATATAAAAGGACCCAACTGCAGCGTCTACCCCTGTAAGTATAACATTTAGACTATTATAAAAGTAAACTCTTAATCTAGTCCTGTGTAAACTAAACTCTTAATCTAGTCACTTTAAGCACTGGAATCCAAATCTGATTGGCTGAAGAAAGCTTAAATTGATTTATTATTTTCTTATCAATAGCCTCAGAGTGGTAGGTGACTACCCATGCCATAATGAAGCCTTCACTATGAAAATTTTACCACCAAAAAAGGATCTGCTGGTAGGCTCCTGGGTAGAGTTTAGTTTCATTGATTTGGAATAGGCACCAAAAGTCATTTTGGTGTGGCCATTCCATTCCCAGAATATAACCTCAAACCACAAATACAGACATTATCACATAACAGCACCAGATTAACCCCACTTGGGAACCACTGGATTCCAGCCTAGAAAAGAATCTTGGGTGCACAAAGTCAAAATGTTTTGCCATAAAGGAGCACCAAGACCCAGGAGACACTTGGGCTTGTTCCATATGCAGCAGGCACATTCATTCTTGCAACATGTGTTTTTTGAGATGCTGTGTGGGCACCAGAAATAGAGTAATGTGACATTTGTCATGCTTACTAGGCTTATGATCTGGTGGAAAACCCAGAGTTTATAACAAGCTGCAGTGAGAGCTAGATAGATGTTCATAAAATATTTCCCATAGCTGAAAAAGGCCATGAGCTAGGTATTAAAGTTTTATAACTCCTTGTAAGAATTTATATGTAGCATAAGGATGTCTGTATTTATTAATTTTGTTAAATGCTAATATGTTACTTTTCACAAGATATTTATTTTATGTTAGATGGATGAGAAGGGGGTGGGGAGTATGTTATCAATTTCAAGATTTGTGATGTGAAACCCATATTATTATTTCAGAAGAACGACTTCTTTTGGAATGCATTATTAACATTTCTGATAGAAAATAAAGCTTATCATGTAACAGCAAACCTTTAATACATCTAACAGGACACCTCATGTGTAATTTGAATTCCACTTAAAAGTTAACCTAATCCACTGGGGTTTGTAGGATCACAGGTCTCCCTTTGATGTCAACAAAGATGCCAGTAGAAATAGCTCAGCCACTGCCACAAAGTCTAATCTAATGAGGATCTAGAAAATGAATGGACTAAGTGTGCCATGCTCTACAAATAAATCTATTAGCTAAAAAATACCTATAAGAAGAATAAGCTGAAAACTAGTGTATATTTGTTGGTACACAAAAGGCACTTCTATTCTTGATATTTGATATTTATCAAACCGTATCTGGGTTGATTGCATCAGGCCTGGGGTGAGATGGAGATGGAAGCAAGGTGAGCCAGATCAGACGGGAGATAAGAAACAGACCTGCCAAGGTGTGGCAGGTGATCTGGAGGGCAACAAATAACTGGCAGTACAGGCTACAGCTATTATTAGCAGAGAAACAGCATGGGCAGGAGGATTCAGGTGATGCACAAAAGAACCCAGACACAAGGCAGCATCCCAAGCAGAAACTGATGACTGGAAATTAGGACGTGGTCACCGAGAGCAAAGCAGGTTAGAAGAGCACAGCACCAGATGACATAATGATCTGGGATTGGGTTGACATCCCACTAACCAATCCCAGTTTCTAAAAACTGGTTAGTCATATAATCTGGTAGGGCTGAAAATGTAAATGTGTGCTCAATGGCTTAATGGTGGTCTTGAAGGATTCTGAAGGAGGAAGCCAGACTTGCTATTAAAGATTAGGTCAGCTGATTTAGAAAACTGTACTTGTATTTGTTTAATCACTGGTCTCTTCCATCCATTAAAACAATACTTCCCAACCTTGGCTGCACGTTAGAAGCATGCCAAATACTTTCTGAAAATACTGCCTGCGTTCCAGACTCCATTCCAGGCCATATTATCAGAGTCTCCAGGACTGAGCCTGGGCATAGTTTCATTTTTGTTTGTTTGCTTGTTTGTTTGTTTGTTTAGCTCCTTGGGTAATTATAGGTTGAAACTGGCTTGTGAGCTTCAAAATAGAAACTTGCTTTACTCTCTGTATGCTGAGAGCCTAGTACCTGGTGTATAGTAGTCACTTATTAAAAGAAAAACTAATGAATGACTACCAGGTTTAGGCCAGTGAATGTGACTGTTTTGAAGCCACAACATGTGTACTGAACCCTAGATACCTTGAAGTGAACACCCTGGCCATGAAGCTGGGAGGGAAGCGTCAACAGGAGCTGCATATGGAAGCAAAGTGAGGGGTCAGCCAGCAGTCCTCATCTTAAATATAGGGGAGCCAGTATTACTTGTAACTGTTTACATTAATTCACTTTATTTTTCTTAAGTGTTTATAAAAAGAACAATTCATTTGAATAGTGTATTACTAGTATATATCTTTTGTAAAATTGCAATAGAATTTTTTTACCCACTCCGCATCCAGTACCCCTTTATTTAAGGAATTTTACTAATTAACTTCTCTGAGATTTTAATATGTGGAAAATTGGCCTTTCCAAATTAACATATACACTGTCTTTATTAAATAAAGAGAAATCTACAATCCAACATGCCTTTCCTTTTTCAGATACAAAAAATTCTGAGCTCATTTTTTAAATTTTTAGTCTACTTTTAAATTTTCTAAGAAATGTCTTTTTGTTTTAAACTCTTCTCATTTATTCTTTGTTGTTCCAAGTAGTTTTAAAGTAATTCCAAAAATATTCAGCATGCAGGAAAGGTCTACCCTTTTTCCAAATGCAACTCCAATTTCTCATTCTAGATATTATTGTAAAATACTTGGTCTACTGAGTCACTCTTTAAAACATCTTTATTGCCCCGTCAGTGTGGCTTAGTGATTGAATGTCGACCTATGAACCCAGAGGTTATAGCTCAATTCTTGGTCAGGGCATATGCCTGGGTTTTGGGCTCCATCCACAGTAGGGGGACATGCAGGAGGCAGACAATCAATGATTCTCTCTAATCATCATTGATGTTTCTCTCTCTCCTTCTCTCTTCCTCTCTGAAATCAATAAAAATGTATTTTTAAAAAATAACACCTTATTCAAATAACTATATTAATAAATTAATTAAAACTTAATAACCGCCCAAACTGGTTTGGCTCAGTGGATAGAGCGTCACCTTGCGGACTGAAGGGTCCCAGGTTTGATTCCGGTCAAGGGCATGTACATTGGTTGTGGGCACATCCCCAGTAGGGGGTGTGCAAGAGGCAGCTGGTTGATGATTCTCTCTCACCGACATTTCTAGCTCTCTATCCCTCTCTCCTCCTCCCTGTAAAAACTCAATAAAATATATTTTTTAAAAATATATTTATTTTTAAAAAACAAAACTCTTTGAATTTGAAAACCCTATTTAAAGAGTCTGATAGCATCAGCATTGTAATTAGTGTGACAAATAGGCAACTAGCTTGTAGCATTGACCATTTTTAAGACAATAATCTGATAACATTGTCTTACGTTTACACAGATACTATAGAAACGGCATTCTTTCTCTATAATACAGTATTAAGTTATTCTGACTAAACATTATTTTCTAATGAGAATTGTTGGAGTTCAAGAAATATGCTTAAATAACTAATATTGCAATTATTTTCAGTAAATTTGGTTTTTCAAAATTTTGAGATTCTGATTATATAATTTTTAGAATGATACTTTCAACCAGTTTGTGGCAGGATAGTAAGAAGCTAGAAACATTCCTGGGCAAGTACAATGGGAAAACTGAGACAAGAAAATTAAATAAGGCCAAACAGTTTGGAGAGCTTACAGCCAGCTTGTGAATCAAAAGACCTTATCTTCCTCAACCAAGGACACTTGAGAGCAAATGGTTTATACCTCTCCTCCCTAACCAGATAATACATAGCTTAAATCACCCTGTTCTGAGAAAATAGAGAACAAAGATCCAATTAATGACATTTGTGCCAGCGAAACCCAAGACAAATATCACTTGGGGAATGTTAGTCAGGATACAAAGCTGCTAGGGCAGCAAAGTAGGGAAGGAGGGAAGAAGCGGGAATTTTATCTCACCTACTAAGCAAAAAACTCAGCCGTCTTAGGACAAGAAAGCCAGATGTATGAACAAACATTCCAAGATAAGCCCCAGCAATGTAGAAGAGAACTTTGAAACCTAGTCTGCTACCCAAGATATCTGGCAGGAGACTTTAAAACCTAAAGAAGGAAGGGTGTAAGACCCTGTGAACCTCCACAGGAGGGCACACTCAGACTAGCTGAGTTGCCCACTTGTGCTTTATGCCAAGTATATTTTTAATAAATTAGTTTGCTTTGCTTCTTTAATAAATTCACTTACTTTGCTTCGATGCTGCTTTATGTCATTCACCTAAATTCCTTCTCATGAGAGTGACAAGGCCATAGAGAACGGGAGAGCCCTCCATACACACTCAGGGAGCTATCAAAAGAGATCAAACTTTGATTCTAAGTATAAAATTAAGTAGGAAACCCACTGTCCCTAGAATTTTTTTCTTTATTGCTACTTTCATTTTATCTTTCAAAATTTTGCGTTTACACTCAAACTTTATTAAAACAAGTTCCAATAAAATAAATGTTGCAATTCTAAACTGACATTTTTCTTTTAAATCTGTTTTTCCAATCTAATCCCTGGCACATATACACATGGAAAATATGGGGGGGGGGGGTGTAGAGGAAATCCCTAGCCTTGTAGAATTTAACCTTATACTCGAGAAAATAACCAGTGAAGCTTTTTGAAAAGAGAAAATCTAATGAAATATTCACGATAACAAGTATTTTATTTTTAAAACTGAAGTGTCAAAAATAGTTTAAATAAATCAACCGGTAGCACCCATTAGAGCCACAATTAGAGCATAAATTAAAGAAATATTCATGCCTCTCTTTCCGATCCACTATATTATCTACAATGTGCTGATTTGACCTAATTGATCAAGAGAAACTTCATAGTTGAGAAGAATTCTCTTATGAGTTGACATTACATCTAATTCTTCTTTTGACTCTCCCAGCAATTACTTATTTTTAAATTACAAATTTTAATCTAAAACTTGCTATAATGTCTTTGGGCCTGCTTTTTAGTTTTCTGTCTCCTCTCCTGCTGTCATGTTCCTTATTAGTGTGCCTGCTAATAGCATCTTACTTCTCTCTCTTTTGGGAGTTTAATCTTCTGAGAGAAGCCAACCAATGAGGCTTGTTAGAATCATCTCAAGCTAAGTATAGATTCCAAGCGACAGTCTACTGAGTTCTCCAGTGAGTTTCCAGAAATACTACTAATGTGTGGACTTTGTCACATCAGCACTAGCTCTGAGTGACTTGTTTTCCTTACTTTTTCGTTTTGGGCACTATTCCAGATGGGTGCAGTATTAGAGTGCAAAGGTTATCTATGGAATTCAGAGAAAGGTTAAGCCAATTAAATTGTTTCTAGTTTTTCAGTTTTGTGACTCCTTTGCCAGAAAAGTCAAATGTTTGACATAATATAAATCAAGATTCTTAATTTAAGCAATATTTTTTTTCTGTTGTAAACTTATGGCATACCTCTAATATAATAAACAGCGATCATATGGGTGATTCACACTTTCTTTAAAAGGGATTACAGATAAGCAATGAATGATTAACATGAACAATTGCGGTGCCTTATAATGGGCTTTATACACATAGCAAGAAAGGTTTAGATGACTTCCATTGCTTTCTTTCCCTCTTCAAAACAATACAAATATACAGAATGTTTCTGATTTACATTCTCTCTGTGACTCAGTCATGTTAGCTGTGTATTATAACTGCCTAAACCTCAACATACTTCGGTGTCAGTCTTTTCTTAAGTTTTAAGTACAGTACCTGTTCATTATTTGATATACAACAGTGGGTTGTAAGGGTGTTATTAGGAATAGAAGTTATTATTAGGAATAGGAGTTAGTTGTGTGTTATTGGGAATAGAAGTAACACATGGTCTGCACTGTCTAATGGAGTAGACACAGCCCCTTAAAAGTAATACATGATAGGTTTTTCACTTAAGAAATAATTCTTTGCCCTAACCGGTTTGGCTCAGTGGATAGAGTGCTGGCCTGTGGACTGAAAGGTCCCAGGTTCATTTCCGGTCAAGGGCATGTACCTTGATTGTGGGCACATCCCCAGTAAGGGGTGTGCAGGTGGCAGCTGATCAATGTTTATTTCTCATCGATGTTTCTAAGTCTCTATCTCTCTCTCTTCTTCTCTGTAAAAAAAAAAAAAAATCAATAAAATATGTTTTATAAAAGGGAAATAATTCTTTAATTGATCATTATTTCCTTTTACCCATATGACCAAATATAAAAATAACCCAGTTTGTTTTTTTTAAAGTAATTTTTAAAATCTCCTAGAACTAGTCTTCCCTAAGCTTCCCATCTGTTAAAAATCACTTTTTAGACATTTATAATTGAAGCACACACTGCCACCAACACGGACACGAATTAGATCAACTGCCAGGCTTATTAGCCTCATGTCACTGCTTACTATTTGGGCACTCATATTTTTTTGGTCTTCCCCTCAATGACATTTTGCAATTTTTCCCCCTGACAGTGCAGTTATCTTATGATACAGTATAAAGAGAAACCCTTCTATCCCTTGAGAAGTATCTATTGGAAAAAAGTTTGTGCTTTTAAAAAATGAAGTTGCATCTTTTGAGAATAAATATAATATTTTTTTCTTGATACATGGAAACACACCAAGTTTAGATTGGTAATTGAATGCATGTCAATTTAAAAGGAGCATTTTACTTTTCAAACTGAATCTAGATGTAGGTCTAAACACTTTATATGCTGTACAAACTCTCTTTGAATTGCTATATTACATACAGGTGCAATTTAGTTTAACTTTAAAAAAATAAAAGAACTCAAAACATGAACAGAATTGTTTTCTTTTAAATTCTAAATGCCAATCTTGAAACATATGGTTCTCTTGAAATTTGTTTCCATTTAAATTTCCATACAATTTCATAACAGTCATTTCTAGGTTGCTGTTGTTTCCATCCAGAAGGGCATTTTTAGATTGATTTATGATTGCCTGATCAGCAGAACAAGTTTTCATATATTTCTCCATTTTTAAATGGTCTACAAAATTTGAATAGGTGACTATAGACAATTCTTAGCACCTCCAATTTCTCCCCTTCAATTTCTCTTTGGTTTTCTTATCTCTTATCTATCCTTTACTGATGATGAGTTGGATATGCCAAGGATATATCAAGGAATTCTTGCTTGATTTTTACCAGAAAGTATCAGTGCCTCTTTTTTCTTTTTCTTTTTCTTCTAGGAACCAAAGAGCTTGTTGTAAGTGTGAATGATGATGGAATAATTTCTTTGATCTTTGAATGTGATCAGATGTCTCCAAATTCTGAGTTTATCTGGTCCAAAGATTATGTAGCCACCGAGGACTCGACACGTTTAGAAGTTGAAAGCAAAGGCAACAAGTACGGACTGTTTCAGTTATAATCATGGGTTTCCTTTTTATAATAAGAGGCTGAAGTAGGCTCTTTGTTTTCCATTTCAAATAGTATTAAGTGATGAATCACAAATATTTTATATCTGGTATGTAATATAAAAAGTAATAATCAGCCAAAACCAGTCAGTGGATAGAGTGTCGGCTGAAAGGTCCCAGGTTCGAATCCGGTCAAGGGCATGTACCTTGGTTGCGGGCACATCGATGTTCCTCTCTCATCGATGTTTCTAACTCTCTATCCCTCTTCCTTCCTCTCTGCAAAAACAAACAAACAAACAAAACAAAAAACAACAACAATATAATATATATTTTTTAAAAAAATAATAATCAGTATAAACTTTAAAAAATAACAAACCTTGCCCTGGCTGGTGTCGCTAAGTGGTTAGAGTATCAGCCCATGCACCAAAGGAAGAGAGTAGTAGGTGCAAATACCTAGAAACAATGCAGGAGCAAGTCCCTGGATGCATTTCTTACAAAAATATTCTGTTCTTAAGGACAAAATTGACCTTCAAAGAACTGGGGATGGAAGACTTGGGCATTTACTCCTGTGATGTAACAGACACTGATGGAATAGCAGCAAGCTACTTGATAGATGAGGAAGGTAAGTTTAAAGCCAGTTCATTCACAAGTCCAAACTACTTTGTTTTTTGTTTGTTTGTTTGTTTTTGGTTTTTTGGTTTTTTTACCTTTTTAAATTAAATTATTATCTGTGTATATATTCCAAACTACTTTGAGTTCTCAATGATTCTCAATCATCAAGTGACATTTGTTTTAGTAATTTAAGGTTTAATTGTTCTCTTTTCTCCCTACAGAGTTGAAACGTTTACTTGTTCTCAGCCAAGAGCACAAGTTCCCAAGTAAGTGTCCACAATCTTTCACGGAGTTGAGCAATCCTTCTAGGTGGCAACTTCTGGAATAGGGCAGATAACAACTCTGACAGGAGTAGGAGAAGAGGCTCTTGAGAACAAATAATGGAACATACATTGGTAATTACAGATGCACTTTATAGAAGTGCTGCTCTTTGTTCTCAAGAGCTGAAGAGAACACTAGCATAGGAACTATATTTCATGCTCTGTTTCATAGAGAAGTGGCAGGTTACATAACAGCTGTGTAATTAAGTTCTCTTTTTGCCTACACATTTTAGAATTTTTGGATACATTAATTCCTGTGTCTTTTAGGCAAGCTAATATCCTTAGCAATTTAATGTTGGCACTTAATAGAAGAATCATACTTCTAAATACAGATCTTACCTGCCTATCATTTTAAACTCCTGAAAAATATGACTTGGTCAGAAAAAGAATTTCTCTGAATTATCTACAAACCTTAACATTTTCCACAGAAAAGATTAAATTTCACATTTGACACCTAAAAGAAGAGAAAGAAGTCTGAAATGACACTCGGAAAGTTCCACTGGCCTGATAAGGTCTCTTGTCATAGGTACCTGTTGACCAAAGTAGGTACTTATCCAGAAAGTTAACACCCTAGTGTTTGAGAAAACAAATAGAAAGGTATTTCATATACTCACTCTTTTACATCACTATTTTTTTAACTCATTAATCACTAGACTATATTTCATTCACTGCTATGGGAGTTTCAGAACCCAGGAAACTATACTGTAACCCCAGATTATAGACAAAACTTTGTGCTTGCATATGTGCATTTTCTAGGGAGAGGCTGTATAGCTTTTCTGAAATTCTCAAAATGAGACTGTGATTTTTAAAAAAAATTGCTGCCCTAGAATCAATTTCCGGGTATCTCTTTTATCCCTAAGAAATGATTGATGATGCAGACTTTTAAATTCCAAGGGAGAACCATTTCTCTCTGTGTGCTTAGTCACCATAAAACTGGAAACATAAGCCAAAACCGGTTTGGCTCAGTGGATAGAGCGTCAGCCTGCGGACTCAAAGGTCCTGGTTTCGATTCCGGTCATGGACATGTACCTTGGTTGTGGGCACATCCCTAGTGAAGGGTGTGCAGGAGGCAGCTGATCGATGTTCCTCTCTCATCGATGTTTCTAATTTTCTATCCCTCTCCCTTCCTCTCTGTAAAAAAATCAATAAAATATATTAAAAAAACAACAACAAACAACTGGAAACATAATACCATGAATGGGGTCTTAACAATAACATATATTATAAAATTGTATGGAAGGTAGAGGTTTGGTCTGAGCCTCCTTTTAGCTTTGTGTTGGAACAACCAAATTTTATAGTGACTATAAAAGTGCAAATGGAAGGTATCCCTTAAAGCTTGGAAAGGGTGGTTTTAAGATAAATACAAATAAACATTAATATATATTTGATGCAAGTTTAAGAAGCTTATAATTTAAAATGTAGCAGTGCTACATAAAATTCTGAGATAGGTCTAAGGGTGATGATTTCTCCTAAAAGAAGTAGAAGGACTACTAAACTTTGAGAAACAACCATGCTTTTCCACAAAGTATGCCCTGGGGCCACCTCTGGTACAGAACGATTGGCTGAAGGAGGCTTTTAGAGAAAACCTTCACATTACAGGAAATTTAGAAACTAGTTTTAAGAGCTGTCAGCCAACTTTTAAAATTTCACTCAGACTCAAATGGCTTAAGTGGTACAGATATAAATCAGAGATATGTGGTTCTTTTACTTCTTTGTGAAGTAATCCATGTGCTATTTTAATGTAGCTTCTCAATAGTGACTTGCTATTTGCCACTAAAAATTTTTTGCTTGGTCTGAGAACTTAAATGAACTGGTATTGCATGGGGGTAGATAGGGTTTAAATGACAAGCTAGTTCATATATATATGTAATTTAATATATATAATTAAAATTAATTCTTTTTAAATTTTATTTTTAAAAACATTTTTAAGAACCTCCAGAGGGAGATAAATTGTTGAAAAAATCAAAGTCCTTTCCAAATATTTTGAAGTAACTCTGAGATAGGGAAACAGAAGAATATCTTGGTTAATTAGGACTTTCAGCTCAATTTCATTCATTTATAAATGAGTTGAATGAGGCCCAGATATGCAAAATGGCCTGCCTAACCTCACAGCTTGTTAGTAGCTGACGTTGGAGTAGGCTCCAGCTCTCCTGGGGCCAGCCCAAGACTCTTTTCATTGCACTTTGTCAAAGCCACAGAAGAAAGTCACAAAGGTTAACTGAAGGACCTCAGGGTGGAAGTTCACCCTCTGCATTTTTACCGTGGAGACATCTGCGACTCACAGGAGGCAGATGACTTGCCCAGAGTGACCGTCAGAATTAGAACCCAGGTCTTCCATCCTTCTATGCTGGGCTTTCCCTCCAACGCCCTCACTGCCTCCAGGCTTTTCAAGAAGCAAGATGCTCCATTGCTATTGCCATTGAGTATTTTTTCACCTGTTGGAAAAATCTGTGTCAATAAAATTGGTTACCGACATAATTGTTATTTCTATTTGTCATAGCTGTCGCAGTTAAATCAGATTTGGCAGTTGAAATTTTGGAGAAAGGTCAGGTCCGGTTTTGGATGCAGGCTGAGAAGCTGTCTGGCAATGCCAAAGTCAACTACGTATTTAATGAAAAGGAAGTTTTTGAAGGGCCGGTAGGTTTTCCACTTCCAGATTTCTAAACATATTATTATAGAATGCACTGGGGGAGCTTATGAGAATGCAGGTAAGTTGTTATGAAAACCACTCGGTGTGGGGTGGGGAATCTAAATTTTCTCTAAAAATGCAGAGATAAAACATAAATTGATTGTCTCATACTATCCAAACTGGAGCACTTTTGAGAATGAAAGAGGGTACTGGCAATTTTCCCAGGACGAGAGTCATAAAACAAAACTGTTCCCGGCAAATCAGGAAGTTTAATCACCCATGAAATAGAGCTTCTCCCTTTATCGATAGAAGGCAGAGGACAAGCACCCTGATCTGAACTCACATGCTCACATCAGAACCCCCAGCAGGGATTTGGTTCTTGATGTGGAGGAAATGGCCTCTATTGTTCCAATGGCTCAGAAAAAACAAACAAACAAAAAAAACCCTGCAGTAAAATATATTTATTGTTTTTCTGGTTAAAAAGGTAATACATCCTTATTGTAAAAAACTTTAAAGACTTAGAAAGAGCAAGACACAAATTTTTGCAACATTTTGATGTACATATTGGTATGTACTTTTTGATCTTTTCCTATACATCTGTGTGTATATGCTCATTCGTATCTTATTTACATAGGCGATTGTGTATATCTATTGATTCGCTTTTAACATAAGCATAGTTTCCATAGAAAGAATGACAACATTTGTGCTTTATTCATCCTCTCCAGACACCAGTAGAGCCAGGATCTGGCCAGTGCCTGGTGGAACTGAAGGACGTGGGTTTAGGGGCCCTGGCTCTCATCTATGTTACCATGGTATAAAAGGGAGACTGAAAAGACAGGGGAGAGATATGGTTTGTGGCCACTATTAACAACCTATTCTCCTTTGATTAAGATAAGTTTGTGAAAGATTTGAGGGGTCATTAGCGAGGGAAAGAATGAGTGACATTATGAGTAGATGGGTATGCATTTTATTCCTTTTCAACTCATACAGTAATTATGTGTAGATATGGGTCCACTATGGCCCATCTCCGCTCTGTTTTCAAATGTTCTCATAAACTGCTATGATCACCACCTGGCCAGTGGAAAGGAATGAAAAAATTTGTTGGCATCACTCTATGTCACCAGAGCCAATGAGGGAACAGTTGTGCACATGTGTGCAGAGACCCAGTCCCTGTCATGTATTCACACATGCTTACATGTTGCTGCATGCACACACAATTTATTGTCATTGCAATAGGCTGTAATCATACTGTTTTAGTGGGTGGGAAATACCTTAGGTCAGGTTTTCTAGAAGGAGATTCTGCAGTAGTGTTTCTCTTTCAAGTAGAGTAGAGAGTAAGAGAAACAAGGGAGACAAAAGCTAAGCAAAAAAGTGGTCTCAGTTGGAGAATGGCTTCCTTGGGGGAGGCTCCAGGAGCTGAATTGCCCCACATAGTTGATCCCAGATCTGAGTCTTCATTCTGTCGCATTTATAGAAAAACACATCAATTCAGATTCATTATGGAACTTGTACTGGTATGTCTGAGAGCTAAGATTTATCTTTATACTAGAAAAAATAGCTGCCCAAGCAACAGGATAAAATAAGCATAGTCTAACAGGGCAATTTCATTAGGAGAAAATGGACTTCAAATGCTTTGGAAGCATTTTTTTCTCATATTAATTTAGCACATTCTTATTCATTGCCTGCTACATACCATGCATGTGCTAGATAGCAGGGATATAGCAATAATGAGACAACCACTTCCCTTATACTACCTATAATTAATTTTGCATTATTCTGATAATTAAAACAAATGTAATCTGGAATGTAAATGGAAATCTAAGAACAGAAATGGAAATTTATTCACATGATTTATTAGATGTCTCTATAATTAACAGTGGATAATTATATTTGGAGAAGATGTTGGACTTTTTAATTAATTAATTAATCATTCTTCATTTTTATTGTTGACACTTGTGAATGTTCCCATCCCCCCCCCCCCTCCACTCCCTCTTCCCTCTGGCCATCACCACACTGTTGTCTGTGACCATGGGTTATGCATATATGTTTTTTATGACAGGTGAAGGGATTAGCTAAAAACAACTTTTGGATAACATTTTGTGGTTTGGGATAACAAAACTCTATTTATATTTAAAAATTAAATTTCAGTCTTTTAGTAATCATTTCTGGTCATGGGTCATATATATTCCACAAAATATTTTATTCTTCCTGGGCACAAAATTTTGAAAATGTGCTCATCTAAAAAAAGTGTTAACAAGAAATTTTATTAAAATTATGATTCTTTGGAGTTTGTATTTTATCAGGCTTATTGTCATCATATCTACCTCATCGATTTCTCTTTTTTCCTTTTCACATTTAAGAAATATAAGATGCATTTTGACCGAAACACTGGTATAATTGAAATGTTCATGGACAAGCTCCTGGATGAGGATGAGGGAACATATACTTTCCAGCTTCAAGATGGAAGAGCAACTGGCCATTCTACTCTTGTCCTCATTGGAGATGGTAAGACTTCTGTGAAACATTAACTGTTAACTGGAAGACTTTGCTGCTCCCTTTAATGAAAATGGCACAAAAGTAATTCTGTGGAAGATAGTAGGAATTGTTCTTGTTTGGATTCCCTTGCTTGAAATACAATTCTCAGCTAATACTTTCCATAGTATTTCATTACATGTAAGTGAAAGTTAATTTTTTTTTCTCTTTTAGTTGTTCCTCATTTTAATCTTTTTTTTTATTAGCAAGAATATTTATTTGTCCAAACATCTTAATATAAAAAAAGATTTACGTGTGTGATATCTAGATAGATGTAGATATATCCACAGCTAGTATATAAACATATTATACAAGTGTATAAGCATGTTATTATATATGTATATAACCATGCTATTTAAAAAATTACCACCAGTGCAATAATTTATATATATTATATTCTTCCTCACTAAGTGAAAGTTAATTTAAAAGGATACCAAATTTATCCCTGACCTACAGACAGAACTATATATTATGGGAACCCCTTTCACGTCCCACGTGGTTCAGGGTTCCAGTTCTGGAGAAGGGCCACATGCAAACTAAAGAGACTAGAAGAAATTTAATTTGGTGATATGGGGGGCCAGGCGGGAGACCACCTCTAGTGGGAGGACTGCCACTAGGCTCTGGTCTTGCTATCCCTTTTATTGAGACTATGGGATACACCTGTTACCCTTAAGCAAGTTTGAGATATACCCATAGCCCTTAGGTAATAAATGAATTTTCATATCAGTAAGGATTTACATGATTACAAGATGGGGAAGTTGCCTCAGTTACCATTGTTTCAATTAGATAGGGAATGGTTGGCTCTGACTTTTCAGAGCTTCAAGGTTGACCAACCTTTTACATCTTTCTATTAGTGAGACAATGATCGGTTTCCGGCAGTATATAAATTATCTCTTCTATAAACAAATATTTACTACTAAAAGTAGTAAAGTGAAGGACATTGCAATACAACCAAGATTGTATATGTGTCTCAGAAACAAACTGTGATACTATCTTATGATGTGTGTTTACCTTAAATTACTTAAATTAAGAAGAAAAATATGCAAAAGTAGAGCATACCACATTATTAATCATACATCAGATTGTATGTCAGCTGCTATAAACCACTGTGGGAACCATCAAGATTTAAAATGTGGCATTTAACAAAACAATGGGAGGGTGGCCTGTTCTCTTCACTTCCAATACCCAGTTCTATTTCACTATTTCCTAGCTTCATGACCTTGAACAAATTGCTTAACCTTTCCAAACCTATTTTGTTATCTATGAAGACTGAAGATGAATCAAGTGTCCATGATGTATGAATGTTATAATAATGAACATAAATCACTTATCACAGTGACTGTCATGCACATTTATACCACTCCACTTAGTTTCTTACTTTCTTGTTTTTCAATTTTTAGTTTATAAAAATCTCCAGAAAGAAGCTGAATTCCAGAGACAAGAATGGATCAGGAAACAAGGTAAAAACAGTCAGTGAGTCAAGAAATAGCTTCAGTTTCTTGAACAAAATATTCCAAGATTATTCATACAACGAATTAAAATGAATGTTACTACTTATGTTAATAAGGCTACAAGTAAAAATAATTGAAAATTTTATTATTAAATAGGTATTCATTTAAAATATTTAAAAACTAAATCTTGATTTTTAAAAAATTCACTTTAAATATAAATCACATTAGAATTTAAGAATGAGCTTTGATGGTTGGGAGCATCAAAAGGTTGCAGGTCCGATTCCCAGTCAGGGCACATGCCTGGGTTGTGGTTATGATCCTGGTCAGGTGAGTATAGGAGGCAACTAATTAATGTTTCTCAAACACATTCATGTTTCTCTCTTTCCTTCCCTTCCTATCTCTCTAAAAAATTAATTAATTAATTAATTAATTAAAAAAAACATCCTTGGGTGAAAATTAAAAAAAAAAAAAAAGAATGAGCTTTGATTTTGCTTTCATGACTAATAGAGTGATCACTGATATTATTAATATTTTCTAGGTCCACATTTTGCTGAGTATTTGAGTTGGGAAGTGACTGGTGAATGTAATGTACTATTGAAGTGTAAGGTAAGAAGTAGATAAATTTTTAACATTTGAAACAAGGGAAATAAAGATAAAATAGAATGTGAGAAGAGGAAGATCAACTTTTCAACTTCTCCATTTGGACCAAATGATAAGCAGCACATCCTTACTGTTGAATGTTACTGTAAGAAATTACAATTTGTAAGAAACATTTAAGATAAAACAATATAAAAATATGGGAAGGCAACATGATCATTCTTATTCATTACCCATACCCTAGTCAATAAAGTCAGATTATTCTGTGTGTATTTCTAAGTAATACTTTTCAGAGCAGCTTTAAGTTCACTGTAAATTGAAGGGAACATACAGAGATTTCCCATAATACCCCTGTCCACACACATGCACAGCTTCCTTCATTGACAATATCCCCAACTAGAGTGCTTCATGTGTTACAATTGAAGAGCCTGCACCAGTCGCATCATTATCACCCACAGTCTGTAGTTTACATTGGCTTCACTCTTGATGTACATTCTGTGGACATGGACAACTGTATAAATGACATATGCCCAACATTGTAGTATCTATCGTACAGAGTATTTTGATTGCTCTCAAAAGCCTCTGTGTTCCACCTGTTCAAACACCAACCTCCCCTTTATTTTTTATTTTTATTATTATTATTATTTTAATAAATTTTTATTGTTCATATTATTACAAATGTTTCTTTCCCCCCCTTCCATTGCTCTCCTCCACCAGGTTCCCACCCCACCATCTGCCCTTTCCCCACCCCCATTGTCTTCATCCATAGGTGCACAGTTTATGTTCAGTCTCTTCCCACATCCCCCTCTCCCCTTTTCCCCTGAGAATCGTCAATTCACTCCCCTTCCATACCTCTGATTCTATTATATTCAACAGTTAATATTGTTCATCAGATTTTTTTTTTAATTTCCTTGGTTTTTAGATTCACTTGTTGATAGTTATGTATTTGTTGTTAATAATTTTTATCTTTATTTACTTTCTCTTCTGAAAGAACCCCCTTCAGCAATTCATATAATTCTGGTTTGGTGGTGATAACCTCCTTTAGCTTTTTTTTATTAGTGAAGCTCTTTGTCTGACCTTCGATTCTGAGTGATACCTTTGCCGGATAGATTATCTTTGGCTGTAGGTTCTTATTATTCATCACCTTGCATATTTCTTGCCATTCCCATCTGGCCTGCATGGTTTCTGTTGAGAAATCAGCTGACAATCGTATAGGTGCTCCTTTATAGGAAACTACCTGTTTTGCTCTTGCTGCTTTTAATATTCTCTCTTTGTCTTTTGCTCTTGGAATTTTAATTATGATTTGTCTTGGTGTGGTCCTCTTTGGATTCCTTTTGTTTGGAGTTCTGTGCACTTCCTGGACTTGTAAGTCTAATTCTTTCACCAGGTTGGGGAAGTTTTCTGTCACTATTTCTTTCAGTATGTTTTCGATATCTTGCTCTCTCTCATCTTCTGGGACCCCCGTAATTCTGATGTTGGTTCGCTTGAAGTTGTCCCAGAGGTTTCTTACATTATCTTCAATTTTCTGGATTCTCTTGCCTTCTTACTTCTGCAGAGGAGTGTCTTCTGGTTCTTCATGTTCCAAATCTTTGACTTGATTCTTGCGATCTTCCATTCTGTTTTTAGGACTCTGAATAATATTTTTTATTTCAGACAATGTATTCTTTATTTCTTGTTAATCCCTTATCATTTCTTGTTGATTCCTTATTAATTCTAGTTGATCCCTTTTCATATCTTCACAGGTCTTATCGATCTTTTCTAGGAAATTCTTGAAAAACCTTATAAACGTAGATTTGAACTCTATATCTAGTCGTTTTTTGTCCTCCATTTCTTTCGTTTGTGATCTATTTTGTCTCGGCATTTTCGCAGCTTCCCCGATGGGACGGGGTTTCAGGGTGGAGTCTACAGCCTTGGCTTCGGTCAGCCCTGCCCTATTCGGCTCCTGAGTCTCAGGGTCCTTCAGTACTCGCTGCAAGCGCCTCTGAGAGAAAGGTGCCCTCGATTTTCGCCTGCTACCAAACAGTCTAGGCTCTCCCCCAATGACCCCGGTATTGGGGTTCAGTTCAGTTGGAAGTGGAGTTGGAGGTGGCGTTCAGAGCAGTCCAGAGCTTTTGTCTCCTTTCCGCCAGGGCAATCCTGCGGCACAGCCAACCGTCCCTTCTCTGCATGCAATGTGCGCACCTCCGGGACCTCCTTTTACTGCTCCCCCGGGGTTCCACCTTACAGCCCAGCTCTCCCTGTTTGAACCTGGGTCCTCGGGGTCTGGCCTAGAACTGGGGTTCAGAGCAGTCGGAACTGGGGCCCAGCACAGTCGGAGCTTTTATCTCCTTCCTGCTAGGGAACGCCAGCCAGGCACTCAGCCTCCCTCCTCTCCGGCTCCGTCCTCTCCGCGAGCCACGTGTCTCCATATCTTAGGCTTTTACAGCTCCTCCACTCTTCCTTCTGGTTTTCTCCTTGCTTCTCGTTGTAGAATTTCCAGTCAGTAGACTTTCCTGTAGTTCTGGGTAATGTCCATTTTATATTTTAGTTGTATTTTATTGAAATTGTTGTGTGCGGCTGCGGCGAGGTGTTTACCTGTGCAGCCATCTTGGATTCTCCCTACAGTCTCCCCCTTTATTTTTAAATGATCAATCTCAGAAGAATCTCACATTGTCTTCGTTTTAGGTCAAATCTACATTTTAAGTGGTAGATCTATTCCAGAATCATTCCAGCTACACTGCTTCCCATGAAAATTTAGCCATTTCCTATCTAAATTGTGTGACTAGTACAATAATACTTTTGTGTATTGGCCAGCTCTGGTACTGGTTTTGAGACCACCATGCTACCATGAAGAGAGGTAAAGTGTTTGTCGCCCAGAACCAATTGTTTAGTTAGGCCTTTGGAAAGATTTAGAAGAAATAATTCAAATTGCATTCTGAATTATTTTGTACCTTAGCATATGGTGGTATTCAGCTGAGTGAGTCAAGTTTTGGATAAGGAATTCTGAGGGATGAGGTTGAAGTGTGAAGGTTGTGATGGTTAAAAGGTACTCCAAAGTAGAAGTGAAGCTTTGGCGTTTGGCATGTAGTTGTCATTATAAAAGCCAGAACCCAGGTGCCCCAGTCTCTTCTAGGTCTGGTGAAATTCAAAGAAACAGCAGTCTACCAGAAATGTATAAGGAAAATAAATTCTAGGTTTTATCCTCTCAGGAAATGGCAAAACTTAAAAACAATTTCTCAGGTAGCAGCTAAAACCCTCACTAGCTCTTTCTCCTCCTAACTGTCCATTTCCATATTGCCCCCTACTGACTTTCTCCTGCACACTGCCTACCCCATAAACCAAAGAGGCCCACATGTGCATCTTCCTTCTTTGTGTGCTACCTATTGCAAGTACCCTTCTGGGAGGTGAGCTCTAGGGTTCCATCTGATGGCTTTCCTCAGGAGAATTAGCCCCTTACCCAGATTCTGGACAATCAAGGAAGCCTAGAAAGAGGACCTGAATATTCACAATATTGTATTGATGCTGTTACAATGTCTGGAATGGCTTTCTTCTTTCAGTTTCTCTGGTAAAATGTTTTCTCAAGGCCAATATCAGTCATCTCTTCCATAAAGCCTTGCCCTTCTCAGTCTAGGTAGAATGAACCTTCCTCTGTCCTTTCATAGTTCTTTGTTTCATTATTATAGCAATTTATGTACACTTGGCAATTACATATTCATTATAGTTAATGCAGTATGTGTAGCCAAACATTCAAACTCATGGACTATCATGGGCCCCACTTGGAACTCGTCTACTCAAAAGAATATAGGATAAGAAGCCCAGGTTGCCTGCAGGGTGGTACAGGGCATTCCTCTCCTGTAGGAGTGCATATTAGAAGTGCCAGCTCAGTTGCAAGGAGATAAGATCCACATTGGTCAGGTATAGGAAACGCTGTAGCTTTTAAACACTTCATTTCCCAAGGAGCCCACACCCCTTACAATAACTCCCTGGCAGAGCTTCCATGGTCCCCATGAGGGACATGCACAAATTACAAGAATCAGTATAGTCAGGGAATCCCAAAGCTATGGAGTCCATTTCTAGGCCTGGGAGGGATGGATGCAGCTCGCCAATCAGGGGTAGTTTCTATTGTAAGCAGTGTTGCTTAGCAACACACTTTCTATAATTCAGAAACCAGTTGACAGGATCATAAAGAACATTTGTATTGGTCTCACTGTGTTGTTACCCATGTTGGTTCTTATTTTATTAACCAAATGTTTTAACTTTTTAAAACTTGAATATCCTTGTTTTTAATGAGTTATAACTGACATATAAGCTATAAGTTTAAAGTATACAACATAATGATTAGATATGTGTATAGTGAGATGATTAACTGAATAACTGGACAAATGTATTTACAATTTCCCAAAGAGGAAATACAATTATAAACAAACAGATGAAGGAGATGTGTAATCTTATTTTTAAAAATTCAAACGTAATCCCCCTCCACATTTATTTGCAAAGCTTTGTTTATCTTTAAATATATATATATATATATATATATATATATATATATATATATATATAGAGAGAGAGAGAGAGAGAGAGAGAGAGAGAGGGGGGGGGGGGCTTACTGGTTCTGTTCTTTTGATAAGCCATTTGTTTTATCATGTGACACAGACTATACTTTAATCTGATAGGATATGTCTTCCTATAGTTTTCAGATCTTTTATTTTCATTTAAGTCTGTATGTTAGTATGTATTGATATCTATTTTTTTTTCTTTTCTTGTCCACTAGAACTATTAAAGTCAAGTTTTACTGCTGGAAATAAAGATGCTACTAATTTAGGTTTATCCATTTGTATTTACTTTATTCTAAACTTTTTATCAGTTAAATTGCTTTGAATTAATTCCTTTAGCATCTTCTAACTCTAAGGTTAGTGTTTTTCCTTTTATCTGATGCCACATTAACAACTACTCATAAGAGTTGCATTCTCTTATTATGAGAAGTGTAATTATGGTTTTCCTTCTAGGTGGCAAATATTAAGAAGGAGACCCATATTTTGTGGTATAAAGATGAGAGGGAGATATCGGTGGATGAAAAGCATGACTTTAAGGACGGTATATGTACCCTGCTTATAACAGAGGTAGGTGACTATAAGTGTAAAGCGTGATATTCAACCAATATCAGCTGGACACTACAACTTTCGTCTCTGAGCTACTTGTTTCCATAGATGGGTGAATGGCAGGGAGTTAAGTAGATCCTTCTTCATTTGCTCTTAAGCCTCATGATAACTTGTTTCCTAAAAGTACAATCAGAATACTAGTAGATTTTTATCTCTTTTTTGTCTAAAAAAGCATATATGTGATCATTAGTCTTTAATATGAAGGCAGGCTAAAAGATATGGACTTATAAGTCTCAAATCAATTATAGCCATAGAAGATGAAAAATCAGGACTGCTAGGTCAAATTATAATGAATAGGTTTATCTGCAAACTGTTGCTCACATGGTTAAATGTTGTTCAGTGTGTGTTTTGATGGCAGTTCTATAAATAAGAGGGCTTTAAAAATGCAAATACCAACTCTGAGGCCGTGATATGCTACAATGTGGTATATGTATCCCTCCCTTAGTTTTCCAAGAAAGATGCTGGGATTTATGAAGTTATTCTGAAAGACGACAGAGGAAAAGATAAGAGCAGGTTGAAGCTTGTGGATGAAGGTCAGTCCCGCAGCTGCTGGGGTCTGTTTTGTGTGTTCTATATATGGGTGACCAGAATTATGAGTGAGGCTGAGCAGGTGATCAAAGTCATACTGATTTTTTTGTCCACAGATTTTGCTTTAATGGAAATTCCAGCAGAGTGAACTACTGTTACATTGAAAAATACTTCATTCTAAATTCCCCTCGAAATCAGAAGTGTACTTTTGATCCTCAGAGAATTTATAGTCCACAACCCAGCAGGGGTTTATTTTCAATATAAATCATTATTTTTGTTTCAACCCTATAAAAAAATGTTACAGGATCAAAAACTGTGAAAAGCATGTTGCAAAATAATCCACCCTTAGACGATGACAAGAAAAATTTATATATGAAACTTCAAGCCTCTCAATTATTAGCCGAACATGAAAGCAATTTCCACTTTTCAGAGACTACTAAGGACATAATACATCATGATAGCAAAGACCTATATGTGACCCACAAACTTCCAATTTTGTTCCTGAACAAGATCTTTAACAATATTGGTAACAAACAGCAGAAGTCTGACTTTGATTTCACCTTCCTAACTCTTGGTGGAGACAGGACTAAATGTGTTTACTGGCAAAAGTATTATTAGACTGCAAAATATCAGATTATAGATGGTTAATCTATTATGAATTGATAACACAGATAAGAAAACTTTCTCTAATAGGAACTAAGGCTTCCTGGGTCTTAAGAAGAAGAGATTCTTAAAGCCAAGAAACTTCCTGGAAAACTCATTGTGGCTCTTTCTCTAGAATGTAAATGTGATGAAAGTTATAGAGAATTAGAAGGGAAAATATCAAAATGAGAGCAAGGATCTTTTACAACTTGATAAAAGTTGAATTATTTACTCCAAGACCACTTATTTTCAATTGGTCAACAAATTTATCTTGTGACCAGTACCCTCCACCAGACAGATAATTTTCGAGAGCACAACGCTGATAGTTCCGAGACTTGATCTTAAAATGAGAATGTCTGTGCTAAATCTTTGTTTGTGAATCTCCATCCACAGCCTTTCAAGAACTGATGACTGAAGTATGTAAAAAAATAGGTAAGTTAAAACATTCTCACCATGACAGTGCTTCGTTATTCTTCTGGTTGGGTTTACAGGTGTATGAACCATGCTGTTTTCTTCTTTCAGCTTTGTCGGCTTCAGACCTGAAAATCCAGAGCACGGCTGAGGGCATCCGGCTGTATTCTCTTGTTTCTTACTACCTAGATGACCTGAAAGTTAACTGGTCCCACAAGTAAGTAATGGGAGCTTAATTGCTGTGTAGAAATTCTTTCTCCATTGAAGTGAAAAAAAAAAAGAAGTTGGAAAAAACAACAGCGATCCTCTGTCCTCTCAGCTAAAGAGTCGTCTGATTTCTCGGGCCTGACCCTGATGAGTATAGGACAGCGCACCCAGAACATTCCCTTTGCGTGAGTTAGCGCTTTTGCCTCAACACATAGAGGGCGAAGCCAGTGAGGCCTAAGAGCATGTCTTTGTGATCGGAGAAGGGTCATAATTCAGGCACATCTTTATAATGTGACCTCCACCTCCAGATGGTTGTGTTTGGACTCCCTCAGCATCTGAGAGCCGGATGCAGATTCTTTCTTTCTACACACGGCTACCCATGCTACGGTCTGGAACAAAACTGAAGCAGCATGTACCAAGAAACACCAAATTCCCCACTATATGAATTAGTGGCCTAATTCATCAAAGAAGCCTAATCTGAGAAGTGCCCAGCTTTGTTATTGTTGTTTGTAGCAATTGGCATCTTTGGTCATTAGCATGTATCTTGTCCCCCCCCCCCCCCCCCTCAAAAGACTTTGAAGATCTCAAGATCACTTTAGGAAAATGTATTTGAACTGAATTGAGCCTGAAGATCTGTTCTAATCTCGGGCTTCCTTTGTAGAGTTCTAGAGGGGTTCCATTCGGGTTCACCTCTGGGATTCCAAGAGCCAAAAATAGGTTTCTAAGTCAAACCAGTTCTCCCATTTATATTGTGGATATTACCCTTAACCTCTGTGCTTCTTTGAAATTTCCTGAGCTGAAAGGGAGCAGCAGCCTGGCAGAGAAATCTGATGGGGCACAGCCGCCTTGAGTCCACACTAAGGATGCAGCTTGACAATCTCAAAGTCTGATGACACCCACTGAGCAATAGGTCACTGCAGCACCCCCCGGAGGACACAGATAACAATGTTCATATCTTCCCTTCAGTGGGTAGTTACCATATGCCTGGTACTTCCAAGCCATTTAGATGTATGAGTTCATGTGACATAGCCAACTTTTGGAGGATATACTTCTTACTTCAGTGAAGAGGAAGGTCAGGCTGAGGGATGTGACTTGCCTAAGGTCACAAAGCAAAGTGATAAATGGAGGGCTGAGTTCAGGCAGCGTGGCTCCAGAGACCCCTATCGTGGCACTAGCCCTGTGTTCATGTTGCATAAGAAGTCTAGGTTAACATTTAACCTGAGCTGGGTCCCACAGAGCAATCATTTGTGTTTTCTTTATAATGACTTTCCTATTAAGTAGAACAGTGTCTTATTATTAATTTCCCGAATTCTTAAAAAACGAGAAGTGAAAATCCAATGTAGAATTCTTAGGGTTTCATTCCTTTATCCAATTTCTTTCAGAATATATTGTAGGAAATTATAAGTTAAGATAGATCAAATTCCAGGAAATTCCTCTGTGACATCTAAGACATTCTAATATATCAGTCTGAAGAATAAGAGAAGATAAGGTAATTGAATCATCAATCAAAAAGCTTTCTACATCATCTCTAAAAGAATTACTTGTTCAAAAAACTTAGTTTTGAACAAATTGCTATTAGTCTGACAAGGTATAAACTTCTTACATCACTTAGTCATTTAAATAAATCTTTTTGTATCCACTTGCCTATGAAAGATTCAGGAGTCAAGGATTGTGTTCACTGTCTTTATGTAAATATGTGACATGATGAAAAAAATACTTGAAATGGGTTTTAGTCTTGACATTGCTCCTCTCTCTCCATTGATATTAAGCAATTTATCAAATTTAATTTTCTGAATATCACTCAATAATACCTGCTTTATCTCATAACACTGATGGACCCAACGAAAGAATGAAATTAATTATAAACCATAAAGTGCTTTACAAGTTTAAGGTACTGTTATGCATGTTAGCCAGAGATTAAAGAATTCAGACATTTATTATAGCAAAGCAGAGAACTGCCTGTCTTTCTAGCTCTCTAAAACAAATATATTGCTTAGGCCAAAGTTTATGGATACAGATGGGTTCCTTTGTCTTACATTTTATGGTATTTTAATTTTACTATCTTTTATAGAATGTACTGTGTAAGAAAAATGCTATTTGAAAACAGAAACTTTTTAATGGAGATTTTTATTTTTCTATGTTTTTTTAAAGTTTATTTTGATTATTGTAATGATAAGCAGAACACATGTTTGTTTAAGAAAATATATTTATAATATCATATGATAAGTTAGAAAGTGTTATAATATAATATTATCCATAGTTTTCCTAGTCATGTTATAAACATTTCGGGATTATACCTTAATTTTTTTCTATGCATAATTGTTAATAAAATTAGGTAGTTCTAGTGCCTTTTCCCCTTATTTTTTGAAGTTACTTTTAACATATTTGAGAGTACATCTACCTCTACCTTTCTCTTACTTCCTCTATAACAGCAACATTTCTAGATCCTCAGATCACAGAACAAAGGGTTCTATTTGCTTGTATTCTCTTGCAAAGAACACAATGCTTGGGTCTGCTCTGGACCTACTGTAGAACGCTGCGAAACTCACATCCAGGCACAGAGAAGGTGCCTCATTCATTTTGGCAGCAACTCTCCTTTTTATTCACTCTTGGCCTTCCTAGTGCAGAATTACTTGTGTTTTAAATAGCTTTCTAACAACATATGTCAATAGATGCCAGCCACAGATGAACCTCCTCAGGTCTGTTTTTGATTAGCTTGTAAAAATCCGATTTATATTCATAGAGCATCTGCATGAACTATGCAGTAACATAATATGTACCTTGGCCTTTTCACTTTAAAGATTCCCTTAGACTTACAAATAAGCACAAGCAAAAACAAAGATAATACCACTAAGAAGTATTAATGTTGCAATCTGCCTGGGCCCCAGACTGCTATTGTAAGTTAAATGTGAGCCTCTCAGACGCCCATCCTCACCCTTCACCCTGGATCTTGAAATCCAAGTTCAGTGACTCAAGGCCCATCATTGCTCTGAAGCTGTAGACCACATGTGGATCCCATATTATTTGAAAGCCTATAAAACTTTATGGTAAGACCATCAATAAAGAAAGTAAAGGTCAGCTCTGGATGAAAGCAAACAATAATGATGTTTTCTTTGATTTGAACAGTGGGACTGCTATTAGGTACACAGACAGAGTTAAGAGCGGAGTCACCGGGGAGCAGCAGATCTGGCTGCAAATCAGTGAGCCCACTCCGAACGACCAAGGGAAATACGTAATGGAGCTTTTTGATGGCAAAACAGGACACCAGAAGACAGTGGATCTTTCTGGACAAGGTAAATGGATATTCTGCATGTTCAAACTTACTATATAGGAGTGGGCTTTTTAAAAAGAATGAAAGGTAAGCCCTAGCTGGTTTGGTTCAGTGGATAGAGCGTCAGCCTGCAGACTGAAGGGTCCTGGGTTTGATTCCAGTCAAGGGCACATGCCTAGGTTCTGGGCTCGATTGATGATTCTTCTCATCACTGATATTTCTCTCTCTCCTTCCCTCTCCCTTTCTCTCTGAAGTCAATTAGAAATATATTTTTAAAATAAAATAAAAAGAATGAAGGGTGATAAGTGGTCAATACATTTACCTATTGAAAGATGATTGGAGATTTTAGTAAAGCAGTTTAAATTCAGCAACAGTGATAGAAGTCAAGAATTTCAATGGGTGAAGAATCATTGAAAAGTTAGCACTACTCTTTCAAGATGCGTACAAAAGAAAGGCAGATTGATTTATGATCACTTGAGCAAGGACAAACACTGGAAAAGCATAGTTGTTATGGGATTGAAATGTGATCATGTTCATGGAGTCCAAGAAATCTGCTGAGTTGGAACGACTAAAGATGTGAGTGAAGGGAATAATTGATGTATCAGAGTTCAGAAGAATGGAAGGGTGGAGATCCAGGGCAGGGGTGGAAGTAAGTGTGAGTAAGCAATGACAAATACTGAGGACAGAAAGAAGCAGGAAAAGTTGGATCCTTATGGTCATCGGCTGAGAGAATGGCGGGGACGGGGCTTCTGGAGAGACAAGGTAAGAGAAGAAAGTCACAGGAGATGAGGAAAAAGGCCTTCCACCTAAGAACATAGATGAAAGGTGATGTGTAGCTATTAATTAAAATTTAAGAAGTTAAAACATACAGTCATAAATAAAAAATTAAAAACGCTGTGCCATTTCTCTCTGCTAGTACTGTATTCTTCAACTTATTTATTATTTCCTTAAAAAAATAAAATAGTCTCTCTGAAGTCACCAGAAAAGATTGGGGACTGACTTTTTCTTCCACTTCCTCATATATTAAAATGCAACCTAGCCCTAGCTGGTTTGGCTCAGTGGATAGAGCATCGACCTGCAGACTGAAGGGTCCTGGGTTCGATTCCAGTCAAGGGCACTTGCCTGGGTTGCAGGCTCGATTCCCAGGTGGGGTGTGCAGGAGGCAGCCAATCAATGATTCTCTCTCATCATTGATGTTTCTATCTTTCTCTCCTTCTCCCTTCCTCTCTGAAAAAAAAAAAAAAAATGCAACCTACATTTGTAAAAGCTCAGTGTTTTAATCCTCAGAGGATAGATTCATAATTTAGAGAATAGTCTTTCAACCCTGCCTTGAGTGGTTTGGGCTGTCTTTTAATCTTGCCCCGCCCACCCATGATGGCCGAAGGGTCTCTGTAGGGAATGAGAGGCTGCCCCCTGGGACTACACACAGGGCCACACTGCCCGAGCCACACCCCAAGGTGACAGGGGATTTCTTCTGCAGTCCATTGGAGACTTGGAAACACAGTAGAAAAAGGAAAATAAGAGGTGGATAGATTTAAAACTTAAACTTTTTTTTTTTCCTTTTACTCTCTGGCCCATCAGGGCTTATTTAACTACCCTGCTCTCAAGTCCCTCTTAAGCCAAAGGCTGTGGGTTGTCTTCCAGCAGGACACGGCCACCCAACGCAGATTGGTTCTCCCGTTCCTGACTCTCCCTCAGGGGGGTGTGGGCAGAAAGAGTACTGAACTCTTAGCCTGGTTTAGCCTAACTAGTCTACCTCCAGAGACTTTAAGCCTGGCTTTATGCTCACATTTCTCCACCTGTAAAAGGAAGGGGGTGGACTAGTGTTAGATAAATATTTTCTGGATGTACAATGTTATGATTCCTAGACCACAGAGGATCTTTAAAGGAAAGGTGAGGGCGTGTGACAGGAGGTAGGGGAGGCTGGGGGAAGGTCAAGGGGGGGGGGGGGAAGAAGATATATGTACTACTATACATAATACTTTAAACAATAAAATTTAAAAAAAAATAAAGTCAAGGTGGGAGAGATTTCAAAATGAAGCTGCCTTTTCACCTGACGTCTTCCAAGTGGCTCACCCTGCAGTCTCAGGGAAACAGATCATGCTAGAACTCTGTAGCTCTCCTTTCCTCGTCTGGCTCGCCTTTAATCTCTTCTCTGCACGCAGAGAAGCATTGTTTCAGGCAAGCATGGGCACGCGCTGTGGCTGCAGGAATTCCTTGTGCTCTTTCATACAAATAGGTGGGCCAGACCGAGGGACATAGGAACATTTAACTGTCTAGCAAGGAGGCCATGCCATGTGGGATGATTTAATAAGAGAAAAGCCTTTTTGAAGCTCAGGATGCTTATTAGACAACTGACTTTTATTTGAAACAGACCTTTACTCCCTCTTTATCCTTGGTGGAGCTAATTCTCGGCCTGCCCGTTTGAAGAGTTGAGGGTCTCTCACAGAACTGAGAACTCCTAAAACCCACTGTCTCATATTTTCTACCTCGAACGTATTTGCTTATGTCCATCACGTTGTAGAGTGAACACATAGGTGCAGTGTCATCCAGAGTCAGCTTAGTTTTATCTGCCCTGATCACATGGTCCTCATGTTGTGACTTTCAACTGCCCCTCTGTGCTGTCCATTCTAGCTGAGCAAATTCTAAACTTCTCCTTTTCCCCCTTAAAGATTATGAGGAAGCCTTTGCCGAATTCCAGAGATTAAAGTAAGTCTTTTTTTTCCCCCCTCACAATGGCCCCGTGCATGCACTAATTTCTCTGGAACACCCTGCGTGCTGCTCCCCCAGGGAGGGTCTTTCCTTTAAACAAGTGCAGGGAGACCAGTGCTTCCCCCTGCTTTGTTGAACAGTAAAATGTATCTGGGGCAACGAGACACAGTCTAAGTTAGCTGCTCTGAAATACCACTAACGCCACGTTCTTCTTTGTTTGTGTGTTTGTTTGTTTCTCTCAACCACAGACAAGCAGCCATTGCCGAGAAAAGTAAGTAAACCTTGTTCTTGTTTATTCCTGGCATAGTTTCAAAATGTAACTTTTATTTTCTATTTTAACTGCACATGGAAAAAAAAAAGTGGAAGTAGGTTTTTTTCCTTCCTTTTTTAAATCGTAGGGTTCTACACATGTTTTCATTTAGTCTCTTGGGTAAGGATGCCTATGAAAAGAAGGTCTCAGGTTACAGTATGAGAATGTCACCCAGCTCTTAACTTGAGCCAGCGATTTGGAAAAATCTCCGGGCTGCAACTCATAAAATAGGTTGTTAATCACCTGCATCAGGCACAGCATATCAGAAACATCTGGGTACATTAAAGCAAAAAAGAAATGAGGATCTTTGTAAATTCACATCAGGTAAATCACAAGCACTCCCCGTGTTCCTGAGAGGCCCGTGGGAGAAACGACCCCCAGTCAGGAAGGCCTTCCTCTCCTTTCACTGGACACAGCCCTGGTGAACACACACCAAACTGTCAAGTCCCCCCAGAAATGAGTTCTACCAACTGTTTGCTTCACACATAGAGATTTCGAGAAGGACTCAGTCTCATGGCATTCCATAAGTCACAGACTGATTCGTCATAATAACTCTGGTTCTTCAGCAGTGGGGGAGGCATGACTTGAAAAATGTTGAGGGTTAAGACTTGGAGTTGTCCTGAGCTGGAGTGGAAAGGGCCAGAGGGGGGGGGGGGGGGGAAGGAGTAGGAAGTGAAGTCATCTGTCTGCCTCGCAGTGGCTCCAGGCGACTTGGAATGGAACTTCTCACCTTTGCCATGTGCTGCTGTCCTCCCCCTTCTGCTCTTTCCCTCTCCCTCTCGCTCAGGCCCTGGCTTGTGAGGTGGCTGCTGGTGGTAAAAAGGGCAGACGGCAGCAGCAGGGGCCTGAGGGGAGTGTCCAGGGACAAGGGAGTTTTTCTTGTCGGCACCGCCCACTCGAACACACAAGCAAAGCCATGCCTGAGGCAGCAGCAGTTGACAGACACGCCCGTTCTTGAACTCTCTTGTGGGCAGAGAGCCCGACCTTCCCTCCAGTTCCTGAACAGTTTCCTAAGATCTCTGGGCCACCACAGTTTAGAGCTGGAAGAAATGTTAGAGCTCTTCTAGCTCCATGTTTTTAAACTTCCATAAGCCATAGAACACTGAATGCACACAAAACCTTCCACACAGACCCATTATAGAAAGTAGGTAAAAGCGGAGTTATCTTCATTGGCTCCTTGACTCAATACCCCATCTTGACCTCCTCTCAGGCCCCCTCAGAGGAATCCCGTGGACGCTGTGCACATGTCTAATCTAATCCATTCTGTAGATGAGAAGACTGAGATCCACACAGTGATGTGACTTGCTTAATATCACACAGCAAGTGGCACAGGGACCCACCCAGCTGATGGCTTGGGCTTATAAGTGGTGTCAGGTGCAGTGGAATCAGTGGGAGAATGCAGTCAACACTCAGCTAAAGCTTCAGCCTGACTTAACGGAGAAGGAAATTGTAGAAATATGGATCAAGGGCTACACATTCACGAAGCAGGCCTAAAAACGAGACATGGCAGCTACAGCATTGGTGTCAGAAAGGAGGATTTTGAGTGAGTTATAGAAGGCGTCCTACCCTGGGGCTGAGCAGTCACACACAGAATACACGGCTTGGCTAGGGAGTCTGCCCTGGATTTCAGCACCTCGGCTGCACTTTGTCTCCTCACCTTGAAGCTTAATACTCATGGCCATAGACAGCAGCCCTGCCAAGAACTACCAGGAAACGAGAAAGGGAAGGTGTATAGGGAAAGCCTCAAAGAAAGCCCATGTCTGCTTGAACCTCCAAATCTCCCTGACATAACACTTCTAATTATGCAACCTTTTTTCATCATAGGAGGCCACACTTGGAGTTGGAGGCTGTCCACAGAGATCTGCTCTGCCTCCTCGAGCTGAGCCCCACTGAGCTACAGAGGGGCCAGGGCTGAAAATAGCCATGAAAATGACAGAGCAGGTCTTGGTCCAACAAAGAGATCTCAAGCTGATATTTTAGGCACAGATAGAGGCTCCTGCACTCATGAAATATGTGTATGAAGAAGGATTAACATTTCAGCATCACTGGGTCATTTTTAAATTTTACAAGTTAAAAGCTGGCATAAAGTAACTGTAAGGAGAGGGAGACTAAATTGGAAAGTTAGTTCCCTGGGGTGGTTTTGTGAATATGATCGCTGATGCTCAATGTTCAATGATTAAACAGAAATGCTTATTCTTGCAGATCGTGCCCGGGTGGTGGGTGGTCTCCCCGATGTGGTCACCATCCAGGAGGGCAAGGTAAGCATGGAGCACTCCTGTCCTGGCTTATTCCACACGAGGAATGTGTTCCAGTGCCTCACACTTGGTTCTGTCTTTGAAGATACATACCATCCTATGCAATGACTGCTTATGCTTGACTTCAGAATAGCCAATACAAGGTTTAAAAAGCAGCCATTTCCCCAATCATCTTAATATTTTGGACCAAGCATCAGGTTGCAAGTTTGTCTAATGTGAGCACATGTAGTCCACTTAGTATCTTTCTAGAGTTACCCTCTAAAATCACCAGGAGTGGAAAATGTTCAATCATAACTACATGACAAATGCAATTGAAGAAAGAAGTGACCTCTAACACCCAGTGGCAAAGGGCTATCCTATTAAACGCCTCCACCTTTGAAAGGAGACATGCTGCTCCATGAATGCCTATAAGTTCTATTTCGGTTGAAAACTGATTTCTGCTCCTAAGTTTTAAATTACATTACCTGGCTCCATCATGATCTCTGAAAAGCAATGAACATAATTTCTAACCTGTATTCCCTTTCTTTATCCCTATTTCATTAAAACAGGTTTAGTATCAACTCATGAACCAGGAGTTACAGTTCATTTCTAGTCAGGGGCACGTGACCAGGTTTCAGACTCAATCCTCAATAGGGATTGCACAGCAGGCAGCTGATCAATCTTTTAAAATTGCATAGATTAAGAAATCTGTTTTTTTAAAAAAATATATTTTATTGATTTTTTACAGAGAGGAGGAGAAAGGGATAGAGAGCTAGAAACGTCGATGAGAGAGAAACATCGACCAGCTGCCTCTTGCACACCCCCTACCGGGGATATGCCCACAACCAATGTACATGCCCTTGACCGGAATCGAACTTGGGACCTTTCAGTCCACAGACCGATGCTCTACCACTGAGCCAAGCCGGTTTCAGCAAGAAATCTGTTTTGATCAATGTTTCTCTCTCATCGATGTTTCTGTTTCTCCACCCATCTCCCTTCCTCTCTCTCTAAAATCAATTAAACAAACAAACAAACAAACAAACAAGTTTAATATACCAGTCATAGGAGTATGGGTATTTGTAGTAGAATAAAACCTTTTCTCACCTCAAATGGTAATGAAGACTTGTGATGGGTGATTGGAATTAGAGTGATAAAACAAGGTATATCTAAAAATTTAGTGAGAGGCAGGTTTCATCCACCTGTGTTTCTTCGTAGTGAAACATGACTACAGTTTAAGCTCAACCATTTATAGGGTTGCTTTTGTTTTAAACTCTATTTTTCATTTTCCTCACCTTATGAGGTTCAAAATATACAACTCACTGGGTCATAGTGAAAATTAAGTGACAGAACGTATGTGAAAGTACTCTGTGATCTATAACTCAAATCTAGAGTATGGATAATAGTTTTCCATAACATCTAAGGTACTTAGTTTTGTTAAAAGTTTTAACTCCCAAGTAATCACAGTTTCCAAAACTGGGCCCACTTGGCGAAGACTAATGGCAATAGGTTGACTCATATTTTTCTTGAAATGTAATTGTAGAATAATTCAGTAAGAAGTGCTAATTAATCCTAGAAAGAAAACAGATTTCTTAATCTATGCAATTTATTTTATTTTATTTATTTATTTTTTAAAAGATTAGGCCACTTCTTTTATTTTATGTAGAGCCACAAACTTTAAGATTTGAAACAATGTAAATGAAAATAATCTTGTTCAAATAATAAATGCCCATGTTTTACATTGAAGCCTAGTGATTTTCTCAAGTATTATGGTAATGGTAATAATAAGATGATTCTTAAAACATTATAACATAATATAAAGGTAAACCAGACATTGGTATTTTGTTTTATTTATTGTACTAGAGACCTGATGCAAGAAATTTGTTCGAGGGGCTTGGCCCTCGCAGCCACAACAGCTTGCCTCAGCCCTCACAACCCCAGCTCTGTCCAGAAGGTTGTTCACCTGTTCGGTCAAATTAGCATATTATGCTTTTATTATTATAGGTTATCTCATATAGTAGTAAAGTATTCTCTTAAAATAGAGGAAGAACTTAAGCACCACATTTAAACATCGATTGTTTACATACTATTGTAAGCCCAGGATATAGATACCTGAAAATATACTCTTGAATTCCGAACATGTGAGAAAATTGTTAAGAAGACCCTTGATTGAATATAGAGTACCAGCAGCACCAACTACCTCTCTCCTTAATATTTTCGGTTTTAAAGGCACACCTTTGGAGTCTGGGGCACAGATAGCCTATGCAGTGTCTTTCTGAGAATTAGAATTAAAGTCTATTCTTCCCCTTTCCCCAGGGCATGAGGTTTGACAAGTGAAATTGGGTCTGAATTTCAGTTCCTCTGATTGCTCCATCAAGTGTCAATCTATGCAATTTTAAAAGATATTCATTTAGAAGAGATCGCACGTGATCATGTTATTCAGAAGGATATTGTGTGCCCTAGTTATTTTCCTTATAATTACTGGACTTTAGGAAGAAAAAAAAATGTGAGAATGGAATTTAAAATGTGAAATAAATTCAACATTTTTGGCTCTTGGGAAATGCAAATTAAAACCACATTGAAATATCATAACACACCTATCAGAATTGCTAAAATAAAAAATAGTGACAACAGATGCTGACGAGGATGCTGAGAAACAATCACTCACACATTGCTGGTGGAAATGTAAATCAAAATTGAAGCAGCCACTCAGGAAAATAGGTTCATAATTTCTTAACATATGAAACATGCATTTACCATATGACCAAGCAATTGCACTCCTGGGCACTTATCATAGAGAAATTAAAACTTATGTTCACAAAAAAAACAAAACCTGTATACAAATGTTTCTAGCAGTTTTATTCATAATAGCCCAAAACAGGCCAGATAACCCTTAGAGATATAACCACACCATGGCACATACTCAATGATAAGAAGGAACAAATCATTGGTACTTGTAACAATTTGGATGAATCTACAAGGAATTATGCTGAGTGGAAAAGGAAATCCAGAAAGGTTACATATTGTCTGATGCTATTTAGATAATGTTTTTGAAATTAGAAAATTTTAGAAACAGAAAACAGATTAGGAATGAGATTGGGAGATTGGGAGGTGGGAAGGGATGGTTATAAAGGGCAACATGAGAGATCTGTGTGATAGAAATGTTCTGTATCGGGTTGAGGTGGTGGATACAGGAATCTAGACAGGTGATAGAATTAAATAGAAGTAAACATACACATACACAAATGAGTACAAGTAAAACTGGGGAAATCTAAATAAGACCAATGGATTGTACAAAGTCAATGTACTGGTTGTGATGTTTTGCTATAGTTTTGTAAAATGAAACTATTGAGGGGAACTGGGTAAGGGTGCACAGGATCTCTCTATTATTCATTACAACTGTATATGAAACAGATTGGGTAGAGTCTGGGGCAGAAATAAAACAAGGAAAATGGAATTTGAAAATTCATCACATGATCTGAAACAGCTGTTAGGATTCTGCTGCTGGGCTCTGTGAAGCAGAAGAAATGCAAATGTGAGCAGGTGGTGATTATGGCAATGAGACTTCTCTACCGAGACAGAGTTCGAAATGCCCTATTGGAGTAAAAGGCATCTATTTGTGTGTTTATGAGAGTGAAAATGGAGATGGGATCTGGAATAAGCATTCCCAAATCTGAGTCCCTAAGAAAACTTCTCAGGTTTGTGTTCAAGCTGTAACTCACACAGGTGCACACACATAACCGGTTCAAACCCTGATCTGGGAGGGTTATATTTATCCTCCATTGAGTCATGCCACACCATCAGAGGACCTTTGAAGTTGGATCATCATTATATCTGATATCTCTCTTTTCCTCTCCTAAAACCTGTTTTGCAGACACTTAATCTCACTTGCACCGTGTGGGGCGACCCGACTCCAGAGATCTCCTGGCTGAAGAATGAGAAGTCCCTGGACTCGGATGACCACTGCAACCTCAGGTTCGAAGCCGGCAAGACGGCCTTCTTTACTGTCACCGGGGTGACCACCGCCGACTCTGGCAAGTACGGGCTGGTGGTGAAGAACAAGTATGGCTCAGAGACAATGGATTTCACCATCAGTGTGTTTATCCCAGAGGAGGAGGCGAGGATGGCTGCCGCAAAGCCTCAGACGGGCAGTAAGGCCAAGTGACCGGACCCGCTGGGAGGGCACGAGAAGGAATCTTGTGCTACTAGTGTGCAAATGGTTTGGTTAAGTGTAAGGAAGTCATGTGCTTTCTACTCCCTATTTTTGGCGTGGGGGAGGAGAGTGGGGATTGTCAAATCTTTTATTCATATTTTTAAAAAAAGCACCAACTAATATTTTAATAGATAAGAAAATGCCATTGGTAGCACAGATATTAGGAAAGGGTTTTAAGCAAAAGACCAGAAAAAGAGGGACATTGAATAATGATCAGAAAGCAGACGAATGTGCTGTGGAGCCGAGTTTGGATGTAGATTGCAGCTATGCTCCAGTATCCTACTGAGAACGAGACTAGTTGTTAAGCAAACCAGTATGTCCGCATGTTGTGGAGGCAGTGTGCATCTCTGTAGGCGGTCTTTTGATTTGGAACCTCCTCAGAATTAATAAACAGCCCTCACACCTTTTCTCTTCTTCATCAGTGTTTCTTTCATTGTTACTGTTTGGCTGCTCAGTTGGGTCTCTGCTGCATCTCTCTTGTTGTTTCTTGTAGCTCGTCTTCTGATTTAAATTCCTTTGGGTTAAAGCAGTACCTTCATAGTAACATCAGGTAAGTCATCCAAGGTCAATTGAGGTTCAGAGGTGTGAAATTGCTCTGTCACTGTACATCTGTTATCTTACTGGACAATCAATATATTCCATTGTTAAGATACCCAAAGTAATTGAATGAGTTGTGTCAATTAAGGATAATAAAAAGGTCAGGTATATCTAGTGCTAGAATTTGGTGACTAAGGAAAAAAGAGCCCTCATTCTAAATGCAGAGAACTGCCAGATTCAGGGCCTGCTCCTCTTTGCAGGACATGCCTACGGGCAGCATTCTGCTTTAGAAAATTTGGCTCTTCAACTCTATTCTCAACCCCCTGCCCCTCCCCATCCTCCTGACACACACACATGAGTGCACACACACCACTGGAGGAAAATAGTAATGGTGAAAATAGGTTCCTCTCTTCTTCCTCCTGTCAAGGGTCAGGAGTGGGACAACAGATTCTCTTATACTGTTAGAAGGAGCACCTATGAATGCTCTCCTGTGCAAAGTTCTGGATTGGAAACTGCATCTCATTTGACTGTTGCCAATTCCCTTGTCCAGCCAAGTGCCCCAAGCTATTGCTGTGACATTGAACATGGGCAGGAGAGAGATGCTGTACTGTCACTAGCAGGCATGGCAAGTAATGAGATTCCTGAGAGTCAAGAGGACCCAGTGGAGAGCAGCTGACCTTAAGCAGGCTGAAGTTCTCCCTCCCACAGCAAGAAGGCTCCTTCTGGACAAGTGGACCCAGAAGGAAAGTGGACACAGCCTGGGAAGAGAGAGGAGGAAGGGATGAAGTAGGGGTGGATTTGTGTGTCAAGGAGCTGTGCGGATGAGAGGCCCCTAAGACTTCACACAGAACCTAAGTGCACCCCTCACGAGACCAACAGCAGAGTCCCAGTGTTGAAGAAGATGGGGAGGGAGGTGTGTGCTAGCAGAACCCACTACCCCATTCCTCATTTCCATGCCATTGGAGTCAAATTGGAGAGAAAACAAGAAAGATTTTGAATCCAATAAAAACACAATTTTAAAACAATGTGTTCTAGCCCTGGTCAGTGTGGGTCAGTTGGCTGGAGCATCATCCCCTACACTGAACAGTCTCAGTTTGATTCCCAGTCAGAGCGCTAATCCAGGTTGTGGGTTTGATCCCCGGTTGTTCGGAGCATGTACAGGAGGCGACCAATCCATGTTTCTCTCTCACATAAATGTTACTCATTCTCTCTCTCCCTCTTCCTTACTCTTTTTCTAAAATAAATAGAAACATATCCTCGGGGAGGATTAAAAACAACAACATTGAAAACAATGTGTTCTAAATTCTGAAATTGTTTGAAAGCTTAGGAAATCAAAGTAGATTATCACTAAGATGCACACCATCCAGCAGAGATTTTATGGAACAACGTAATGGTGAGGGAGAAAAAAGACTTTCAGATTCATAGCTCAATAAAATGGTTATTAGAATTATTTCAGCCATTATAATGACCAAACTAAATAAACTATGATTTGATGGCTTAGATAAAAAGCTGTTGTTTCTACAGGGGAAAAAGAACTAAAACTATACATCTATCAATTTAATGATGTTGAAGGTCCTTTTAACATAAGGATTCATGAATCTGTGACCTGCTAAATGTTATTTATTGGTACATAGAGGGTTATATTGGAACACAGAAAAGACTCTTCAGAGTTTAGTTTCATAAAATTAATATTTAATATATTAAAGTAATAAAATTAAAAATCTAGAGCTTCCTAAATCCTTGAAGTTGAGCTTCAAAAATCTCATTTTTCATTTAAAAATCTATTGAGAAAAGTTATTCTGAGGGTACTTTATAGTATAACTAAATTCCCTTTGACTTGTTAAGCTGTATTTATAAGTTAATATATTTGCTTTTCATTTTAAGTACTACTATTTTCTGACTTACCAAACAAAAACTTTGCAAGACCTTAAATAACTTTAATTACCTATAAAATTAAGTACAATATATGAAATTTGAGTCCTCTTAAAGTACTTCTTTGTAGATAAATTTAGTAAAACTATAACATAAAATCACAATCATTGAACATTTTAACTTAGAATCATAAAATTAAACTATTACTAGGATAAATTTTCTAAGCCATTATAAGTACATAGAAATCAAATATGCACATATGTTATAATGCAAAAATAATAACATTACCCAGCTACAGTCCCTATGGCCTGGGACTGGAGTTTTAATACCTGTTAGAACAAGAGGCATGAGCTCAGATTGCTCAGATTGGGGAGCTGCCTGCTAACATTTCTGCACTAGGCTGCGAACACAAAGGGTAGCATAGTAAAACACACACACACACACACACACACAGAAACTTGCCATCTGCCTGGGGGTGGTTCTGGGTAGAAAAACAAAGTTAACGATTCCTCAAGCCAGTACTGAATACTTATGGGATCCACATGGTTTAAGCATCCTAAGCCAAGAGTTCTCATAAAAAATGGCTAATGTTTGGAGCCCCAGAGAAGCCAATGTAAAACTCTACTACAAGGGACTTCTGTGTCTGCCCACAAAGGATTACTGTTGTGGAAATTGTCCTCCCACCATAAATAACTAGAAAACCAGGCAAAATACATGGGGGGAAACTGGGGCATGGCTCAATGGAAAGAGTGTCGGCCTGTGGACTGAAGGATCCCGGGTCCGACTCTGGTCAAGGGCATGTACTCGCAGGCTCGATTTCTAGCCCTGGTCAGGGCCTGTGTGAAGGCACAACCAACTGATGTGTCTCTCTCACATTGATGTTTCTCTCTGTGTGTCTCTCTCCCTCCCACTCTCTAAAAATCATGGGAAAATATCCTCAGGTGAGGATCAACAACAACAACAAAAAGAAAAGAAAAAGATGAGTGAAAATACAGGGAACTCTGAATTTTTATGCCATGTATTAAAAAAAAACAAGCAAACAAAAAACACAAAACCTTCTCATCTTTGTGATGCATCAATAAACCTACATTAGATGGCAGATCTTTTACAACAGAGGAAATAAAATCCAGTTCTCTCAGGCTTAGAATCAGGAATTTTTTTTACTGCTTTGGCAGTTACTGGAACACTTCCATGTACTATGTAGTTTTTCTGGTACAAACTAACATTGAATTGTTATTAGCACAAATTGAATGTTCTGATTACTTCTGAGAATCCACTAGTATCAACTGAAAAGTGATTTGTGGATTAATAATAAACCACTGGTGCAGTTTCAAGTATTTATTCTGCTCTACTCCTCAGCCTTGCTTTGCTTATCCATAGAAACACGTTTAGATATAATGCACAGATATTTATGGGAACTCTGAATTTTTGTAATTTCATAATTATGTCCTGTCCTTAGATATTTGCATTTTGACCTTTATCTGAGGACTTTATAGATAAAGTGTTTAACAAAAGTCTTAGATGATTTAAACATTCTGAAGAATTAACTGAATATGTCTATTAAAATCTATTAAAATCTCAGTCTCTAAAATAACTATGAGCTAGGTAAAATTTCAGAATTACCTAGCTCATAGTTGTTAAGATCTAAGTGACTTTTTATGCTATTTTTTTTTTTTTTACATTCTTTCTTATAGTCTAGTGTTGAGAAGAGATAAGAATACAACACTTGTTCCAAAGCTCACACATATCCTCCAGGTACCCAGAGACACTTCATGTGCCCTTCTATCTCTATTTACTAAGGACAAATGTCTTCATTCTGAAAAGGGGAGAGAACATGTAACTCAGTTTCATTTAAAACACTTTGGCAACAAAATATACCATGCCTTGAATAAATTATGAAAGGAGTATTTCCTTCCCGGATCTTGAGTTTCTTAGCCTCCCTTGCCTCTTCTCTCTATTTTAAAAAGGACCAAAAAAAGACCCCGAATAGCCACAGCAGTCCTAAGAAAGAGGAACAAAGTAGGAGGGATCACAATATCATATATCAAATTACATTACAAAACCATTGTAACCAAAACAGTCTTGTACTGGCACAAGGACAAGCGTAGAGATAATTAGAACAGAACGGAGAACCCAGAAATCAATCCATTATGTTCAATTAATATCTGACATAGGAGGCAAGAGCATACAATGGAATAAAGACAGTCTTTTCAATAAATGGTATGGGGAAAATTGAATCATGCCAAAAAAAAAAGGCAAAGAAAAAACCTAGACCACCAACTTATACCATATAAGAAAATAAATTCAAAATGGCTTATATTACCAACTGACAAGACTCCAGGGTGTTTTTGTCCTGTCTCACTCAGTCCTGATCAGCTGGACCCCCAGCAGCAAGCTAATCTACCGGTTGGAAATCTGCCCCTGTTGGTCAGTGCACATCATAGCAATCGGTTGACAGGTCAACTGTCTGCTGCCTGGTGGTCAGTGCATGTCATAGCAACTGGTTGAGCGGCCTATGATATCATTAGCGTATTATGCGTTGA